GTAAATCATGTTCCCTGCAACATTCACTCCAAAAATTGACACAGTTTAGCCACACATAGCCCATGCAAATCACCTATCTTCAAAAACTACGAAGTCGCCGAACACCCCTGAATCCAAGTCTCGCCAAAATGGAAAGAAAATGTGCTACGATGTTGAAATTTGGCCTAGTGACTCCTCATAGCTCCTAGTTACACTTTTTAGCGGTGCATGAAACCCAAATATTTTCAATTGTTGCCAAGTTACAGCAAAATTCCGGTTTTTTTTGGGTCCCCCCTCGTACACTGATTCTAATTTGATTGTTCGGTTTATTCGGTCGGTCTGACGGAGCAAAAGGGAATTCGAAACTGCGAAAGTTAATCGTTCTTACTTATTTTTCCCTCCTGCTTATGTCACTTGTAACCATCGAGCACTCTCGTTGCGGTGAGATTAATTCAATGCATTTTCCACCCCTTCTTTTTATCAACAAAAGAATCCAAACTAATCGTGCCTCTACAATAGATTAGTATTCTGTCTTCAAAATAATTCCGCTCCGGTTGGCTGTCCCTCCCGGGACGAGATAGCACAAGAAACGGTGCATGCGAGTTCTGCCGTGCTGAATAAGAACGCCGCACAAGCCATCAGACGTGACCAAATTTCCCTCGAAAAATCACGAATTTTCGGGAAAATTTGTGAATATTTCTCCTCCGGTTTCTCACAAGATTTCATTCGTAATTTGATATAAAAATTCCGAAAATTTCTAGGTAAAATATTCCTCCTCAACACACAAAAGTGTTGCAGCCGGAGGAATATCCCCTGGGGATGGTTCCAGCGTCATCCGGGCAGATATGCAGCCGTGAGTTTGGTTTAGTTGGTCGGCTCGACCTCGGTCCCCGATCTCCCCAGCCAGCTCCTGATCAGAGCTTTTTCTAAATTAGAGCCTAAACCAACATATGATAGTTTAATCATCTAGACGACCATCTGGCCCAAACCCACCCCTTGTTGGGGTAGTAGCGCGAAACGGATGGAAGTCGAAACCCCCGACTTGGTCTTATCGCAGCCGGTGGAACAAGATGCTTAAATTGTCATATCTTCGATAAGATTCGCCACTTTTTCTCCCGGACGAACTACAAAAAAGAAAAAGTAAAAACAAGTAAAATATTCCTAACTTTCTTCACAAATGGATATTTTAAAAGAAGAAATACAGCAACATTTGAATGCTTACACGGCGCGGCGTTTCTACTTAGCACGGCAGAGTTGCAGCTAATTCTGCATTGGATTTTTCATGCGAACAGCCCATCTCTTTTTAACGCTCTGCATGGCTCACCCCATAAACTGAGACCTTTCTTGACGTGCCACGGGTCATACAATAAATCGGTGGTCTTTTATTATCATCCTGATTTCTCCGTTCCTAACCTCGAGGAGTCGCGTGAGGGCACTTAAAATTTAATGTAACATACCTAGGGCGAGAGAAAAGTCTGCGTTAGGGTTGTACTGCGTTACGGAAACATAAAATGAAGCATGGCGGGCAGGGAGAGGGAGGGAATTACAGGAGTGCGCCCCACAGGTAATATTCCAGTGTTCCAATTGTTGTTTTAATAAACATCCCTTGACGTTGGCGGGGAACTAGGAGACTATGTCATTAGATTTTTTCTTATTGTCCGAAAAAAAGCTTAAATTGACTTGAAAAATCATTCACACAAAATGTACGTATAATTCAAAAGAATTCAATCGTTTTTTAATAATACTATTCAGGTGTAATGCAATTCCTGTTGCTATGAAAGTTGATTTCTTGATTTTCGTAAAAAAAAAAATAACGTTTCATCAATTAAAGTAAGTACGGTTCATTATTAAGATTTATGAAAGTAATCACTTCAGTGTAAAGGAGGGGCAATACGTCCATTTCTCAATAAAATAGGTGTTGCCCCTTACATAAGTGATATCCGTCCTCTGCACCCACGCTAGGAAGTATCGTTTCTTACTGAAGGCGTTTTTAATGCGTCATCAATTTTAATCAAAGGAACCATCTCAAACAACCGCATTCCTCGCTAATCTACGCAGCTGTGCATCATTGAATGGGTCTGTACATGATGCACTGGAGGCGTTTCTTATGCGTTGTCAATCTATCATAGGACTGATCTCAATCTCAACTATATTCTGTAAAAGAATCACTACTAAAATCCAGTTTTCTATCCTTTAAATGTGAGTTCAAATTGTATTTTTTCCATAAGGCTCCAATGCAATTTTGAAAGTTAGAACTTGCATTTCTTGAAATGGCAAAAACCGCTTTTGTGCGCCTTGTCCTCCAAACCCCTCGATTATCATTTAAATGGTAAACATGCAACTCTATTTTTATCTATTAAAGAGCGCCACTACTTCAGTAATTAATTATAATCATTAATTTTTCTCACTGGATTTTTTGCCACTTTTTCAGGTTTTTTTCCCCCCTCCCCGTAATTTTTAGATCTTGTCTATATAGGTAATAGAGAATTGGAGGTGTCTAAAAATTTGATGAATTTCGTGTTTAAGTTGAAACTACTGAGTGAACTGAACACAAGGATACCCTTGGTTCATGAATTGAACAATTATCGGAGAAAATATGACAAAATGATCTAATCTGCTAAAATACATGTGTTTAAATGGGAAATGCCGCCAGACGACGTCACAAGGCAGTGCATTTTCTCACTTTTAAAACTATTTTCATACTATTGCCCATATCAGAGAAAAATTATATAAAATACTGTGAAGTCAGCTCATCAAGCACTTTCAGATGAAGCAATAAGATGATGCAAATTCTCCATTTACTATAATAATTTTTCCGGATCCAAAACATGCTCATAGTGTTAGACTCGAGCTGAATGCCTAAGTACATTTACGGTATTAACCAACACTCTTGGCGCCCTTTAATCTTTGTCATTTCGTCAAATAGGTGCTCAGCATCCTGACGCCTGCATGCGATCTCAGGCGCTAAAACCCAGGTGTTCCCCAACTAACAGCTCTGAATGCCAGGCGCCAGCCGCTGCGGGCGGAAATCCCGTGCAGGATAAAGGTTTGTTTTGGGGTTGCGGTTTTCACCGGTATCCGGAGCTGTCCAGTAAACCGCGAGTAAACGGATTTTCGCGGCCCTGTCGGGGGGCTTGTTTCGGGGGGGGAGGGGGGAGGTTTACTTGAACAAGGGAGCCCCAGCCCCTGCATTGCGGAGGTGTCTCGTCACGGGAGTAGGACAGGGTGATTGCAAATTTTGCCTCCGCTGTCAAGTTGAACCTCAGTTTCGTGTCATTAACGTGATATCACGACACCAGGAACGATCATCTGAGGATCTGAGGAGGATTTCTTAATAGGTAGCCGCCCTCCAAGAAAATGGCTGGTTTCTTTGAAAATTACGAATGAGGTGATTCGATCGACGCCATATTTTGTGTCAAAACGATATGCGATTTATCGCATCGATTGGTTCCATTTTCTCCGCTACTTCTCATTCTTCTCGAACTTTGAGTGTGCAATTCTGTTGTCAGGACTCTAAACAATCCCTTTACCAATCTTTACCAAAGTATTGGTTTATAGAGTAATTCGTTGGTTTCACAAAAAAATTACTTGTATGCCTGGGATCTATCTACAAAAGAACAAATGGCGATACGCTGAACATCATGCGAAAGATCCGCCCTACGAATTCGACACGTAATATTTGGGGGAGTTGAGCATCTCTTGGATGAGAAAAATGCCCCTTTCTATTCTCTCTGCTTCCTTTTATTGCTCGAATTAATTTATGAAAAATCTCAACTGTATACCAATATAAGACTGTATTGGAAGAGTTCCAAATCCGCATTCACCAGTTAGCTCCGGGCGTCTTCACTCCTTTTCTCGCTCTATAACTTCGTGCTGTTTACGGAAGAACGCTTCATTTTTTAATGCCCCCCTCCCCTTCCATCCTGGTGTCAAGCGAGTTTCCCCTCACAATACCTCCAACTTTGAGCTTTCATAATTTAAAAATTAAACATTTTTTGCATGAAGTGACGTCCTATGCACCGCACTCTGTGTCCATGGGAGCTGTGTTATCGGAGATAATTTCCAAGTTCGGAGACTCCCTTGAGCTTTTAGCACCATGAGCGACGCGGCCAGCGCGAAACAGAGCGAAACTATGAGTGGCTCGCTTTGCACTTTCCCGCTTGCTTCTCTGTCCCTTTCTCCCATTCCCTATCTGCTCATTTACTTTTTTGCCGGTTCCCTCCTTTACATCGGCAGAACAAGGATACAATTTTAGTTCGTCGAGAAATCGAGGAAAATCAGGAAATTGCGCTAAAAATTTAAGGAAACTTCAGCGAATTCTTTACATACAAAATTATCATGTTATTTAATACCTAATGGGCGGACCTAGTCTTGGTGCGATCGAAATTTTTTAATTTTTGGTATTTCATAATCGTTTATCGTGTTTTTCTCCCTTTCGCGCGCATATTTCGCATATTTTCCTCTCAAAAGAAAAGTGACTCCATTTCAACACTACTTAATTTCTCCTCGTCCAGCGTGCTTTTAATAGAAAACTGATTGGTATTACTTACAGAAAAAGTCAGCGATTCTCTTTTATTTACGTACTTAAAGGGAACATTTTAGCCAGAAATCGCACAGTTGAATTCTTTTCAACAGGGTGTCTACAAGTACGGAATGTCCGGAAATTGTACTGATTTTCAAGGGCGGTCCGGAAGTACTGAAAAAGTGCGGAAAATCTTGCAAGAAAGTCCGGAATGTTTTTCCTTTTTGTCGCAATTTGAGCGGGAAATTAAATTTTTGAAATTTTTTGAATTTCGTCGTTCGAAGGTATTGAAAAAGTACTGAATTTTTCTGTTGAGGAGGTATTGAATTTCTTGGGAATGCACCGAAAAAGTACTGATTTTTGGCCAGCCTGTTTTAGTAGACACCCTGTTCGAAAATTGGATTTGTTCAATTCAATTTTGCAAACTTGGAATGAAGTTATGTTCCTTCATTGGCAAACGACGATTTATGATGTAATAGATTTTCCGTGAGTAGCTTACCTGATAGCCCAGACGTTGGAGTATCTGCGTTCGACAGGTCGTTTCGCCTTCTCCGGAGGAATATTGCTGGGGGGCTTGGGCGGCTCTCCGTTGCCCCCTCCTTTCTGACCTTCCAGGTCATTGGACTTGCTCTCCTTTTGCCCCATTCGGGCAGACGCTACCGCCCCCATTTTAAGCCTAGAAGCACACAAAATACTTGAAATCATCAAACTTAAACAGAAACTTTAGCATTTCCTTTTGCCCCAAACGGGCAGACGCTACCGCCTCCATTTCAAGCCTAGAACCACACAAAATATTTGAAAACATCAAACTCTTACTGAAACTTTAGCTTTTCAATAAACAAATTTTCGTTCGTTAACTGTTAACGAAATCCGTTAACAGTTTACAAAACACGGCATCAAAAAAAATTTTCGTTCTCCGATTGTGACTAAACGGGCGTGGCCTAGCCCTTCCCGCATAGTCGCCCTTAATTAAGTATAATTTAATTTTTATCAACTGTTCACAGTTTCGTAAACGTGCTCCGGATCAGGGTTGGACTGGCTCGCATCTGAGGGCGTAGACCCTTGGCTGGTTAAAGGGGCGTATTGTGATATTTCCTGGTAGGGCATTCCCTACGTGGAGAGGGGTTCAGAAAATTTTGGCAAAACAGCACCAATTTACACTAATTTCAGGTTCAAAGTTTATTGATCGCACAGAGTAAAAATTGCAAAATTGAACGTGAAGCGCAGCATTGAGAGCTCACGCTTCGAATCGTCGCGCCTTCAATTTTTCAGATGCAGCACGGACGTCCATCAAGTACGAATAGTTGTATCTCTGCGCCGTAGTTAACGTGCATCCTTTCCCTCGCTTTATTTCCATATTGTGTTTGTTTCCGTTTGTCTTATTCGTAATGGTGCTTCAAGCACTACGTGAGTAATACAGCCGAAGGTAGGAAGAGATGTCTTCAGGCCTTTTTTTAACTTTTCTCCCGAATCAGAGCGACGCTTCATTGACAGCATAATGCAGAGCATTGACAGCTCACGGTTCGTGTCATCGCGCCTTCAATTTTTCAGATGCAGCACGGACGTCCATCAAGTACGAATAGTTGTATCTCTGCGCCGTCGTTAACGTGCATCCTTTCCCTCGCTTTATTTCCACATTGTGTTTGTTTGCGTTTGTTTTATTTGTAACGTTGCTTCAAACTAGAGCAGAGCATTGCGAGTTCACGACTCACGGCATCGCGTCTTACATTTTTCACATGCAATGTGGACATCCACCTTGCGCGAATAGTTGTATCGCATTTACATTTTAGATGTCTCTTATTTTTGAATTTCGGGATAAATCAAGGTTAAGTTTGCCCGAGCTATGCTATGGTATGTCCAAATCAACAGTCATTTGAAAAGGAGGAAATATGTTTAAAGGTCTCCTAAAGGTCTATAAAGGATGCGTATGTCTAAAAATCGAACCGACCATCGCTTCCAAGGGAGTTACACATAGCGAATGAAAGAGGGGGATGATAAAGCGCCTGTATGTCAAGAAGAAGGTGAACATTTCACAGAAAATCGTTTACGCTTCAGAAAGTTGTTCTTGGACGTCTGTTCACCACTATTATGAGTTAAACCACCTTTCTTTACTCCAAACTTTCTTTTTTTCCGTTCATTTAAGAAATTTTTCTCATATGTTCTCGGTCGTAATTTTTTTCCTTCTTATTTTGCTATCTGTAAGAGGGGCGCGTTCTCGGCGCGCAAAGGGGGCGTATCTGCCAATGGCAGATTGGCCTTATGACCAGTCAGAGCCATAGAGTACATAGAGTCGTAATGTAATTTGGAGAGCTGGCGCCACTTTTAAGCATTTTCCATGTCCCGAATTCCGAGACTCCTGTGTGACGCCGGGTCACTTTTTCGATACATAATCGATTGTTTGCGATACACGGGTACCCGGCCATCCGATGACAACAACAACAACAACAACAAAGGAGATAGGAATTACCACGTATTCCACACCGCCATTTTGGATCGAAAATTTATCGAAAAAGCGACCCGAACTCGGCGCACACCGGGCTCGGAATTCGTCGAGCAGAACATGGCGCCAGCTCTCCCATTTACGTTACGACTCTATGTACTCTATGGTCAGAGCCTGTTCCGGACTACGTTATCGAACCTGGTGACGTTTCTGGTTAGAGAGTGAAACCCACCATCAACGGTCCCTTAAACAGGCTACTGGGCTCTGATTGATTGATGAAAATACCAACTTCGTTAACGCGCAGGACAACTGTCAACGGATTTCGTTAACAGTTGACGAACGAAAAGTTGCCTAGTATCCAACCATAATTCATAACCGCAATCTGGATTTTATCGCGCAACGTAACTGCATGGTGCAGAATCACTTCGCCACAAGGGTACTCTTGATTTTCCATTCAACGATGAAGTACAAAATATCTTCTCTGACAGAGCTTTCCGTTTTGGCTCTGGCAGACTCTGGAGGAAACGGAATTTGCGGATAGAGAGCAGACGTCCGACTTCACTTCGGTCGATGAAGCGGTGAGGAACTTTCCTAGCTTGCGTGGCATCTCAAATTGAATTGTCGTCTGGCTTTCTTCGCCGGGAGTTCGAATTTGGAGTTTTTCGAACTTTGAACGCTCTGTGGAAACTGAATCGGGAAAGCTTCCTCTGCGGCTCAACGACAGTCAAGCTACTACAGTGTTGACGAGGAAATTGGGCTATATCAGGATCTAAAAATTCTCGGCACTTTTACTTTATTTCAAGGAACGGTAATGACATTGTTTTGCTGGATTACATTCTTTACCAACAGAGGAAGGAACATCCCATAGTATTGACAAGTGTACTGTAATGAGTTGCTTCTTTCACTACTTGTTCTTATTTCACAGGGAAGAGATTGTAACCTCAGAGACAATTTTTTCGAAATATCCACGTATACTCGTGAAAAGGCAAAAAAGAATCAAGGAATTTTGTTTTATAAAGAATCAGTCATATTGCAAACAATTGAATGTGATAGAAAAACAGCAACTTTTGAAATCGAAATTAGTGATTTCGTATTTTCACCTTTCCCGTGCAATTTACTTGAATAGTAATTAAATAATATCAATCTACAACAAAATCTTAGTTATTGTTCTTTATGATACCTTTTCGATAAAAAGTCGCTCAAGATTTGGATCTATCACATTTATTTCTTATCTTGCCGGTCTTATATATCATGCCCCAGGCATTTAGCAAGCCACCAGTGAAAAAATAAGAAACATAAAATTCCCAAATAAAGAAACACGACCAGAGAACTAATTACTTTTCCTTTAATGTAAATTGACATTTTTTTCTCAGTAAAATATGGTAGTATCGGGTAAACTTAGGAGTTCGCATAGTGAAAACCACGACCCTGGTTGAAGTTCGGACCGGATATGCAACTAACCTAACTCTGTGACAAAGCGTAGAGTATCACAAAAATTGAAGGCGCTCTGAGCCAAGATCCTACTATTGAACGTAATTGCCCATCAAACCTTTTAATTGAAGCAAAAAAGCATTTAAATCACCGCGCATTTTTGCGCTTCATTGAAACAACATGTAAGCCGCCTGCAAATTGGCTTCGATTGTTAACTGCCCGCGACATAATTATATTTTTTGTACAAATGACTATATAAGCGTGTATTTCATTAAAATAATTTGTCATTTTTACTTACCAATCAGTCTAATTCATTTGCAAATTATCATGGAAATTATTACAGAACTCTTTCCTGGAACAATCGTGTGATATTTTGGAGCGATCAGTCTCCGAAAACAAAATATTCTTTGGAGGATTTCGAATTTTAGTACTCGCGAGGCTCAAGACGACTGTTCATCGCGGTTTCAGAACTTTATTTGCAAATACAAATCAAATCTGGGAGCATGATTTAGCAAGCGAACTTCCTATCTCAGAATAGACTTGGAAATTGCCAATCAAGAAAATCGTGCTAGTTGGCGGAAGGACGCGGAAAATAGAGCATTTTGCTCTAGGCCGCCAAGTTTCGGTACCACACTGACCTGGACCTCCTTCGAGCCGCTGTCACTTTATACATCAAAATATTTAGATGACGTGCACAGAAACATTTTTGAATGTTAAAAATCTGCGCGACACCTTTCAAACGCCCCGGCTGTCAATGTGACAGTGGCGTGGCGTAAATGCTCGATTATCGATGAGTTGTTCGTTGCGAACGCCCTGTTTGCATATCGACCCTTTTCCATAGATTTAAATGGCAGATAAATCGATACATCGCAAATCACGCCACGCCACTGCAATGTGCCATTCTTGTGACGTGTGATTAACAGCTAAGCAAAGTGATTTGAAGAACTGTCGTGCTGATAGTCCTAGGCTTCTGCAATTTTCTGCAGCACATTTGGTTATTGCAAAAAGGTCAACACAACGCGCCGATCAAAGCGTTATTGAGTTTTCAGAAATCGCTCCAATAATAATATAAATGCAATTATAAAAGATTTCAAGAGAGAACCCGGATCTAAAAGAAAAAAATCAGCAAAAATAGAACCTTAGAAAATCAGAAAACCTTTCGGACGAAAAAGAAATTCAGTCTCCTTTTTTTAGGGTACTTCTAGTCCCGTGACCGCGCAGTCGAGAACACTCCTCAAATTATTTGTATATTACATATTGACCCTTACAAACATAAATAGCGTCAATTGCTATGACATTGGTTCAACGGAGAATAATTCTCCTTGTACTACCATCAAGAAATCCTCGAATCCTCTTTTACGAATCCAAATGTGTCCCGCCGTGAAAAGTATTCATCGGCAAAAACTTCAGGATTATATTAGTTGAACCTAGAAAGTATTAACCCCTCTTTATTTTATGATTGTTAAAAAAAAAGCAATAAGCACAATCTTCACCTCGAATCCTTGGTGTTCTTTATACCAGTGACCTTACCCCTTCTTACCTTCCTCATACCATTACTTTTTTGTTTGCTTATACCGAAGAGTCGCTGCTAAGGTAATCTCGGGTAATATCTCTTACTTCTCTGTAGAAAGCCGGATATCCTATAATCACAAACCCTCTGTATCATGACACTTGAGTCCCAAAATGAACAAGATTTCGACGTATAGGACTGTCTTTAAAAGTACAAGATTTTCTGCAAAAAATGGCCCTATCAGTGTGCTCCTTGTTATTTTGTGTCTATTTTGTCAGCAACGCACAATTATCGACGTGTTCAGCATTCACCGGAAAAAAGTGTTGGGGGCTATCCTCTAAAATTGTGGTACTAACTCAATTTGTTGGATGATACCAATTTCGGATGAAACTAATTTTGGTAGCACTGCAACTCAAGTTGCGGTAGTTTCGGAACATTTGGGTTAGTAAACTACTTTATTGGGGCACTACCAAAATTAATTGGGGTACTACTTCAATGTCCAAGTTGGGACTTAACCCCTACTTCTCTTTTTCCGTGTTTGCTGGGTCTTGGAAATGTACGTGAGCCGGCGAATACGGTCCAATCCAACACGACAACCAACAATTTCTAAAAAAAAAAAAAAAAAAAAAAAAAAAAAAAACTCCCCTTTTCAACGCCAGCTCTTCCAGATTTTTTTTTTTAATTTTAAATGAAAATGATAGCTAACCTTATCGTCTTCCCTCTTCGTCCGACTCTTCATCCGTACTCTGCGCACTCCGGGTCGTCTCGGCTCATCGCGAGATTCCCGCCGAAATCTGGCGTGAACTTTCGAACTTTACTTTTTTTCCGGCCGCGGTGGCTCCCGCACTCACTTGACGCGAAAAGCTACTAGCGTGGGTGTTGCCCCGGTGAAAAATCAGGCGGCGACTGGCCGAGGCTGATCTCGAGCGAAGCGCGCGCGCACCAGAAAACTCGGACGCGCAACGGTGAGCACGCCGCGAGTTGCACGCCACTCGCCAAACTGGGAAAAGCTAACTTACGGACCCACCAGGGTTTCTGTCGGCTCAGAATCAAGACATTTTGGTTCCATGGGGGATCTTAACGAACGTTAGAATCTTCTTCTTCTTCTTCATTTTGGTTCAGGTCCCATGGGGGATCTTAACGAACGTTAGAATCTTCTTCTTCTTCTTCTCCTTCCACGGACGATTGGGGCATAGCCCTGTTTGTCGGGCCATGTAGTATCGAGAACAGTGAACTGTATAAATATTAAAAGCCTAAAAGTCTAAAAATCACTAAAATTAATCTATCTCGAAATTTTTTGGGAATTTCTTTCGTCAAAACCAACAGCAAGTGTTAAATTTTAAACAGCAAATTTTTGAAAAATTAATAAAAATAATTAAAGAAACTGTAGTTTTAACGTAGAATTCATTCCCGAAATGGCAAATTCCTCTTTGAGCCGTGCAAATTTTCAAAAATTAAGGTGTGAACAGTTGGATACAAATCCAATTTTTCGTGGATGGATTTGGTTCACTCTTTGAACCTAATGGGCACTGGGTATGGTTGCAACCCATTAAAATGGATACTCAAGACTCTATCCCGTGAATTGATGACGTTCAAACGGGTAACCAACCGTAACGCATCCGAACGGAGAGTGCTGACCCATCCATACGACTTTTTTTGTGAGTATGTTGTGTCCTATGTTAATGAAGAAGCTCGAATCCACGATGTTAATGGATTTTTTGGTAAAGAACTGTACGGTACACGTATAGATTTTGCATTGACTGATCCGTGCATGTACGGTTGACTTCCTTGTTATCCATACACCTCCAAAATACTATGTTTTTTTTCTCTTTTTTTTTCTAAGTGTTAAAGAGCATCATCGTCCAGCTACACGTAATTTTCGATGAAATATTTCCTTCCAGCAGGGGTGCAGAAAGTTCTCCGCCTTCACATTTTAGGAGGCAGACTTCGCATTAGAGAATTTGCAGGTGTCTGAGTTTTGATGTCTTTCGTGTTAAAGTGAAAACTACTGAGTGAACTGAACACGAGGATACCCTCGGTTTATGAATTGAACAATTATTAGAGAAGATATGACAAAATGATCTAATCTGCTAAAAGACGTGTATTTAAATGGGAAATGCCGCCAGATGACGTCACTAGGCTGTGCATTTTCTTACTTATAAATCTATTTTTATACTATTCCCCATATCCGAAAAAAATTCTAAAAAATACTATGAAATCAGCTCTTTAAGTACTATTAGATGAAGCAATAAAAATTTGCATGCAAGTTCTCCTTTTTTAAGGTTGCCTCCACACCGCTGCTCACATCAAACTAGCGCGCTTCCTTCACAAAAAAGCGCGCTTAACTTATTTTCCTCGCACAAGAGAGCGCGTTTTACAGTCTTTATTGCCAAAAGCTATGCGCTTAGCAGGTGTATGCCGTCTGCCTTCACATTTTTCCCGCCTTTTCCGGTGCCTTCACATTTATTTTACCCCTTTTTAAGTGCCCTCACATTCGCTTCGCCCGATCGAGCACTTTCTGCACCCATGATTTACAGTAAAAGATTTTCCGTCGATTTGACGAAAAAATAGATTCTCCACACACTGTGCTCTTTCTTAGCAGGGAAGGCTCTCGTTAGGAGCGGCGGTTCCATACTGGTTCAGATATCTGCACCCCTGATTTCCAGTGAACGATTTTCCATCGATTCGATGAAAAAATAGATTCTCTTCATACTGTGCTCTTTCCTAGGAGGGAAGGCTCTTGTTAGGAGCGGTGGCTCCATACTGGTTCAGATATCTGCACCCCTGATTTCCAGTCAAAGATTTTCCGTCCATTTGACGAAAAAATAGATTCTCCACATACTGTGCTCTTTCTCAGCAGGGAAGGCACTCGTTAGGAGCGGCGGTTCCATACTGGTTCAGATATGGGTTAGTTCGGCGGCTCGGCAGCGAGAAAGCATGGTGAGACTGCACTGGCACACGCTTTCATACGAGACTTTAATTATCGGACAAATTCAAGCGAGGAGACACGCGAACCGCGCCGCGCGCCTCCGGACCCGGGGCGTGGGTGGCAGCGCGCAGCGCGCCGTAACAGGGCTAGGCGCCATCCGAGCTGAACCTCTCGCACAAAAAGTTTCGAGAGGCCCGCAGAACGCAGTGCCCGAACCGAAAGAGCCGGAAAAAGCAGCATTCCGAGACACCGATCTTCGTTTCACATTCGGAAGGACGTAACCACATTTCAATGTTGCAAAACTTCCACTCGCAAATTTTTTTCAAGAGATATGCAACCCTGGAAATTTTACTGATTTTTCTGTGGATCACTAACCAAAATGGACGTGTTCATGCTGAAAAGAACCATGTTTGCGTGGAAAAGAGCATGCCCGTTAGTTGACGACCGTAAGAATGAACCAGCCCATTTGCGGATCCAGCAAATTGGCAACATTGTCTTTTCTTCATTTCAACCTATGGTAATGTATCGATTCTTGGAGGGACCAGGTGCTCCGACAAGAATTGATTGTTTGGCATAGGTTTCAGTGGAGGATCCGGTTTTACCAAATTGCTGGATCCGCCTCTAAACCAGGCGTTCCTGGCGCGCTTCCGATTTTGAGTTATTGTAAAAAATCGATTGTTTAGATGTTCGTTGGTGACACCCTGATAATCAATCTTTTTTCGAAGGTTCACCGGGATGCTCCATTGATTAGGAACGAAATCGGAGTTTCTGGATTTCGTTCCTAATCAATGGAACATCCCGGTGAAACTTCGTAATTTTTTTTTTTTTTATTCCAATCATTATTCTTTTATTAATTTGGTTTTTATAATGATGTGTTTTTTGTTTTAGAAGTGGAGGTGGAGTACCGGCGGGGGTTGCCGCAGCTGGTGGTCCCGCTGCCCTCAAGACGGGAGAAATGTCAGTTTACGCTCAAGCCCATCACCAACACCGTCGGCGACTTCATCCAGATGCTCCGCCACGAGGACAAGGGCATAGATCGGGTTGTTGTCTCGCGTTTAGGTTCGTATTCAATTTCAAAATTCAACAGTATAAAAGAAGAAGAAAATGTATTCTCACGCATATTGAAGGTATATTCCTTCTTCTTCTTCAGTCAACTATTCTGAGGAAGTCATTTGAAAAATCCTTAAACCGTACATAATTTGGACCGTTGCCTACGAGAATGGAGAGGCCGTAACTAGTCAGTTCTGTGACGTCAAGCTAGTAGATATTTACCGAAAACAACAAGCATCTCCGGGTCATCAGTGCATCGATGAGTGAGGCAGTCGCTGCGTGGACCAATCAGAGTGGCTCTCGATCGGCCGAAGTTGCGCGAGCGGCCCGTTTTAATCATTCAGAGTAACGATTTTCGGTATTACGCATTCATTTCCTCGATATTTAGACAATGTCACAAATGAACTAGTTAATTTTCTAAAGTGAAATTTCATCTTCTTTCTAAACGGTTCTTATGAAATTTTGCATCAGATCAACCCTGAAAGAGATATCGGCGAGAAATCATCGCGCGGCAAGCGTTCTCCCATAAGAACGCGTGTTAAACCGCGGCCGAGTTTCATCTACTAGTGTGACGTCACAGAATCGTAGTTACGGCCTCTCCATTCTCGTAGGCAACGTTTGGACGTACACTGGAAAAAAACACACTGGATCTAGAGTCCAAACTCTTAAAAACATCGACAAGAAAAAGTACTCTTGATTCAATTAGAATCTAGCTTAAATCAAGAACCAAGCCTCTTAATTTAAGCGGATTTCGTTTTGATTCAAGCAAAAATCCGATTGAATCAAGAGTATTTTTTCTTGTCAATGTTTTCAAGAGTCTGGACTCTAGATCCAATGTGTTTTTTTCCCAGTGTATTTCTATCAAACAGATTTATGTGCGGGTGAGAAATGGACGTATTTCTGTCAAACGGAACTATCTGCATTAAAACATGAGCCCTGAGACTCATAAGAGTATGTGTAAAACAGGGCTCATGTCAAAATACACAGTTCCGTTTGGCAGAAATACGTTCAAATATGGGGTGTGCTCGTTAGTTCTCTGGCCGTAAGAGTGAGTGAGAATAATAAAGCGCCAGTGGCGTCAGCGCCAATGATGGAGCCGGGGCGCGAAGGGGAGATGGTCGTCGGGGCGCTTTAACTCATGAGCCCTGTCCACAACGCTCTCGTACCATGCCCGCGGCTCATGAATCCCACATTCAGTCGTCACATAGTTCTGTTTGCTGAATTGAAAATCCCACTTTTCCAATTTTTCAAAACGAATCACGCCCACTTTTACATTGTTTCTTATCCAGCTTTCTAGGGCACACCCCATATTTCTCACCTGCTTATAGTTCTGTTCGATAGAAATACGTCCATTTGGAGGGAAAAAGAAGAAGAAGAAGAAGCCCCCCATCTCCTGTTTCAAGTTTTGGGAATTATCTTCCCCACGATTTTCTTTATTTTCTTCTGCTTAATTTTCAACTGATACAGTCGTGTCAATTTTCTTCCAGATGGCGTCCGAATAGCTTCGTCGAACACTATTGAGGCCCTTATGGAAGAGGACTTCAAGTTAGTGGTGAACGACCGTGAATTTATTGTCAACTCCCCACCACAGGAAAAAATCCCAAGGGTAAGGAGTAAGTTTTCATCGTAATTGAGGTCGTTACTCTTATTTCACCAGAGAAAAATTGTTTGAAAAATTGAAAGATAAATATTTAGAATTTTCGCAGTAAATTTGTTGGTTATTAAAGGAAATATGGCAACGTCTGAAGGCTCATACGGTGTTTTTCCTTAGCACGGCAGTATGGAACCCTGAATTCTACCGCTCTTTCGCAACGCACCCTAACGCACCCGCCCGACAAGGGGTGTAACGATAATGTTGACTGCAACATCGAGGCGATATGCAAGAAAAAAAAAAAAAAAAAAAAAAAAAAAATGTACTGATACCGAGATTTAGGTACAAGATTAAATAAACGTACGACGATCCATTCCGCCTCTTTGTAACAACGTCGCTGTAAAACTGCTTTGTTAGGCGGGGGGCTTAGCCCTCGCATCACGTATTTTATTCAAATACTCTCTTATCGCGGAATGCACTTCCTTTCTTTCGTATTTTTTTTTTTTTGTAGCCTCTGTTTTCATTGCCTAACACCTATTTTTATCTGTTTCGCAGGAGGAGCTTGAAAGACTGTCAAATGTTCGTTGCTTAATATTTCAGCTCTACGAAGCTTTGAACGTAGACGAACACCATATTAAAACGGAGAAGCAGCTCTTGTCTCGGTTAGAGGACCTTCAAACAAAATTAGATCCGTTGGAAAAAGTACGTCATCTTTTTTGTTCAGTCTTCTCTCCTCGCAAATTCATTCCTTCCCTTAAAATTTCAGGAAGCTGTATCATCAAACGCCATTATCTATACTATAAGCTCCAAGACCTCCTAATTTAGCGAAACTGGTGACGCTTAGTTCCAGCGTTCTACCGAGCCGATTTTCATGATTTTTGCGGCTATCGACGGGCAATTGCCTCTAGATAAGCCAACTCTTTTCAGATTTTCAAAATATGGCCCAGGTTTTTTTATATTACGTGGTAAAGTTGCGAATTCTCCCATTTAAACAATGTAAATTTATACTTTTTGTCATAGTTCGTTTGAGCGTTCTACCGGGCCGATTTCCATGATTTTTGCGTAAATCGACAGGTAATAGGCCCTAGATGAGCCCGCTGCAATCAGATTTTGGAAAAAGGACCCAGGTTTTTTTAAAATCACGTTATAAAAGTGAGTGAGTTTGCAGAATGCTCCGGTACTGCTACCGCTATGCGCGGGAGGATGCGCAAATGGTCGAGGAGGTTGCGCAGTAGCTGGGTAGCCTGCGCATCAACTCTAAACTTATCTACACAAGATTCGCACCTCCCACTTCATGTCGAGCGGTGGCCGAGTCGTCTGAGACGTCACATGCACCCGCTTTTACCACAGTGTGGGTTCGATCCCCGATTCATGAAATCTTAATAATTACCTGACTATTATTGTTCATTGTTTTACTGCAATATTTCATCAAGCAGTCATTCCAAAACGCGTCCTTTGAATTTTAAAGTAAAGTTTAAAATTAAAGTATACCTCATATCATATTTTTTTTTTGGGAAAAATAAAACTAACACTGATAGGAGGGTAAAAATGGGGCCGCGAAGCGGCCCATTGATGGCGCGGAGCGCCTTCAGGGGGTTGGGCCGCGTAGCGGCCAGGGGGCGTAGCCCCCTAGTTTAAGCATATTTAAGACACCAAACTTTTATAATATTTTCAGGATTCTGTAGGGAGAATTACTGAGGGAAGGATGTTAAATTGTTGATATCGTCGCAATTGTTTCTATGAGTTTGTTCTCCTTATTGAGGGCTACTTACTACTATCAGTGGCGTGGCGTGCTAATTGCGATCTATAGATATTTCCTCATTTGAACCTGTGGTAAATAATCGATCATTAAGGTGTTCGCTGCGAACACCTGGTTATCGATACTTTTCAGTAGGGTTAAATGGCAGATGATTCGATATATCGCAAAGCACGCCACGCCACTGACTACTAACAAAGTAGCCGACCCGTCCGGCGAAACGTGCGCAAAAATGTATTTTTGAGATGTGACGTTGTGACATCGGTTTTGCACACATTTTGGATTGTGGGAAAGGGGGTATGAACCCCCCTCAAATTCCCGAATGCGCAGTCACTCATGTCTGAGATTTTCAGGAATTTTGCACCGTTGATCCTTCCTAAGAGAAATCCGTAGTCAATCCCCTCACTCAATGAGAACTTTGCCCGTCATTTTGGATGCAAAATAAATGGACCAGTTTCACGTGGGGATTTTTTGGCAAATTTTGCCATTCGACCGGAAACACTTCGTGCAGACACTGTAGGGAAAATCTCTCCGGTACGCAATATTTCCGTAGTACTTTGGGCTGCCGAATCCAATCATGCTATTGATTTGTCCCTATCGCGCACCAAGTTCCAAAAAATTTAATTTTCCCGGGAAAACTCCGTTTTTAAAGGAAAATCTCGATTTTCCGAATAATTCCTAAGTGTGAGAGGGAGACTGAAATCATTTTCGGGCTTAGCGCTAGAATCTGCTAACAAATTTCTTGAGTTGTTTAAGGTACGGACTTGTAACCTCTTTCTCCGGGCCGTGTGCATTTTTTTCTTTGAATAGTATTTTGCCTTCCTTGCGAATTGAAGGCGTTTCAAGATGCTTCCAGCCGCTGTATGCTTCACTGCTTCGACGCATTACGGCGCTATTTGGGCCGGCGTAATTTCGTAATCATTCTCCTAGGGCTGAATGAACAATTTTTCCCGGGGCTGATGGCTTTTTGTACATTTCTCAAAATCTACATTCAACCGAATGAACCAGGTTGCTTTGGAGCCATTAATTTTTATATACCACTTCTACTAAACTAAGATGACTAGGTACAACGTTTCAATACCTAAAGTAAAAATGTATGCAAATATTTTTTTCTGAGTCATAAGTTTTGAAATTTCTTTACATGATGATTACATATATCAGTACTTATTACTTGCTTTGTGAGCGTATTTTTCCTCAAGAATATTCAAGTCTTTTAGATCAGTCTTTTTCATTTCTATTCTTATGCCATTCTCAGAAAATTCAGAGACCATAATAGCCACATCAAGTCAAAAAAGGCAATCGAGAGTCTCTCATCTTATTGATTTGTTTCAGAAACGGATGCAGCTAGAAAACATGACAGGAAAACAGACAGACATAGCCACATGGCTTGGCCTTAGCCTGATGGGAGTTCAGTTTGGTGTCCTGGCCCGGCTCACCTGGTGGGAGTATTCATGGGATATTATGGAGCCCGTCACATATTTTGTTACTTATGGCACTGCCATGGCATGTTACGCTTATTATGTTCTAACAAAACAGGTGTGTTATGAGTCTTTAAATTCCGCTTTAGTATTTTATTGCACATACTGTTTTCAATACAAGTGCAAAGACTCCAAAAAAAGAAATTCCTTTCTTAATGTGCAAATGCAGGAAGTACCAGAATGAAGTTTTACTGTCTGTCTGTCTCTCTCTCTCTCTCTCCCCTCTCCCTCTCTCTCCCTCCCTCTCCCCTCTCCCTCTCCCCCTCTCGCTCTCAGTTTTTTAGTCACCATATTTGGAACATGAGCTCCATAATAATTAATGAACAAGTGGATTGGTACTTTGTAAAAATCTTTGTCTTGCATTGAGAAAAAAAATAGAAGGAAAACAGGACGTGTTAGGTAAGTATTTTTGTCAAAATTAGTGCAACCTAAAATTGACTGGAAAAGGTAACTTTTTAACAGGGATGAATGTACATATTAATATTTTTACGAAGAAATTTTGATGACTGACCATATTTTTCTCCAGGAATATGTCATGCCTGATGTTCGGGATCGACAACACCTTCTCACACTACACAAACATGCACGGAAAGCCGGTCTAGACATCAATGAGTACAACAGACTGAAGGATGAAGTTGCTGAAGTTCAACGACACCTTAATCGGTTAAGGGATCCTCTTCTTCCACTCCATAGGTTACCTCCTTTGGCAGAAAGTCCTGAGACTCCTTTCTCCTCATTCGAAGCTCATCACTCAAAATTAGAGCGTGTCAAACAGCAGCTGAGAAGTCTTCTCTCTTTCTCCAAGGATTTTTCATCACCACTTATTAAAAGCAAAGTTAAAGGGTCATAAGATTCAGCCTCATTTTCAAGGTCAGGGTGCAGTCTTTTTCATTTTTCACAACATAGCCAATAAACGAAAAAACAATAAAGTATGTGACTCTCTCTGCGTCTTACAAAGATACGTGACCAGCTAAACCAAAAGCATATAGGATCAAATTTAAAACTGTCTCCAAACCTGAGCATGTAGAAACTGTTCCAGATAAATTACTACTTTAAGAGAATTGCACTTACTAACATCACAGATATCCATGTATTTTTATTTTTATTTTTATTCTATTTTCTAATTAGGCTCGACTTGTAGTCTGACAAATGACTAAATTTCTTTCTTTCTTCTTATTCATTTTTGCTCTTGTATGTAGCTAAGAAATCTTTCAATTTATTATAACTGTGACACTGCAATTTTTTAGCATTTATAACTGAATTTCAATTTCAGGTCATACATGAAAGGTGGTCGCCATAATTTTTTGCTATCAGAAGAAAGTATAATTCAATCTTGATTACATTGTAAAAAGCTTGTCACATGGTATGAAACACAAAAGAAGCACGTATACAAAAAATTAAACTAAGTGATTGTTCGGATATTTTGAACCATGACTACCTACTTACCAACCGAAAAAAATTAAAATTTTTCAATTTGTATTTCTTATACCTAACTGTGAAAAAGTTGATACCTTTTATTATTTATGAACCAATTCCAATTACGAAGAAAGGTCATAGAGGAAATTAGTTGTGTTCTATTAAAAGAATAATAAATCATTGAAGGTGAATTGAACAAGGTTTGTCTTTTTTGCATCGTCAGCAATTGTTGAGTCTGCAATCTAAATACAAAACTCAGCTTCACAGCCTTTGCAGCACCTGAAGATGTAACGATGAGTGTGAGAAACCATGTTTATTACCACAAAAGATTTTTTATATTTTGATTCCAAAAAAGAATAATTTCATCTTGACCAATTGAGCTGATGTCCAAACCAAAACTTTCCACTCAAACTTCCTGAAGGAGATTAACCCTGACCAAAAAAATTAGGCTTAGAAAAATATGGTTAATGAATTTGCAAATTTTAGCCTTATTTTTAAGTGTATAGTTCAAGTAAGGTCGGAAAATTACAAGAATTCCAGCCTTATTTTTGTACAGTTTTGAATTATTCAAAAGTGACTTAATGGTCACTGTGAAAATCAAAAGTAGAAAAATGTTTTTGGAACGAAGGCTGTCAAGCAGTATTGTCACTATCCGCTAGTTTGTATCATAGTACATATATATTTATTTATTCATTTGTTGATTCGCTTGTACGTTTTCCAGAATATGTTCTTTCACGATTTTATTGAGGAAGACAAGTTTTCAATGAAATGACTTGGATTTTATTGAGAGTTTCTCCTGTTTTGATCCAGTGAATATGTACTTTCTAGAATTGTCAGTGTTTTTATTATATGAATCTGCTGCACATGTTTAAAATCATTTCAAGTGTTCTTAACTTATTCCTGCAGGAATTCTATTGCAGCTAAATGCCCATCAATTTTCCAGAATATGTCAAGTAAGCTCTGATAGGGTATCTGTTCATAGTGGTACCAAAAAATCTCGACAGATCATTGGATGAATATTGTGATGTAAACAGTAACTTTCCTACTTCAGAAATGTGATTCACTTATCATGTTATATAATACTTATTACAGAATTTTCGTCACCTGAATTAACTTAAATTTAAGTACATATTTCTGTTTTTTGCAGGCTTTCATGTCAAAATGTTTAGCACATGTTCCTCAATGATATCTAAGAGGTTACTTAAGTACTTAGGAGGATCGTAAAATTTTAAAGTAGGTAAAGTCTGATTTTGATTGACATCACTGACTTCTGTCAGGTATGTGAAACAAACTTCAAAATCATAACTCAAAGCCTTTCAAAACTTGTAGGGCTTGATCATACATATTGATAGTGGAACTACCGGAACGGGTACTTCATTCTCATTTCATTTCACTTAAGGAAAAAATATCAAGGTTATTGCTTCAAATTTTCACAGAGTATTCTTTACTTAAAGAAGAAAAATCAAGAAAAGTTTCAAAAAATGGCTTCGAGTATTTTTCAACATAAGAAATTTAATATGTCAGGAAGTTACAACTTTGCAAAAGGAGTTATGCGTTCCTCAAGTTTCACCAATACTATATTTGAATAATTAGTGATGATTACCGTCTACTGAAACAGAATAATTTAAATTTTATGAAAACTGACAGGATTGAAGGTAATTTTTTATTTTAATGGATTGTGCATTTGTCCTATCCAAATTTGTGCTTTAATATTCTGAACGCACTCGTATTTTAACATTTTAGGCTAATTGATAACTTTAACTGTTCTGTTCCCGCTTTTAATCTGAAGTTCTCATCCATCAGAAGTTATTTTTACAGTTAAAAGTAAAAGATTAGAAAGTCTTGCATCTATATGAAGATAGTATCAATTCTTTTTGACTGCAACTCAGCTGTAGGCAGTTAAATTTTATTATTTACAGTCATTAGATCCATTTTTTACCTAAATACTTATTTTTCCATCAGTAAGAAAATTTTATTGTTTCCTCATGCCTTTTTTCCAAATTTTTCTGAATGTAAGTGTAATCCACATGTTCGATACATACGAAACAGTTAATTGTATTTTTCCCCTTGATACACATCCTGGAATCTTTAGAACTTCATTGTAACCTGCATGTATGTCATTTTGCTATCGGTTTTGGAAATGCAACAAGCTCATGACATCTTTTTTCTCTGGGGAGGCTAGTTGGTTCCCATTCATTGTTTGCGCAAATATATATTTATGAAAGATCTGGAAAATCAGGATTATCAGAAAATTTTAGAAAACTGATTGTTCCTATTTATCCAACTGACTATCTATAACATTTAAAAGCAGCCAAATAATTGAACAGCCGAATGATTTGATAGAAAGAATTTTTTGGAAATGCAGTTACAACTGTTCTTTTTATCATGAATATAAATCCTTTGTTTGTTATTTAAAGTGTTAATATGTTTATAATCACTAAATTAATTTATTTATTTACTATCAAGTGTAGTTCATTGACTTTCACTAACTATTGGATTGGAGATTTCTCTCCTATTTCGCTCTGCCTAATTTTAAGATTTTTCTCTTTTATCAGTTTATTTTTGATATATTCTATATGTATTTAATTCTTTATTCTTCCTATTAAGTGCATATTTTGCTCTTCAATAGTGTATTTACCTTCGGAATCTACACTACTCTTCATTGATTAGTTAAACCTTTCCAAAATTTGGACGTACTGTGCAAATGATATTATCTACAAAACACGCACAAGATTATTCAGAGTTCAGGTATCCTCTTCTTTTTACCTTCTTTTACTTCTCAGCTTGTTTAGTTGGTTTCTTGTGGTAATATTAGACTCATCGAGTGAAAGGACAAATGGACTCAAAATAGGGGGGGATTTTACTTTAAAAAAAATTTGAATGAAACAAAAACCCGGAAGAATTTAATGAATTCAAATGAAAGTCTCTGGCTTATACCAAGACTAGACAACTTGGCCAAAAATGCTGAGATCAGAATTTATTCCTTTTGCCCTTATCAAGCATGCATAGGGCTCCTTTCAAATTGGAGTGAGTTTACATATTCATCTGTAAAATGTAACCAACATTTGACCAACTACAACAAATTGTATCGCATCAAATAATAATACGTTTACAACCAATCATTCTTTAATTCAGTTTTGATGATCATGAATACGATTGTTGGTATTGTAGTTGTTATTACTGTTCTCTACTGTTTAAGTACTTTGATGAACCAGCTTTTAAGACTTCGTCAACTCCTAATTTCTAAAGAAATTGCTCCAGAAGATACCTTTAAGAAACACTACTTCCGGTCGTTCATACCTGAATTACCTCTTGAGAACAGTAATGTCCCACAGTATATTTCATTTTCATTTGTGTATAATGAGTATATAATTGGCCTTAATTTAACACATTTTATGTTAGTGCAGGTAAATTACTATTTTTGCACAGAAACAGTGCAATAATATTATTGCACATTGTTATGTAGTTGAGTTTTTTCTCAATATGTTTTTTTTTTTTCTTTCCTTTTTTTAAGTTCATTGTTTTTTAATTGTTCTCCTGTACCTACTTGTTCAGTAGCTGGGCTTTTAATACTGATTACAGCTTTGTATTGCATAAGTCCTCTCGGCCTACAACTTTTAGAAAATGAAAAGAAATCCAATCAAGGAAAGAGGTTCTTTTTCAATCGAGCTGATAAAATAGTGTTTGATTCTCCTTTTTCGAGAAAAAATCAATATCTAAAGCTTCTAAAAATTAGACTTTAAGATTTAATAAAGAAACTCTTACATGTTTCAGTCCAAAACTGAGGAGTAGACTCAAAGACAAGAGTGAATTTTGTGGCCATCTGTTGGTGGGGTCCCAGCGAGCCAATAGCAAGAGTGTAAATGTTCTCTATCAATATCTGAGAAAACGAAATTCTCACCTTTTTTCTTTTCAAAGTACCTCTTTTTTTTTGTTTTTTGTTTTGTTTCGGTAAGGAGGAGACCAATTGACATTTTTTCTTGAAGTAGCTAGGTATTTCTAGAATACCGCTAATAGAGCTGAAATAAAGTGGCTTCTAGAATTGGTAAATATTAATTAGTTTTCTCTCATAAAATCCATAACAAGGGAACAACAATATCAAAAATTGAGTCTTATGTTCCGCTGGTGGCACAACGTACACCTGCACTGCTCATGAGGCAAACATACTGCGTTGAAATTTCTTTTACTTATATTTTTTCCATCAAAATCATGAGAATGCTTCGCTTGAAATATGTAGTAAAAACCCTGGTAGCAGAGTTATATAGCATCTTATGTTCTTAAAAGAAAAATGAAATACATTTCTTTTTGATTGAATGTAATAATGATATGAATACAAACATAATATAAAATGTTAAAGAAAACTGCTTTTTTCTCCTGTATTTACTTACTTTTTATTTAAGAATTATTATTTTTCCTTTATTTTAGATATTATGTATAAATGCAGTCTAATATTTATGGAGAAATTAGGTATATACAAATTAAGAGTAACGGAGGATGATGACAAAAAAAGGGCGGATGTAAAAAGTACATTTTTAAAAAAAACGCATTTGAACCTTTAATTTGGCTTCTCAACAAACTATGTAGATCATTAGTTAGACCAGAAGCTATTCTTTATAAAAGAAGTTTTGAAATCTATCAATAGTTTAGGGGGAAAAAAGTTCATGAAAGGGTGCGTATTTCAAGATGGTCTTCAATTATGCTCTCTTTTGTCTCTATCAATTAAAGTATTTACTGAATATGAAATACTTCAATTGAATCAATTACAGTCGTATTTTGTCAGGAAGTTTTCAAAGGGCATTAAAAGTAGAACGTTGTTTTCAGGAAAACATTATTTCGCAAAACATTATAATGAGATGCAACTGTAAATTACAAATTAATATATTTTATCAAATGTTTTAAGGGCAAAGATAATCTTACATCACTCTGGACGGACAGAGTTTGCTCTGCGTAAGAATTATACGAAGGAGAACCCAATACAAACCGGGTGACCTTCGCCCTGGCCTCTAGTTTAATAGTGCCCAGTTAATACCGGATTGATGAGGAGAGCATTTCAAACGAAACGTAGAACGTCGTCCAAAAATTTCATTGAAACATTGAAAAAAGCGACTCGAAAAGTTTTGCGGTAAGGTCTCAGAAACGCTTTTTTGGGACGTTTAAGAGCGTTTCATTTAGAAAATCTGCTAATTCAGGTCAGAAATCTCTTGAGAACGCTCAGATAGAAAAAGGAGGACAGCGGACCCTTGTGGCAAAACAATGCAACTAAGATCATTAAAATATGACATTGTTTTTATAATAAATGTACCTAAGCAATTGATTCTTAAGTACTTAAAAATATTTAAATACAGTTATAAAATCATCTTGAATTTCATGTACTTACTCAACTTTTAAATACATTTCATGTGAATTTTTCTTGCATTTTATATTTATTTGTTGCGCATACTTAGGAGATTTATCTAATATCCGTGTACATTTTCTGTAAATCCATAATTACTTAATTTCTTCCATTTCTTTTAATTATTTGTAAAGATTATATAATGCTGCTACCAGGGTATACATAGGTACTCATTATGAGGGGATACCATTCCCTGACAAATATTCGGAGACAATATTTATAAGTTTTTGGCATGGAATACTTTTTTAGAATAACTTCTTGCTTAGCTCAAATTCCTCAAAGTGTTGAATTGAGTGCAAGAAACAGGAAAAGGAGACACATTTTAAGCTGAGCTCATTGATTTTCTTTAAACGTTTTGTCATACTTAAGTACTTATAAGACTTTATTGTCTGCGTTGTTGTTTAATACCTAATCATTTCAAATGTTAAGAACTTATATTTTTGATGAAGTGAAGACCATCTTAAATGAGAAGAGAAACACAAGAGAAGCCTGATGAACTTAAACAAGAAGATAATTACTTTAGTTTTTCTTCTAAGATTTCATTTTCGGTTCCAATTTAAGACTTAAAAAGACGAACCAAGTTTGAGGCTGCTGTAATCAATGCCCTGTTGCAGAATTTGTGGGTCACAGAATCTTTTTTCTGCCCTGTTGTTTGTTCTCTCAATGAAACTATATGTGTAATTACTGCGCTCTATGAAACTTGAGGTAATTGTTTAGACTAATTTAATATTTTCAATTCAAAAATCATTATTTTTTTGTATGTTTTTATCAATAAATTTTTGAATTTCAATTTATGTTTTCATTATTTCAATTACTTTCAAGCTAACGTTTTTTTTTTGTATTTTCATTGTAACTTTAAGACAGTTTCCCAGCAAATTCATTACTTGACTTTTTAGAATGATACAGCCGTAAATTCAATCAAAGCTGAGCCTGAAATTTCTAGTGTAGGCAAGTGTGAACTCTTATATTATAGAGCAACAAAAAAACGGATACCTATCAAAAAATGGATCTGCCAACTGTCATCAATTATTATTACTTCTTAAAGTAGATAGACTCAATTCAAAGAAGCCATAGGGTCTCTTGGGAAAATGTGTACATCAATTTGACAGGTATTGGGGAATACACCCCCTGACTGACTTTTACTAGTAGTCAGGAAATTTTGAGTTCAGGCACAGCCAGCGCGCACTTTCCAAGAAGTTGTGCTGATTTGGATTTGATTGGTGTTAAATTTGACGCATTTTCTATATTAAAAACAGTTCCTCTAAGAGGCTCTTACTCAAAGTTTCATGATGTCTGAGACCATATCTACCAGAGGCTCTCTATCAAAAAATTTCAAAACTTTACACCCATTTCAAAGCACACTTTAAATTTTTGGAGCAAAATAAGTATACACAAAAAGTACCTTGAGAAATACTAATGACTAACGGCCACTAATTAGACAATGCCATCCAAACAGGAGAATCAAGGTTACTTCAAACGAGGGGCTAGGAAGACAAGGTGCCAAAGAGCAGTTTTTACGGTTGCAGGGAATACTTGTGCATAGTTTCAAAATTACATCGAGCCTTCTGACGCGGAGAAAATTCAAACTCACTTTTTGATGCATAAAAATTGGATGTCTGTCGGCAGTGAATTTTTTACAGAATATATTCTAAGACTATCAAGTGACCTGGCCTTCAGAGGAGAGTTCAGTAGAGAGAAGGATGGAGGCGACAGAGACGAACAATTCCTACTCAGAGTCAATGGACTTAGCTAGATATTCTGACGAATAAGGGATCAAAAATGTATTAACTTCATGTCAGATTCTTGAGCGTTAGTGTGTAAGTACATGGGGGGGGGGGGGTGGTTAGACAAATGCAAAAAAAATGGCAGAGTATGTATTAAATTTATTTATTTCTTCGCATAATATTATAAAATTATAATGTAGTCTCATTAAAATATGGATAGACATTAGTTTCATAACAATAAACAAACCAGTGGTTCTCAAATTTCAAATCAAGAAACAATACATAACATTGAATTTCATCAAAGGCATTAAGTATTGCAAAGCATAGGGGCTACAAACAGCGATATCTTTACACTTTACTCCAGACACTAACAGGAGAGATATATTTAATGGACTACACATATCATGAGTTTCACTCATTAGATTCTGATGATAAAGCCAGGTCTTTAATATATGTTTTCGATAATCAAGTTTTGGAGTCTACCTGAACTACATATCTTGCCGTTAATTATTTTAGTATTTATGCAAAAAAATTAACGTTAGTCTTTCAATGCCTTTCATTTGTCCTGTTCACATTTGAGGAAATCGGTGCAAAGACTTGCACAGTCAAAAAACCAATTTTGAAAGAAAACTTTAACACGCCCTGATGAGAAGTTTTCTATCGTATTTTAAGCCTCTTGGAATACTTCATGAATGTATAAATGAAGACGTTGATATTTAACCTTTAACCTCCCAGCATTCTTATAAACCTTACACAATGATGAAATATAAGATTAGAGAGATTTCACTACTTAGAAATAAACCGGACAGCAAGCAAGGTGAGAGGTACTTCAAATAAAAAACCAAAGCTTTCAACACTTATTGCACAGAGAGGAAAAACATTACGTTTCCCAGACATGTATTCTATCAAGGAAATTGATTTCTAGTTAATTTCTGCTTTTTCTCACACTTCTGACAAAGGTTATAGACTCGTCTCACCATAAATGAACACAATTGTCAATAAAAAAAAAGAGAGAGCCATTTCAAAGCTCAATCTTCTTGTACTTCAACGTTTGGATTATCATTAATGATGAAAGCAGAATTCGGTAGCCATTTCTATGATAACATTGAATACAGGGATACTTTTTTCCATTCTCGGATGCTGTCTCTTCAAGTCTAGGGGAAATTGATTGAATTAGTAAAGTAGGCTTGCAGGCATGGAAAAGGAGAGGAGGATACGAAAACCTCAGAGGCATTAACTTCTTAAGTTATTAAGCACGGATGAAAGCCCTCTGATCCAAGAACTACCTTGGAAAGAGGAGGAAACACATAACTACATGAGTGACCAATGAAATGAAAATGCCTAGAGAATTCTTTTACCTTCGTGTTTCAGCAGGATTAGGATTAAGTGCTTGGTTCGGCTTCCTACAGTAAATATTAACACTGAGAATACCCAGTGTTCTTAATAAAGAAACATTTGGTTACAATTAAAAACTCACACACATCTTCCAAAGGTGAGGAGAGGGGTGAAATCCAATATAGGTAGTAATTAATTTGCACCAAGAGCTGGTTGCTCCCAGGCAAAAATTTGAGTGATAACAGAGCATTTTTCGGCCCATATTAAATTTGAGAGCTTTTGTCAATTGATGACGGAGTATTTTCACAAGCGATCCATTCCCTGCTCGCTAGGTCAAAAAAAATATTTTAGCATGCCTGCTGCAGTGAAGCTCTGACATTCTTCCTTCAGATTAAACGTACGAGGAATTTGTATTACCTAACACAAGACATGTGTAATTGTGATAGTCTTTATGGTCAAACCATTTAAAGAGAGTCGATTAAAATTTAAACTTTTGGACTATTTCAGTTAAAAAGACAATCCAGCAAATTCAGAGACAAGTAAGAGCTATCCTTTGATACTTCAATTTCAAGAGTCCAAATTATTAGGTTTGCCAAATTAATGCTCAAGAGATGAACACAAGAACTCAAACTTGATTCGAAATAATTTATTCAGGATTCTGCTACTTAAAGAGCAGATATTCGTCAAATTCATGACCCCTCTTTTCAGATTGAAACGTAAAAAAATCAAAATCATTTTCGACTAATTAAACTTCATTTTTAAAGTAATGCAATTGTGATAAATAAATTAGATCATTGGAGACTTCTGCTTTCATTAGAATTCAAAACTCACTAAAAATCGTTCATTCAAAATAAAATTAGTTATGGGATAATTTTGGGGGTTGGCATAAAAATGAAATCGGAAACAGGTGTTCTTTGCTGGATGGTTCTTTCCTAGAGTGTAACAGTGAAGACTTTACAAGTGCATACAGAGAAGCTGACTGAATTGGTTTAAATTCTGATGATGCTGTAACAAGAAAAACTGAAAAATCTCATAGACCGAAAATGATGTGAAAATAGGTTTGTCTCTACGCAGGCAATGATGGCTCAACCGCGAAATAAAAAACTACCTTCCCTCTCCTCAGCAGAACAAGTTTGAGCAAATGACAGGGTCATGAAAGAAAGAAAAATAATACAATTCGACAAACTAAATGATCCTTAATTAAAAAAAAAAAAAAAAAAAAAATGGATATCGATAAAATATATCTATTTCAATTTCTTTTTACAAACAACGTTATTGAACTTTGACTATAATAGCTACTTTCAAGTTTGATAATAAACAAGCTTTTTTAAGCTTAATTTTTGGATCGCGCTGATTATAAAATAATACAATTTGCCATATTCTGTATTGATACCAATTTTAACGCTATCCTCTCTTCAGGAAATAAGGCATGAGCCTGTTGAGACCTATGCTGGAAAAGTTTTTATAACGAACAGGAAGAGTCCAAAAGTTCCGTGAATTTGTTCTGAAGCTTGTAGTCCCTTTTAAAATATTTCCTTTCGTCTTCTAATTTTTTTGAGATCTTTAAATTTTAAATGCATTACAGTTTTCACCAAGCATTGGACCTGCTTCTCATAGTTGTAACGTATCCTAACTAATACGTATTGCTTTCGCACTCACAGAACTTTCTCAAATAAAGCAAAGCATAACACTTTGAACAGCCATGATGGTTACTTACATACCTAACTGGTTCCACCTATACCACAGTCGAGTCTCATGCACAGCATGAAGATCAAAAAGGGCGCTAATATCACCAGAATTACAACAAAGGAATCAACCATGATTTGTGACATTTTGTGGAGTCTTCAGCGCTCGGGACATCATGACAGTCAACGTGTTAAAAAACTAACTAGATAATATGATTAGGATAGTGTTCAGCCCCAGTTCAATGAAAATCTCAACAAAGTTATCATGTTTCCTGCATTGATACAATGTGGTTAATGTCCCCAGGCAATTAAGCGCAGCTGTTTCCAACGTACAATGGCAAAGGATTGATTGCATGTCTAGTAGCATAATAAAAAGGAACCAAAATTTATACAAAATATAAAAAAAATTCTCTTTACACACGACATGAATAATAAGATACAAAAAATTGAAAAGAAATTAATGATAAAATTTAAAATTAAAGATATAAATCTAATATGCATACGGACATAGTTACACATTAAAATTTTCGTACAACTAAGCAGCGAATAGAGGAAAGTACGACCCAAACTAAGAACGTAATAAATAAAAAAAAAGTAATAAAAAAAAAAAAAAACTGAGATAGGTGGTTAAAATTTGGTTTAAAAGAATTTATTGCCATGGAGAAATAACATCAGAGAATGAATATACAAAAAGGGGGGTTATAAAAACTTTCCCCTGCCTGCGAGAGAAGGGGTATAACCGAAAGCTTTAAAACATAACACGAGGGTGATATTCGAGGCACAGCACTAAATTCTTACAACTAAGTCTACAAGAAAACAAAAAATCAAACTAATTTTTTCATACTTCACGTGTCTTACTTAGTTTGGCGATCTGTTATGACTTCGCTTAGATTTGTTGCTTTTTTGTAAAAATGAATAATGATATTGATAGATTGTTTTAAAAAAAGAGGGGAAAAAAATTAGTAGATGAAAGAATGAAGTAAAAAATAAACTGAAAGAAAAGAAAAAAATATGTAACATTTTGGAGACGTGAAAATAAATAAAAATTGAATAACGTGGTAATTTACGATAGATCTGTGAACAGACAAAAGACAGACATAACATTAGAGAACTTAAAAACAAAAACGCAGGTAGAATTACTCTCTTATAGTCAAAGGCAGAGAAACACAAAATTATTTATCCAAATTTAGCAAGCTCTCAAGACTTATTTATAGAATTTGGCGACAACATACCAACATACATTTAGTGTTCCGAAAGGATGAATTTTGCTGAATCCACGGCAACAAGCAGAGTTGGATGGAGACGGCCGATCTTCACTGTCGCGGAATGATCGCGGCGTAGCCCAGTATCCCTTATCACAGTATGCGATTGTTCATGCGCGAAAATTCCCTGACTGCACAAAATTCCCTAACTATTCCCTGACTTTTCCCAGTTTTTTCCTAATGCTTGCCACCCTGAGTTTGTATGCACAAATCAACACAACCTCCTAATTATTCTGCATCTCACAATTTTCAAGTAGATAGATATTGACTTCATATCTCATTGCTCTGAAAATTAATAAAATCAGCAGGGCAATATGGGAAGAGAGTTCTACAGCAAACTTTTCACTGTTTGCTAGGATTTATCTATAAGAGCTACTGATACAACGCCATTTGAAAGTTGTCAAAAGACAAAAGCCTACAAGCAAGGAGCCTGGTTCTTGGTACAGTACCTATATTGGGAGAGTACAGACATGTCAGTGAGGTTAGGTGATAGAGCTCTTACGGCCCAAAAGAGCAACCAGTCTATGAATTCAAATTATCCAGTGTGAATCATTATTACGATGGGTCTGTTGCAAACTTAAACTAGAGCATAACTAAGAGTTGTTTCTTAAAGAAAATGTCTCAAAAATCACGATGAGCGCATTGGCAAATTCTGAAGTGCACCCCTAACTCCGCAATCAGTAAAAAAGATATGCATTTTTTTGAGGTTCCCTCTTCAAAAACGATACTACGGCACAGGTGAACATTTCGTTCGAGGAGTCATTCCATCCAACTCCTGCTCAGTAGGATGTTTTGCAATTTTATTCAATTATTATTATTTATTATTTTTATCATAATATTTGCAATATATTCAACGCTTCAGCGCGCAAGTCAAGGGAAGTACAAGGTCAATCAGGGCAGATATCTCTCAACAGTCTCAACTCAAGGAAAATGTGAATGTAAACGTGCCAATTGTTAACAGATGGTTAGAATCTCTTCCTGTCACAAGTGTTTTGGTGGATTGGTGCCGGTCATATTGAATATGAGTAGAATTCTATTAAGCAGGAAGTAGATGGGACGACTCCTCTAACGAAATGTTCACTTGTGCCATAGTATCGTTTTTGAAGCGGCAATTAAAAAAAAAACGCAAATTTCTGAAGCAGATTGAGAAGTTAGGAGTGCATTTCAGACTTTGCTAATGTGCTCACAGTGATTTTTGAGACATTTTTTAAAAGAAAATTCTTATTTTTGCTCTAGCCGAAGTTTGGAGCAGGCCCATTGATACGATCCGTCATTGGTAAAGCACATATTTGGCCTAGTTTTTGCATAAATTTTATCATTTCTGCGGATGAACCCTTATAAAGGAACATTCTTGGCCATTTTCGTTTGATATTGAAATTCGAAGATCGGCAGTGACATACTTTGTGTTCGAGGGTTGACTGTTCTTTTGGGCCCTAAGAGCTCCATATTTCGACATGTTCGAACTCTCCCCATACATGTAGGTGCTCCAGGTTTTGGTTTGTGGACCTAAATCTATTTTTACTCATATTGGAAACACACAATTACTAAGTCCTCAAAATGTTTTCTTTACACCAATAAGCAAGTGAGTACCTAATTAGCAGCTTTTAAAGTAAGATCAAATCAGTATCTGATTTTTTGGGGCATTTTTCGTATTCTCATTTTTCATCACATAATTTTTACTAAATGATATGAGATACTAAATGGCTCTCCTTAATTAAATCTTCAATGATTCATTTCACTCATCAAAAACTGGAAATCAAAAATTTCAATTTTCCAAAGTTTCCATTTCCATTTCACCCTAACAAGATGAAAATTGAATGAGTGAAAAAAACTCCCGTTTTTTTCTTGAAATTCCCCAACATATTGAGGTAATTACTCCTTCCCCTGACTTCAGTATTTTCTCATCTAGGGGGCATCCTAACCGATAGCAAAACCTCTTAATTGTTAGATTAATGAGCAAGAAAATAGTAAAGACAAGGAAAAAATACTTACAACTAGGCGCAGCAGCTACTTCAAAACGTCTTTGAAGCTGGTCATTAGAGAACTTGACGAATGCTTCATACTGTTCTGATAGTTTCTGATAAAGAATGCGGTCATATTCTTCCCTTATTTGGATTTCTCTATCCTGAATCATCCGTTCACATATTAATCCAACCTGTAAATGTGAAAAATTGCAGTGACGGATAAAATAAATGAGTGTAACTGAAAAAAATACAACAATTTGGGAAGCTTTGCGAAGTTTAAGATTTTAGAATTTTAAGAAGGAAAAACCCTTCACACCAGTGAGGACTTACTGGCTCTTCACACACTAAGATGGACCTACATGAAAAATTAGGTGATTCCGTCGGTGGGAACTACGATATTCGAGATATGCAAATTGTTTTGCATTCTCGTCTGTACCTGAGAGGCAGTTAAGTGCTCATAAGCTCAGCTGGTACTAAGACTGTGCCTATAGATGGACTTAGATTACCTGTTCTTTATGATAAGTGGATATTTAAGTTCATTTAATATTTAATTTTTTTTTTTTTTTTTGAGTATCATGAGTGTATACTTTTCATCATTATAAAATCTTCTTGTGTTTATATATTCCTTCTTCTTATTTCTGAATTTACAAACCAGGAAGGGGGGGTGCATCTCATAAACATCGTCTACATGATAGGATTGGATCCCACCACCAAGGAGCACATGCCAAATCAGAGGCAAGAGACGCAGTATACTCAGCGACCACATGGCATCAACGTGGGTAGTGTGTGCTTGGCTTCTGAGCGTGAACCGTACGCTTGCTGGAAGTTCGCAATTTTTAAAAATTCACTGTGGTTCTTCTTGAGTCCCATAGTGGGAATGGTTGTGCAACATGTCATAGCACCCTACAGATTACGACCTTCTAAAATTTCATCAAACTCCGAGGTAGACAATAAGAGCCGCCTCCTTGCGGGTGGCACTAATTATCCAGGAAGCCTAAAATTACAATCATTTGGATTTTAGTTAGCCTTGATCAACCATCCCATAAAATTTGGTGATAATTTTAAAGAGGAAATTCTATATATTCATATAAGTACACATAAAAAAGTGTAAAAAACAGAGGACAGTACCTGTGAAAGCGTAAATAGAGGTTTGTCAGGGTGTGATGTAGCTTGAGCAGTAGCAAAAGAACTACTCGGCGATCCAGGTGCATCTGTTACACAATCTGTGGAGTCATTACTGTTGGAGTCGTGATTTGGGTTAAAGTGCAACTGTTTTCTGCGATGTAATCTACGGATTTCTTCTCGAACACGAGCAGCCATGATTTCTGTGATGAAAAAATGAATGGAATCAATATAAATCATTGGGAAATGATTACATGGCCCTTAAATACATTTTAAAACGAACAAAAGTATTTGGTGATATGGCACCTTACACTGTGAAAAGACTTCAATCTTAATGCAACTATAAAACTAGACAAAAGTGCAAAAACTTCTTGACCACAAGACTGAACAGTTCAGCCTGTAAAATCATTTAATGATTGAAATTCAGATCTGAAAGTATTGCAGGACACTACTGAAACATCTCGAACATAACGGTTGGCAAAAGGATTTCTAATTTGAAGAAACATCTCTATTGAAGGAACTGCTTAAAAGCCTAATTTTGAGTTGCAAAAAACTAGATACTGTCACATTCTTGTTGGTAATTTGCATCAGGACATGTTTAAATTTTATCCAGAGATGTCGCATAGTGTGTGAGATATTCTCCAAAGCACCGCAAGATTATGCATCTTCAGTTTAGCATTGAAAGCAAATGCTAGAATCAAAATAGCCTTTCTTAAGCTGCACACTTACAGTGCGTAAACTTATTTGGTGTGGGCGCTACCTACTGATAAAAGAAGGATAGTTCACAGGGAGATGAGGGTTGAGTTCATGAATATAAGGCAGAATTTTTAAATAAAAAATGATGAAAGGTCTCTAAGTGACACAGCAAACCAGCATGTTGTCGGAAAATTGAAACTAAGTTTAGGAGAGTAAATCAGACAAGAATCCTCTGGAAACTTATAAAAAGGTAAAGTTGCGTAAAACCTCTTTTTTCAGGCAAAATTATGATCAAACACCCCATAGTGCAACAGGAAACACACGATGTCTCCACTAGATTTGATTATGCAACTTTTCTTCATTGAGTGGTAGCTCATACACTGAGCAATTAATGCTTCATTCCAGCACAAAGACATAAAAGACAAAGGGAGACAAGAATGGCTTATGTGCAAGTCATGTACTGATTGGGTACTCCGTAACTTGCACAAGGTTAGGTTGACGGAGGCGGTATGACGATTGTTGGGCTACCATGCTAGTCTAAAGTAAAACAAAAACAATTGCCTTCAGCACTAAAACTGGGCCTTAGAGATGTGCAATAGATGAGAGCTAAGTTTCGTTCCGCTGACAAACGTCCTGAGCACAGGGGTGCGCAGATCAGAAACTAGGTGAATTAAATGATCAGCAAGAGAGCGACCCTTCTATACAAGGAACTAGTAGTGTTGGTTAAGAGGTTGAGAGAAAGAGGAAAGGCCTCAAGTGCGATTATATGAAGGGTAAATTAAACGCCTCTTCTTGGCCTGTTCCAGCGCTTGAAAAATTTGAGCTGAAACGGCGGAAAGTAGTGATAGTGTGGAACTTTACAGTTAATGTTCAGATACGAGGAGAGCAATAGAAAGAAAATAATATGACTAGACATTTAGATGGGAAGAGGCAAGCAAATGCATCATAAGGTCTCCATCTAGATAAATGAGTGATCACACCAAAGGGCCATTGTGAGTAGGTACAAACCTGGGGTCAATTTTGGGCTCACTTCGCCGAAGGGCGAGGATCTGCATTCCTGAGAGGTCGTAGGAGGAGAGCTTGACGGTGAAACACACATTGGTACGCATCTCTGCCGTTTCGTAGGCCTTTGATGATGGACAGGATCAAAATCTAGCGATCTTTTGAGTGTGGCGCAGGCCATTTTCGCCTAGTGACGTTCTACTGAAGAATGGAAGTGTAACGATCGCGCGACCTGAAGAACTTCGCACTGAGCTAGCGGACAGTGAAAATGCAAATGGTAGTTAGCAAAACGACGAAAGAAAAGCAGTAACGATGTGAAACTACTGATTCACTGCACTTAGATTTTACACGGATGGCAAATGTGTATGACCTGACGAGATCGTCAATATGGCTTCCACTAAAGCAATGCAACAAAATAATCGTTTGTATCGAAATCATGGGAAGATCGATTTTCGATAGCGTCGCAAATACAGCTGATCCGTTAGGGATGCCATAGTACCAACCCTAGCACGTAAGCTACTTTTTACACTTTGCTAATAAAATAGTAACTCCGGATTATAAAACATTTTTGCTCATAAACATGACTTGTTTTTGAACAAATGACATATTTATAGATAATTTCTTGTCATTCCTCTCTATATCTATGTGTTTTCTAGTTTCGTCATGAAACTAGCTGCTTAGTTTTGTTTTGACTGATTTGGTATCATTGGTAGGATGCTCTTTTCAAATATTCCGCGCCAAATTCAAAAACACGGAATAAACATTTTCCGCATTCACAAGATTCCGTATTTCAAAGAGAGTTATCGATGATGAGATCGATTGAAACAGATTTATCCTGAAATAATAAAAGGGGGAAAACAGCGAGCGGAGCAAGAATGCTTCCACACCGCCCAAAAAGTTCAGTTTTAAACTGGTCCAAGATTTTTTCGGAGATCAAACTGTGCTATCAATTTATCAAAATTAGGTGTAGTTTCCGTGTCTGGCCCCAAGGTCTCAACCCATATCCTGGATTCTACTTTTTGCCACCCAAAGGCAAGTAGAATTGTTCCCCTCCCCAATAATGGATTGTGGTGGGGAAAATTATCTAGGTGCAAAGGAGGGTTTCAGGTACCTCCTCTGGCAAATTTTCATCGAATGATATCCCTATTTTGTAAGTTTAAACTTATTTAAACAATCTCACCTGCGAAGCTTTGAAACACAAAATAAAAAACTGGAGGTATTCTTCTCCGCTCCGATAATTACCGTTCTTAAGTAATTGTCTCGGTTGTCTGCTCTGAAAATCTGGGTTCACTTCTGTGCCTTTACTTAATTAGGTAAGCATTTCTCAAAATAATTTTTTGCTTAAAGTCTCACAAATATGGGAATTTAGCGTTTTAGACGAGACGGAAATGTTTTTGAGTGGGACAAATTTAACTCCGCAATTTTCAATCATATTGCTATTGAGCTTGAAACCATCCACTCAACTTAACGTAGGTACGTAGATATGACTATGAACTTTAAAAAAAAAAAAAAAAAAAAAAAAAAAAAAAAAAAACCTGTTAATCAACTTTTGGTTGAATTTGAACGAAATGTTGCGCTAGAGTTTTTTTTTTTTTGGGGGGGGGGGGCTGGATATCGAATATCAAATTGTTGCCTTTTACGGGAATATATCCAAGACGTGTAAAAAGATTTTTTCTGTACATTTCAGAACTTCTTTTACCTCTCACCTACGATAATCTGTCATCGTCACATTTCTACCTGAATTTTTTCAATGCCTCACAACAGAGTCTTGGCGCGAGAGAGAGATGGAAACAGTTTTCTGGAGGCTATCTTTGCCATGAAATTACCCTTTTTTTCTGCCCATTCCAACCTCATAGAGTTCTTAATTCAATGAAGACGCTTAATCCAAGGAAGAGCGGGACTTCAAAACCAGGTGGCCGATCATCAGGTGTTGCTGAGACTGAGCACAATGTTCTCTGCCATTAAAGAATGTCTTTTTATCTTGAATTTTTTCTTCTTTTTTTTCGTGACAGCGCCTATTAGGTTTTGCATTTCCTGTGTCCACGAGAGATGCGAAAGTTCACTGAATTTCATACCATGAAATTTCATTGAGAAAATGTCTCAGCAAAATGAAATTTCATTTCGTATCTCTGCTGTCCACTTGGTTGACGAAACGCCTTCAATTTTCAAAGATGCAGTAAGAAAGACGAAGATTGTCATCCCACCACCACCACGTGTTACGCTTTTTTTGTAAATGACAGTGGAAGAATTCAAGACGGGTTCGTATCGTGATGACGCTACTCGATTCGCTGCGAATGAAATTTACTTGCCCGAATGACGTCACGTTGACCTGCTTACCTGCAGTGTCCACGAATTTCTAACCTCATTTCGAGTGCAAACTGTTTTGATTTAAATCGTGAATCGTGCTTCGTGCAACACGTGAGGTGAAGTTTCTTTTATTTTCAATTCGCATTTCATTCTCGTAACTCTCTCACCCTGCCCTTCCTGATCGTATTACTTCAATGAATTTTGTAAAATTACAGTATGGTTGTCCGCGATTCCGAAGATTCTGAAATCCAAATGAATTCCGACCGTGAAGTTGTTTACCTCAAGTGCAAGGAACATAAACTTCCCATTACGTGCTTAGCTTTATCCCCTGATGGAAAATTTCTTTTCTCCGCCTCTAAAGACTGCAATATTGTGAAATGGTGCTTGACTAGTAAATTAAAAGTCGGTAGTATTCTGTCCAAACACAAATCCAAACACAGTGCCCATCAGAAACATGCTCACAGTGCCATCATTTATTGCCTCGCCGTTGCTCCGGACAATAAATTTCTAGCCTCTGGAGACGCTTCAGGCACCTTGAACTTGTGGAATCCTGAAACCCTCGTGCACTTAAGTAATTTTAAAGGTCACAAGGCTGCAGTAACAGGTGTTGCATTTTGTTCGGAAACCAATCAGCTTTACAGTGGCTCTAGTGACAGAACAGTGAATGTGTGGAACCTCACAGATCTGTGTTTCATCGAGACATTACATGGACACCAGACAGGTATTACAGACGTTGACATTATGAGTAAAGATAGAGTGATAACTTCGGGCGGTTCAGACAACACTGTGCGGCTGTGGAAGATAGATGAAGAATCTCAACTGATCTACGCAGGTCACAAACGAAACATTGATTTAGTTAGAAGATTAACCAATCAAATTTTTGTCTCAGCAGGGGATGATGGAATCATATGCTTGTGGGGAATTTCAAAGAAAAAACCTAGGCACACTGTAGAAAATGCTCACGGCATTGACGTTTCCAATGGTGAGCCGAACTGGATTTACAGTCTATGCACAGTGTCTAACCAAAACCTGGTTTGTTCTGGATCCAATGATGGATTTGTGAGAGTCTGGAGGTGTGATGGGTTTTGTTCATTAGTCAATATAAAGTCCATTCCTATTAATGGATTCATTAATTCACTTTGTTATTCTAGTGATCAAAGTTGTCTCATTGCAGCCGTAGGACAAGAACCAAAACTAGGCAGGTGGCAAAGGTATAAAACAAGTGAGGTAAAAAATTCTATAGCCCTCATATCCTTTGTGGATTAATTATGAAGTTGAATTTTTCATCCTTTTGTAAGTTTGCAATCATTTTAAGTACCTATGATAAGTTTCTTATTGTCAATAATTCATTTAAAGTTACTGACTCAAAAGAAGTTTTGTAAATTTCTGTTTTAATATACCTTCCTCTTTTTACTTTCTTGAGTTTGAAATTTTTTGCTTGCAATCATTGATGAAGGAGTTCACTTGATGATTCCCAAAAAATATACATATTTTTCATCACTCACCTTAGAAATGAGTACCTTACAATCAAGTGAGAGGGATGGAGTTTTCTGAAAATAGGTAAATTTAGTAAAAGTTAAAAGAATGATTCAGCCAGCAATTTACCTTTAACTTTATCAGTGTTCTGCCTTCTTCCTAAAATTTTAGGAACCATCTACAATTTTTCAGGAGCCAAATTAACTTTTTGCGTATCGACAGTGTAAGTTATCAATCACGTAACTTGGATTGTGACGTCGCAGACCTCCTGCCATACTTTATTTTTTAAACGGAAAACTACTTAGTGGCAATTCTTTAAAACTGCTGTGATTTTTCTTCTCTTTGCGAAGAAAATTCTGCAAAAACTGCCAGGAATCATGTCAATTTGTTGTCCTTAAAAAAGTAACATCGAGGCGAAGATTTTCAGACACCGCAAACAAGATATGTGATTGCGGACTTACGCTGTCGATATGTATCAATACACATGATGTTTTAAAAAAAGCACAAGTGAGGAAATATGGTATACCACAGGCCAAGCGCGACAGGATGATATAAAAATCATGTCACATTTTGCCGGTAGTTAATTGAATTCATCTTACCATGCAGAGCACAAAAAAAACATGAAGTTCTGATACCAAATCCCTCTCAACATCGTTAAGAAATTATGTTTCCAAAACGAGTTTGACAGTATATCTTGCTGTGATTGTGATGCGTTAAGAGTGCTACCGATGCTTCACGGTCGCGAGATGGAAAAAAGTACAGAGTGCATTAATTACATGTTTCAGGCACCACGATGGCTTGGTCCCCCAATTTTTAGGCGCATGAAGGCTGGGAAAGGCAGAACACTAAAACCAATATGATCATCCAATTCCCATTTTTTTCTTTTTCCAGTTCTGTAGAATGCGTTCCTCAAGCTTGCTGCCTGTATTGAAACATCCATCGTGCTCTCTTTTCTAATTCAATACTGTATAAAGGTTAAATTATTTTTTTTAAATGCCAGGATGAAGCAATTTACCTATGATTTTAAATATTTTATTTTTATCCAAAGTTAGCACTAAACAAATCATTGTACTCGCTGTTGAAAAAGTGACATGTGGTATTTTGCAATTCCAAGACAAGTGAAACAGTTTTAAAGACCAATAAATTCATGGAAACCCATAACTAACAATTTACTAATATCAAGTTGATGTCAAAAATAATGTGAATTGAGCTGGAAAATTCAATTTTGGTAGTAAGTATCTACATGTTTCTCCTTTAGACTCACTTCACTCAAAATCATTTCTTCATTCAGCCCAATTTACTCTATCAAACTTTTCATCCAACTCTAGTATGCAACTTGTCAAATGAAAAGTTGGCTCGTGTAATACTGACGAGAGAAAATGACAATTTAATGAAAAATTGAATGGAAATTTGAATGTGACATCACATTCAAAAAGTTGGAACAAAATCTTCCGACCGACATGAGCCAAAGCTGTACCTTTTCGAACCGCAGGCTGATGACGATATCACACTGCAGCATTAATTGAATCAAATTTTTTAGCGTCTAACTTTTCGTTCAAGCATGCCGAATGAAAATTTTGATAGTGTGAATTGGGCTTCAATGAATAGTTCCAGAAATGGCACCTAACATTTTTCAAGTACATTAGAATCCTACGCAAGCAAAGTTTTTGAGTTTCATTCGGATCATTTATAATCGACCTAATTTGCAGAAAGCTAAGACTTTGTGCATTGGAAAGCAAGTAAAAAATTGTAGGTCGGTGTGTCTATCTTACTTCAAGTAAATAAAAAATAATTTAAGAATTAATATCATCCGTTGGCACTGTCACAAAAGAGGCAAAACTACCACACATCGTGCGATCTGCAAGCTCTTGTTTATAAGTTACTTACTGCATTAAAGCGAGATGAAGGGTACATTTTACGTATTCCACTATTCACCTAGAGGTAAAATGATTACATTACATAAAAGTCCAACTATACCGTTTCAGAAAGCATGTGTACCCTCCAAATATCGCCAGAAAATTTTAAACGCAAGTACACCCCCCCCCCCCCCTTAACACTATCCTGAAAAAAATTTTATCAGAATTTTTTTGCAGTAATATACCTAAGTTTTTATAGATTGAGACATGTGTAATACCAACCTATACCAACACAAAAATTCTCAAAGATTCATTTCCTAATAATTTCAAAATGATATCTTTTAAAAGTTAGTCTCTATAATACAGCCTCCAACTTCAAGTTCAAACCCCTCACTTACCTAATCCTGAGGTTTGAGGCTGTAATCACTTTTTAATTGTAAGCCACCCAATGGTCTTGTTTCTTATTAAAATCATTATGAACACCTTATCGAACCAAACCATGGCATTCAAATATAATAGAGAGGTAAAAACATGTTTCATATTTGAGGTTTTTTGAACACATAAGCACATTATTTAATTGGACAATTCGGAACGCACAATTTCTTGCTCATCTGTAAAAACACTTACGTGCATAAGGGAACAAATGGTATATATTGCAACCTCTAAAGCAGTAGACTGGAGCATATGTTCAGATAAGAAGAAACACATTTACATATTAATTACCTACTGGGAATTGTTTAGCAAAACTCAAAAATTTAATTAGGTACATTGAAAAAAAACGAGTCCCGATTGCGAGTGTGCTGAGCTAATCAAGACACCCCCCCCCCCCCCCCCCNACCTCTCAATTTCTCTCAAAAATGAATATTATTCGTTGAATTCCCATAAAATCAGATTACATATATAATTTCCTGAGTAAGACGAAAGAGATTCGTCCTTTATATTTTAAGTTCTTTCTTATCTGGTTCCTATTTTGACTGTTTGGTTCGGTGCGAACATTTCGACCTGTTTCCGTTTCCGCCAGGGACCAGTTCTATAGGACCCTGGACTCCCGTAAGAGTCAGTGTAAAAATTCGTGAGCAGGTACTAGTGCTGCATTCTCGCGTAGGATCCTCGCAACTCACTGCTGTTATCAGTTGTTGGACTTCATTAAAATCCGTAGGATCGCGTATAACTGCAAAAAATCGAATTTTTCAGCCTTTTAATTCAAGTGGCGGGCCCTTCCTTGCCGAAAGGGGTCGAAAAACGCCAAAAATATACTTATTTTTCAAGAATTCAGCCGCCTTATGTGTTATTTTTCAATCTCCAGCTTAACCTCACTTTTGGAGCGGGCGATGGATGAGTCGAGGTTCGGGGGGAAGGATCCTCTGAGTTGACTAGGATCCTACGCGAGAATGCGCTGCAATCACCCGCTCACAACAGAACGGCGTCCTATAGAACTCGTCCCTGTTTCCGCCCATCCGAATGAATTTGAATGAATCCGAACATCAAGCGAACATACCCGAATTTGCCCGAATTCCGAACTTCTATTTTGTTTTGGTTAGAGATTCGCGCCAGATTTTGCGATCAAATCCAAAACTCATGTGGTCAATCCTTGATATTCGGTTTTCCATTTCCATTTCCATTTTCCGTAGTGAATTCTAATCCATCGATCTGTCCATTATCATTCATCGGTCTCTAGTTTTTCTACCGAAGTGATCGTTCAGGAACGAATTTCATCCAGTATTTTTACTTTCAACAAGTCGGTAAGTATCAAATCATCTATCACATCCACATTCCTCTTATTTTTTTTTTTATTCCATTCCATCTTATCTTTTTTTTAGTATATTTTCTGAAGAAAACACACTATATCTGTTATATCTTAAATTGACTTTCGTCAATTAACTGAAAAATGGGTTAGGATTCATCTACCTAAGTGCCCTAAGGCAATTACCATCCATATATCCTCTGTCCACGTCTAACCATCGAGTAGTTGAGTTATCGACGGTGTAAGTCGGCAATCACATAACTCGGTTTGCGACGTAGCAGACCTCCTGTCATACTTTATTTTTTAAACCGAAAATTACTCAACGGCTATTCTTTAAAACTGCTGTGATTTTTCTTCTCTGTGTGAGGAAAATTCTGCAAAAACCTCAAGGAATGATGTCAATTTGTTCTCCTTTTACAAAACAACACTGACGCGGAGATTTTCAGACACCGCAAATGAGTTATGCGATTGCTGACTTACACCGTCGTTATGTATTCTTGGCATTAGTAGGTGCACAGCTACATTTACATGAGTACTCCGATGTGGATTGAATACTTACCTTATCGGAATCAAGATTTGCCCTGTCGGAAGCCTTCGCTAGTATGAATATCATCTCCACATCCTCATTCAACTTGATGTAAGGTGGATAAGATCTTTAGCAAAAAGCATAGCGCAGCTTTTGATTTATATGGGAGACTAGGAGATGACATCTACATGCCCGAACAAGGTCGTAAAATAGTGCTGTGTCCACACTACATGTTGAAACTTGATTCAAATGTGTATTGAACTGAATTCGCCTTATCCAGAAAAGCACTTCTTAATGCACTTACCTAGTCCATAAGATTTGCTTTCAAGCAGCAGGCTTTGTATGAATGCGCTCATAGTATATATGAATTCAGAAAGCATTAAAAAGGTATTGATAAATATCAGAAATTTGATGTAAACTGTCTTTCCCATGCTCATGTATGAAGGGTATTCAGTCAAGGGGAGAGGGCAAATGATTTATTAAAAAATTGTGCAATATTGAGTTTTTGGAGTTACACTCTCTTGGATTGTTTGTGACTAAGTTTGTTCAATTCTACCGTTTTTGTCAGCCTCAGTTGATGGTCCAGCGAAGTTGCGAAGAGCGAAGTTATTAGCTTTGACTTACCTCAACCAATATATTCTTAACATTTTTATCTTAAGGTCATTTTATTTGGAAGGATTTGAAGATCCTATCAGTAATTTTTGTTTGTTTGTTTTCTAGGGCAATCCTTCTTCTGTTTTTCAATAAGTTGCTGTCAACTAGTTCAAATTACGTCCAAAGATGACTCAGCCATCAACAAACAAGGTAGTTACCTATAGAGCATTTGTTCCACAGTTAGAAAAGTAAAACTGTCCTTTTATTATCTGACCCATAAAGTACTTGAATATTCATTATTGATTTTTTCAAGTCATTATACATCAGTGCATCTAAGGGACCAACCCTAAGTTACGTAATGCTATAGGGGGCGACAGGAGGTTTTAAAGGATAAGGACCGACGTCACAAAAACATTACAAGGGGAGTGGGGATCAATAATGCCGAAAAGCGCTTTCCGTAATTTAGGGACGGCCCCTAACCAGGATACCTACTTACATATCATATCGACAGTGAAACTACCAAACCTCGTACCTTGTTCGCAGTGTATACAAATCTTTGCCCTTATTTTGTATTTTTAAGAACCAATCAACATCATTCTTTGAAGTTTATTCAGAATTAGCCTTGCAGAGATAAGGTAAATTATGGTAGTTTTTAAGCACTGACGTTGAGTAGTTCTCCAGGTGAATAATGAAGTATGATGGGAAGTCTGCAATGTCGCAAACCAAGATACATAGTCAGGTTTTGGAGTTTCTCCATGTTTTAGTTGTATGCTTAATTTATTTATTTATTTTACATGCACTGGATGAGATGCATGTTAGTATATCTCTAATACAAATTCCTAAGTTGTCCGACCATTTTACGAACAGTTGACAGAGAAGCAACCTCAGTTTCAAGTTGGAGTCGCAAGCGCTAAGGAAGATTCTAAGTTGGAGAATCAACTACAAAATATAGTGGAGCTGTCAAGGTTTTAAAGAACTTACTTGTGCTCGTTGTAACTGGACAGCTGATAGCATACAGGAAATCTTAAGTCTTTCCATTTTCTTTCTGTCCCTATGCAGTCTTCAATGATTCATTTTTTTTGTACTTGTTGCAGTTTAAAATGCTTGACGAGATGAAGTATTTTGTCCAGATATTGCTAGCAAGAAGGCAAATGACAGAGGACAATGCAAAGACGGTATTTTCAAAGATAGTCCCACAGGATTACGAGTTCGACCAAACGTTGGTACATATGAGTACGCACCTTCAGAAACAGGTGGATTTGAAAATTGCCAAAACAGTCTGTGAAATTACTGACAATATTTATTACTCAATTGTTCCCTGTACTTATAAGAAAGAAAGTTTTCAGCTGAATTTAATGAAGGACGCTGAATTGGTATTCTTTAAAAAAATGATTTTACATATTCTAGAAAACCATACAGGTACTATTGGCGATGATGCTATTGAAGAATTTCGAGTGGAGAGTGGCATTTCTCGATTAGCCGCGGATAATACAATTGAGCGCCTAATAGAAACAAAATATTTGATGAGAGTCCCTATAACTGATGAAATTGCCATGGCACCTCTTTGCATAGCAGAGTTCACAACCTTTTTGAAGGTAAATTTTAGTGACAGGTTAAACTCTTGCAAATTATGCAACAGCATCACAATTAAAGGTGTTAGATGTGTAAGTTGCGATGAGCGCATACATAAACACTGTCTTTCAAAGTTCTTTGAAAAATTGGCCGCAAGGATGAGGAAGTGCCCCAGCTGCGGGGAACTCTGGCAAAATTCTTGAGTTTTTCTTTACCAATTTCTGAGATTAATTTGTTTTATTCAAATTTGTAACCAAATTTGACCATGAAATTCCTGTAGTTCCATCAATTGGTCTTAATAATTTCTTTCAACCTGCAATGGATCCTTTACTTGTCATACCATTTACTCACATCATTTACTTTGTGTGACTATCCATTGCAGCAGTACTAATAAAATCTTACTTATTTATTGTAATAAGCTCGTAGCTGTCCTGTACTGAGATGATATCAAAATAAGAATGTACGATCCTTTCCTTAATTTTGAGAATTTTATCTATTCCCTGTTTTAAATGTGTAGTTTTTTGTAATGTACCATACCTAATGATAATGAAAAATTAAAACAAATTGATCCACATTTTTTCTGTTTTTTTTTTTTTTTTTTTTTTTTTTTTTTTTTTTTTTTTTTTAAGAAATTTATTTGTAGTCCCATAAATTTGATGAATTCACTCACCTTTGAGTGAATTCAATCAGAGCAGTTCATGAGAGAGAGCCCTTTTTTTCACTAAAATTAGCAGTTTTTGCCATAATTTCAAAAAAAATATCGAATCATGTGATATCACCCAATGGTAAATCCCTCTCCATCTTACAACTTATCTTGTTGGACGAAACTAGTCTTTGTTCCTTCTTTTCCTCTGGTGCACAACTTAATTTATGAGAAGCTTTTGAATATGTCGGTAAAAATTTTTAAGCTGGAAATGCTCCTTTGAAAAAAAGTATAGTTATTTCCAAAAAACTTGGCAGCATTGAAGATTGCGGGAGTGTGAGAGTAGAAAAAGCACATTTTGCAAAAAGTAACATTTAATCATAAAATTAGAATAATAATTAATAAACAAATATACCATTTACTTAAGAAATAAGAAGAAACTACAAATTAAAAACAAGGTGCTTGATCAAGAAAAATCTTACTATTTTACAACAAAAATAAATGAGAGTGAATGAATAGGTACAAATTATGATTCTATGATGTGGTTAAAATTGAATCACCTAATTGTCTCCATGTTAATCTTCTAAAACAATAATTGGTGAACTTATTAAAGGAAAAGGAATACTAACTATTAGAAATAGAAGATAAGAATCATTAATTACTGACCAAAGAGCACATTAAAAAATAAGTATACATGAGATTATGAGACAAAGTGAATACAGTTTAAAATTGCAGTTGTTTTTGTTTGTTTTTTCTTGTAGGAGAAAATTAAGTAAGGAAATAAATGATTGATCAAACATAAATCCTTTCAGATGAAATCGTCTGATAATATCAAGTGTTCGTTGGTAAACAAATTTACCTTAGAATTTGGATGATCATACTATTACCTTAAAGTCATTTTAAAAAATACTCAACAATGAGCTTCAAAATTAGAAGCGATTAGGGACATAATTCAATCGCATATCTGTTTTGATTACGAATACTTGAAGGAACACTTTTTCAATTATCCTGGTAGTCTGAATCATTTTTAGAAAGTACATAGAGAGATGTAATTGCACTTTTTTTCTATTACTTCTTTCATTACTGCAATCATAGGTCCAAATTGCAAAATCTGTTCGGTAATCGATTCATCTGATTAAAACTGAAGAGGGAATAAAACTAATTCATATTCTATTAGTTAATGATCTTCGAAGCTCAAAATAATTCATCATTTAAGAAAAAAGTTCTTGCGCAATTTTGGGATGGATTGAAAAAGCAGGCATGTCAATAATGTTTCCTGATTGCAACAGTTCCAGGTTTCTCTTCCCGCAATTTACACAGTTGGTCAAATAATAAAGCAGATTTATCAAAATTTGACACAACATGTGATGCTTATTCCTCTGCTTAAGCATGAGCTTTCATATTTGTTGGCTCAAGGTGACCAAAACTCTTGGTCCAACCAACTTGTATTTGATGATTCACCACATTCCAACCAAACCTTTTGATCAAGGCTGGCCGCCCATGGGTTTATATTCTGGTAAGTAATGACCAGATCTATGCTAAATATGAAGAAAAACACTTATTTGTTAGCATCAGGAATCGCACATTTTGATCTGAGGAAAAGCGCAAAAAATCTGAGCCTTATAGAGAACACCTAGTTAAGAGAAAAAATTTCTCAACATCAATTCCATCCCAAGGGATTAGATGGGAGTCAAGAAATTTAGGTCGTCAGCATTTGAAATTTCTGAAGACTTCTGTAGATCATAGAACACACACTTTTGATTAAACTTTGGGGGGGGGGGGGCAAAAAATTAACTGAAGGATGTTTTCAAGGATTCTTTGATGCTCCATCTAAAGTTTATTGGAAGCAGTTTCAAGGCAACAAATCAAGGACAAGAATAATAAACAAACATTGGAAAGAAATTTTTGAAATAAAAACTAACTACTGCAAATGATCTTGTACAAGTTATTGAAGGAGAGAAAAAAAAGGAATACACTGAACGATTGGAGTTTATAAAGTCAGCACAGGCCATGGAGAGAGGGGGGAGTAAACCATAAATTTAGGTAAAAAAAGAAGACAGAAATAAATCTAGAAAAAAAAAAGAACTGAGAGAACACCAGAATATTTTCATAGTCACACGATGAAAAAAGTGTCCAGGGGGGTGGGGGTATGGGAGGGGAAGAATTATAATGTCTCGTCAAAATTTGTTAGAAGTAGGAACATTTTTTAAAAATTGAGAAGAAAAGGATGTTAAAAAGAATGAAACAAACAAAAGAGTTACAATAATTATAAGCGAATAAAAATAATTTGTACAAAGCTATTGATTTAAAAACATGTGGAGCAAAAAGATCCTAACTTAAGTAAATTTGCCTTTAGAGACACATGAATTTTCTCAGATTCCAAGGCTGTCTTTAGAGTTAACAAGCAGAGACTATCAAACTAACCACAGACAACTTCAATTCCTTTTTTCAAAAAATCGAAAATATAACCTCTAATTGTTAGTAAAAAAATAAAAAATGGCCTTGTAAGCCGGCCGTAGAAGTCAGTAAAAATATGGAAACGATGATTCCGTATCTACATAGATACAAGCATAAACTATGATTCAAACAATGCTACTAACTTTTAAAAAATGGAACGTAACCCTAATGAACAACAAGAAAAATAATTTATTTACAATAATTACAGACTAACTGTACAGTTTAACGAAAGTTTTGTAATTTGCTAGGCATGATTAAACCCTATAGCATCCTGGAAGAGGCAGGATATCCTACTAACTAATGAAAACACACATGAAAACTTATTTTTACCAATTTTGAGTAATCATTCGGAGCTTATTTACAGCTTATTAAAATCAATTTATATTTACAATGAACTTATAAGATTTGAGAAGATTTTTACAAATAAATAGATGAATCCATGAAAAATAAAATCTTGACAAGCTGATCCTTTGACACTTGAGCAGTGGGAGATGTCTTCTTTTTTCATTCTTGCATGCCTGTAAAAATGTCTGATTCACTGAGGTGCTCAAAAAAGATCACAAATCTTCTGATAAACTTGTTTATAATACATAATATGAGGGAGGTTGATATTCTTTACATCTGTAGAAATTTACTCCTTTAATTTTTAAAGCAAGTCTTTCATTCCTAATGGAAAGAAAGTTTTAAAAGTTAAGTAAAAAAGTAAATCAGTTTGCCCCCATTTTAATAAGGACAGTTTCCTAAAATGCAAATTTCCAAGTTTTCAAAACCTAGTCCATAACAGGGTTGTCATAGATTCATTCATAAAACTTAAATTATTGAAATTTTACAAGTTCAAAAGAGAAAATTCTTGTTCTTTTTTCTCAAAAAAACTAATCTACATCGCATAATTTGCCTAGTTCCTCCCCCAAAAAAGATAAGACAGATTTACTATTCTTGTTATTATAAATAAAAGGACATGCGGACACTTTCAGAAATATATGCTACACTCATATTACATAGAACATTACCAAGTTTGAATGCAATTAGTCACATTTTGGGGGAAAATATTGATATCATTATTTATATAGTACTCCTTACTTACACATTTAACTTTACCATACTAGAAATATTACGCCAGGCATACAAACATGGGCACTTTGAAAAGAGAGCGTTTTTTTGCAACAACTTTTGAATGGCTAGAAATAGAGCTTTAATTTTGGTTACACTTCAAAGTTAACTCAAAAGTACATAAAAATTTCATGCCACATTTTTGAAAAGATTTTATAAGGGGCTAAGAAGCAAACAGGAAAACCAATTTCTTACAAGTTCCGTCCGAAAATGGGCAAGAAGAGAAACTTTGACTGTAAAGATCTAGGTCTTTCAAGAGGACTGTATCTGTCAAGTTAGTTAGCTCTACTTTAAACTTGCGCTCAATTGATGGTCTGAGGAACAGGCACAGAGTTGATTTCAGAGTGAATATCAGTGGCAGAGAGAGTGGTTTCATCCATCAAAAACGGATTTTCAGTCGCACTTCAAGCTGCTCATTCACTTAAATCATTTGTGCTTCTAATTAATGTGAATCTGCAGACATGCAAAAACACCATTGTGCAGATTAATTACTTTCCTCTATCATAGATAGATTCCCAAAATAAGATCAGTGAACGGAAGTTTTGGTAAGTTTAAACAAATGATGCTGGTCATTGTGGGTTTTGCACTTTTACTTCTTCTCATTTTCATATGGAACTCTTAGCAAAAATTTCCTGTCTACTATTTCACAAAAAGATGAATGCTCCTTAAAATTGACTTGTGTATTCTGCTGTATTTCCTGGTGTACTTTTAAACATTAACAAAATTCAAGTTCTACCTTTATCCATTAAACAGTTATAGCAAAAAGACAGATACTTTTTCAAGCACCCTTTCGGAACTTTAATCTACTTTTTGCAGGAATCTGCTGCTAATGAGCAGCTGAATTACGATATCTTCACTTGGAAGGACTTCTACGCTCATCCAACGCCCATGGTTACTGCAGATATTCCATGCAATTACAATTTGTGATACAGACACTGATTCAGACTGATCAATAGAGAGTTCAAATTTTAAAATATGAAAGGCTCAGAAGTTGTGCAGATCAATGTAATTTCTTACAAGGAATTCTACACATTTTGTACCCTTAAGCTATAAACTGCTCACACCAAGGATAATCACTAAAATCTTGATCCCTGCTTCAACAATGATAACAATCATGTGTCTTGGAGAGGGGGTTTTCTGCATAGAAGTTAACATTTAAATACAATGTTAATTTTGATTAAGGTAGAAATCAGCGAGACGAAAAACTTCAAGGCAGAATAATTCAAGTTTTTGATGTAGAAGGGATTACAGGAGCAGATGAGTGTGCTCTGCGTATGCGTTCAATTTGAAAATGAATTACTGAATGAAATCTTGAGCATTTTCAATTATGATGACACATTACTTGATACTGGACCATCAAAATGGCACAGAATATCCATCATTACAATATGATAATGATACCTGAAACAAGGTAAGTTCTAATTGCTTTCATTCAATCCTAAAAGAACGCATATTTCCCTCTTTTCAAACTATTTTTATAAACTGAATGAATAAAAATAGCTTGTTTCATTCAAGTGCAGAGAAGTTTTTCCTACTTCTCACCCTCTGGTTTCCTCTTACAATTGTCAACTCAAGTGGGTAACACTCATATTTAGAAGCACAACATTTGCCAAATAATGAGTTTTAGAGTATTATACTTTTTAGAACATGATTAAAATTAAAGATGAATATAGGACTCACATTTCGTCTGTTTTGACAATGATTACATAAAGATAAAATATTAAAAAGAAAAGCTAGGTATTCTGAAAGAGCCTACTTAAATTATTATACTTTTTTTTCTCTTTTTTTTCTGAGAGGTCATTTCATAAATATTTGAGAAAGGATCACCTGCACACTAAACTTGCCATTTAAATACAAATTTTATAGTAAGAAAAAATTCCTTTGGAAGACAGGAGCAGGAGATTTCTCATATAACTGTCTATTTTCTTAAAAATTGTCTTAAAAAGAAGAGTTTTTAATTCAGGAAGAGAGATTTTTTGATTAAAAAGTCTTCTTTGCAATAAACTAGATTTAGTCTGCAATGACTCTGTTTCATCCATTGGAGCCTGCTTCAAGGAACTTTGTCTTTTTCACTGTATGTGCTGATTAAGTCATTCCGTAATTCACGCAGACAGTGAAAAAGGACAAGTTATATGAAAATCGGCTGCTATATGGTTGTTTCAAGTGATTGCTGTTTCAAGGTTGGTTTCTAAGCTAAGGATGAGTCTCTCAACATGTTGACCGTCACAACAGTCATTATGGACAAACTTTTAAAGTGCCATAGATGCATGTTTCTATCAATGCCACTCGGGCCTTAATGACTGTAGTGGTAAAAAATTTTAGTCTATTTTTCATCTAGATGATTTTCTTTAGGAGCATGATTTAATAGATATTTTAGTCATGAAGTCTTTTGAGATTAACCTTGATTGGTTAGGTTATATTTACCTGAATTACAGTATATAATCTAAAAATAAAACGGTCAACATGTTTGAGTTACAAAATTCAAACCAGATATATTATGATTACAGGGGTTAAATTTCGTCTTTTTAATTTTTAGGGGGGAAAGGGGATTGCAAAAGCTTGCACTGAAGAATAAAAAGTACTAAAATTAATATTACACCAATTAAAATGGGAAAAGGGTCATTTTCAGGAGTTGCACCATTTTAGTTTCAGGCCTTGGCAAACAATATGTTCACAATTAGTTAATTTTAGAGAGGTAAGGGATTACATACATTTGCTTACCACGGCCTGAGACAAAGTGTTAGGTTTTAGTTGAGTATCATTGTATTTGGAAGAGACTGAACCAATGTTTATTTTAGAGTTCTATCAAAAAAATATTTATGTTTCTCATTACCTTTTTTTTCAGTTTGAGATGAACTTTTTTCAGTACAGAGAAATTTCAATTTCATCTCAGGCTGAAAAATACGAGGCAATGAGTGACTCGCATGACATGTCAATTGTAGTCAATTCATTAATTCTTCAACCTGTATCACTGATCAATTCAAATCGCAGTAAAACCTCCGTTCACAAACTCTAGTTCAACTAGTGTTAAAATACCCTCTTCATTCATAATTTACTGTAAAAGATACTCAATCAGTGACACTAAGAAAGTCAACAGAATTGAATGGTTGATATTGTTATGCTATAGGTATTAAGGTTGATGGATAAAATGGACTTGGAAATAATCACTTGAAATCGGAAGAAAATGTACAAATAACATCCACATTGATGAGGTTTAAAATTGAAAAAAAGAAGTGATGTATAGATGAGGTTTTTGAAGGCAAATGAATCCATGTCAAATGATCCATGCTGGTTCAATTTGCAGAGCATGAATTTTCTGGCTGTCCACATATTATTCTTCAGTCAGTCCATGCTGGGGAATCTGTACTGGCGGAACGTTGTTAAGTTCTGAAAAATAAAGGGAGGTTGATCAGGTTTGTAAGCCATTTTAGCTAATATGTAGTATGCAAAGACATATTCAAGGGACTCAATGACTTTCTTTTAAAGCAATGCAATCGTGTGAAGCAAAAGTTTCCTTTTACAGAAATTAAAGCTCATATTTCCCTAAGTGATGCTCTGGAATGCCAAAAATACTCAACCTACTTTGTGACACCCGACTTACAAGGCTTACTTTTTCTTCTCCATGCTGGATCTTGAATGCATAGCAAATCATTCAACACCCTTTTTATTAATCATTGTTTCATAAAAAGTAGTGTTAATCTCTAAAAATAACTTATCTTATATTATGTTAATAAAATCTATCTCCTTGCCAAACTGGTTATTAAGACCACTTTTAGTGTTGGGTACTCCAAGCAAAAACAGTTACAGTGACAGGAGTTTTTAATGGCACATTTTATCTCGCTAATAGAGCCACAATTAGTGTACATATTGTATTTTCGATTGCATCCCTCAATTTCTACCGCAGCCTCCATTTTGGCACACTATCAAAAATACAATATACGTGAGTGTTGCTCATATTCTTGCTGACAAATAGCAAATATACAAATATATACTTTTTAAAAGCTTAATTTGATGGAGGCGTGTCAAAGTTAGGGCAGGAAATGTTAACGAGTGGGGCAAAATAAGAGTTTTCAGGTGGGATTCACAGCATTTGCTCTTGCAGCACATGAATGCTCTGGCATGCAGGTTAATTTTGTGTATTTGGCACTCAGTCTTTTTTTTTCATAGACTGTCGCATTAGAAAAAAAAACATGTGATTTTTCAAGTTTTTGACCAAAAAATCTTGATAAGTAATTATAACTTGGTGAATCCTTACTAGTACAGAAATAGTTGACTTTAAATGAATGGATAGCTATCTCGCTTAGTCAGTGGGTTGGAGAGGGTTTGTGTTACACTGAGAGTTTATATGCATTATCTTATCCGAGGGGAGCATTAAAGATCACAAAACTTTAAACTCACTGCTAGTGGATGGAAGGTTGCTGAAATCAGTTCTGTGAAGGATGATGCTCGTTTCCGGTATGTTGAATCTGCTTTTCTCCTTTGAGAAAGTGGAGCAGGTGCTAAGATTTGTGTCTTCATCCATAGGGAGCTCTTTGATCTCTCCAACAGAGCTGGCTGAATCATCACTACTGCTCTCACTGAAGAAGAAAAAAAATAAGAAATAACAGTCTTAAACCTTACAATTTAACTGCAGTTAATAAAGACATCCTGCTTGCTAATGGTAGTATACTCATAATTTACTTTCCCTAAGATCTAAAAATTGAGAGGATAAAAATTTTACTTATTCCACGAGACCTACAGATTGGGTGAAGATTTGCATAAAAATGGCGAAATTAATCATTTCTACTTAGATCAACGTATGAGAAAGTTCAAAGCATGCTCTGAAAATGTTTAAAATGATAGCCATGATTAAATTATAACTTCTCATTTTAACTTAATTTAGTTACACAATTGAGTATAAAGTTTCAACTGAATATGAATTTCTTGGTTCGAAAACGACCCATCTCAGAAAAATGGAAATTTTTAGAAAACTATAAAAATTGTTTAGGTAACGACTAGAAAAGGAGTGTTTCCACACAAAAAACAGAACATCGTGACAAACTCGAGTCCGGTCGTTTTGGAACTAAGAGATTCATACATAGTAATTCTAATTACCCAGTCTGATTAATGCCTTCCTAATATTTGGATTAATCTGGACATTACCCTTATTTCTTTGAACACACTGGAGAGTGTTATTTGCATCTAAAGTCCTAATTGACATGAAATTTATCCAAACCTTCACTTCAGGCATGGTTTATCATATACTTATTACAAAAACCAGAGCCAAAATTACTCTGACTGATAAATCTACTGAACTACATCAGCCTTGTATTCTTCGTCAATAGCGCGATGACTGTCCATGATCTTAAAAGGTTCCAAATCACTAGACATCTATTCATTGAAATTTTCTTTTCGTATTTTAAATTTTTAAACTACCTGGATTCATCGGAACTTGAATCGTCGGAGCTGTCTTGAGAAATAGCAGTAGGAGCAGGGGCTGGTGGAGGCATTTCGTAGGGTTTGAGTGGCCCAAACAGCACTGTGTTCAGAGGTAGATAACGTAAATCATCAGGAGTGTAGCTGTTAAGTAAAACAGAGAAAAATTAATGTTTATGACTTAACAGTAACATTGCAGAAAGAATAAAAAGGACATATAATATAATGCAAATCTGTGAATTGCATAAGAGACCCATATACATGGTTTTTTCATTTTAGATTCATGAAGTTTTACCCTTATTTCCAGGATGCAAAGAAAAAAATTTTCTTATAATGCATAGAACAACGCAAATGAGAAACTCTACTCCCAAAACAATTGCTTCAAAGCTATCTCAGACATTCCCAATGGCTTTAAATAGAATGCTTCCATCCGTAAATACTGCGATTGTGAGTTGAATATTTCTGTCAAAATAAAACTGGATGAGTTTTGTAATTTTTTTTTTTTTTTCCCAAAAGTTTTTGCTATTTCTTTGAAAAAAAATAATTATGTATGTTTGAAGAGCTATTAGGTTTCAGAGACAGTAGAATTGAAAATTATTATTCCTTTACCACCGATTACAATTTGTAAAATGCCCCTAAAAATTTGGCTTTAAGATCTCAGAATAAAGAGAGGGCACCAACTAAATATGGAACTTGAATAATTGATGCAGCTCATATTCCTCACAACTTTGGTCCTTGCAAAATTTCATGCTTCACAATCGTCTAATGAAAATCCTTCAAAATTCCTAAATGGTGGTAAACATTTCATGATTGCCCGTAACGATGACTTTTAAAATTGTTAGGGGATGTTGGGACAGTGTCAAAACGAATATAGAGGAGACAAAGTAAAGAAAAATTTGGTGCATAAATATTTACCTGTTGTAGTGATCGGTGTATTGGCCAGGGAGAACAGCGATCGGGTAACTGCCTATTTTGTTGGTGGGTCGTGTGAGTTTGGCTCGCTTGGTCTGTGGATACTGAACAGTGTAGGATTGCAGGTCAAAAGAGCATCGCTTTCGGACTTTGTTGAAGTCTTTGTTCCATTTAGCTGCTGACCTGACGGCTCGCTCCATTGATACGATTTGATCAGATGTTGGTCGACTCATAAGGGCTAAAATCAAGATTATACAGATTAGAGTTGGGTTCTGAACATGATTCTGATTATGGTCCATGAAAAAAATGGTGTCAGTATTTGGAAATCTGACAATCATATCTGAACTTAGCACTTGATAGGAATATAGAAGTATACAAGAATAAAATGAAAGTTTCACAACTATAACCAACTCTCACTATTATGTATCTGAGGGGGATTGAAAAACAGACCATTGCATCAAGAAAAGTTAATATGAAACGTGGCTGAATACTATTCTGAAGTATTTATGAAAATAATATCCCTCCTTCTATGGAAGCGAGGCTCGGAGTGTTACTGAAGATCACGTTTTAAGACTTTTGAGGACTATGATGGAAGAAGGGCGTGTGTAAAAGGAAAATCATTTTGAGAAAATTCCTTTGAAAGTTTGAAATGAAGTCTAGAAGAAGTGAGTCCGCCAACTGATTAAACCAAAGGCAATTCTTGTAATCTACATCTTAAAAATTTGGAATCGACTGATAATTTGAAAAAAAAAGTGTTTAAAAAAGGGATATGACGCCCACCCCTTTGTGGCATTCATGTGTACAAAGTGCTAGAGACCGTTGTAAAAGCTGCTTTTGTGCATGTATGTTCTATAATGATGACTTAAGCATCTGGTGTTTTTCTGCTACATTTAAGTGCTGACACTCGAAATGCCTCAACACAGTTTTTCCCCCACATCAAGTATATAGATACTTTAGTTTTAAAGAGAAAAATCTAAGCATATTATTTTCTCATACCCTTACGGTTTCTTTAAAAAATTATTTAAAAACACAAAGATAAAACACACTCACTTGCGTAAAATTGTATAAAATAATAACCGGGACGCGTTTCGGGAGCTTAGCTCCCATCCTCAGCCGCGACTGAAGGTGTTTGTTTACCTCGCAGCTCATTCCGCCAATTTGCCGGGTTGTCATGTTTGTCGTCGATAAATTTGAACAACACATTCGTGGCGCCCGACTTGTCAAAATTGAAATTGTTGTTCCGCTTTTTGTAAATGAAAATATTCTCCCATACATCTAACAGTTTTTGCTCCTTTACTTCCTTGAGGAGCCTGGGTTCAAAATTAATATTGTGTCCTGTGGACCAAAAATGGTGTGCCACCGCCGAGCGTGTGATTTCTCTGTTTTTCATATTCCTCACATGCTCTTGGCCCCTGATTTTCAATGATCTTTTCGTTTGGCCCACGTAACATTTGTGGCAAGTGTTGCAGTTGATTTCATATATCCCAGGTTTTGCAGAGTCATCTTTTTCTGTTGTTTCTATTTTCTTGCTAAATCTGTTCATTAAATTGTGATTGTTTGTGAAGCTTAGCTCAATGTCCAATTTTTGAAAAACTTTTTTGAATTTTGGACCCCATTTGGGATGGAAAGTAAATTTTCTATACCTTTTATCTTTGGTTTCTCCTTTCAAAGTCGTCAAGTTGTTCATCCTCACTTTCCTTTTCACCTTGTTTATGACTTGCCTGATTTCCTCCTCCTGGAAATGATTTTTCTTGGCAATACTGATGATGTTGTTTTCTTCTCTCTTTCTGTTCTCATCACTGAGAGGAATTTTCATCATACGGTATGCCATGCTCCTAAACGCTGCTGTTTTATGAACTTTAGGGTTGTGTGCATTACCTTTGATATAATTCCCTGTATCAGTAGGTTTTCTGTAAATGTCGAACTCGATCTTATTATTTGATCTATCCAATAAAAGGTCAAGAAACGGTAATTTTTGGTCTTTTTCTTCTTCTATTGTGAATTCAATAGATTCCTCGAGGTGGTTTAAATACTCTAAGGCCAAGGTTTGCTGCCCTTTCTTTATTTTGGATAGTACATCATCAACGTACCTACGCCATAACAAAAACATATCTGGCCGAAAAACTATCCTCTCGATTTCCAAGTTACTCATAAACAAGTCCGACAAAAATGGTGAGATCGGGTTCCCCATGAATAGGCCACTTACTTGTCTGTACATTTTGTTGTTAAATCTGAACGCTGTTTGACTGGTACAAATTTCTGTCAATCTTAAAAACTCTTTTACTTTTTGCTTCATTAAACCACTATTTTTTAACCACTTGCTCAACAGTTGAAGTGCTTTATCCACTGGCACACTGGGAAATAACGATTTCACGTCAAACGACACCAACACCTCATCATCTTGCACCTCCTCATTCTCCAGGGTTTTCGCTAGCTCAATCGAGTTTTTCACACTCCTTGTTTCATATGCTTCCAATGCCTTAAATCTGTTCAATAACCATTTGGATAATTTATAGAACGGGCAATCCCTGCAATTGATGATGGGCCTAATATCTTTACCCGGTTTGTGAAGTTTTGGTAGACCATACATGTAAGGAAACTGCTTGTTATCACTAGTCAAGTACTTAGCTTCATTCACTGTCATCACTGTAGTACTTTTTAACGCCTCTCGAACTTCCTTTTCGTAAGTCCGTATTGGATCTTTTTTAACTTCTTCAAATAAACTAGTTTTTAGGGCATTTTCACATCTTTCTATATAATCTTCTTTATCTAAAACTACCACATTATTGCCTTTATCCGACTTTGTGACCATAAGATTTTTCCTTTTAATTGATTTTATTGCCCTTTCTATTTTTACATTAGATTTAATAACCTGGGTTTTTTTGGACTCCTGATTTATTTTCTCCATGATCGGCATACAGGCTCTGCGAACTTCGGTTTTTTCCAGTTCAGATTTACCTTTAAGGGCTACTTCTATGTCCACTATAAAATCGATGGGTTCATTTGAATGTCTGAAACAACTCTTTAGACCATTTCCTAGCAATCTTAGCTCACTGGTGCTCAGTTTCTTCCCGGATAAATTAATCACTTCACTGGTGTCATCCTGTTTTTTAACACGGCACAACTCACTTTCTCCAGAATTTGTAATCTTTCCTGGTAATTTGGCAACACTGCTAGCTTTTATATGTTTATCTTGCAACAGTTTTTGCTTTTTTCTCCTCAACCCAAATTCCTTTTTGCTAATTTCATACTTTGTTCTTTCAATGATTAAACGATCAAGATTACACCATAACTTGTAGTCTATGACTTTCATTAGACATAGGTGTCTCTCATAATTGTCTGCTTCCAACTTGGCCCTTACTCCATATTTAACAGAAATTTCCTTTTGCATAATTTTCCTTATGGTCACAAAGTCGGATAAAGGCAATAATGTGGTAGTTTTAGATAAAGAAGATTATATAGAAAGATGTGAAAATGCCCTAAAAACTAGTTTATTTGAAGAAGTTAAAAAAGATCCAATACGGACTTACGAAAAGGAAGTTCGAGAGGCGTTAAAAAGTACTACAGTGATGACAGTGAATGAAGCTAAGTACTTGACTAGTGATAACAAGCAGTTTCCTTACATGTATGGTCTACCAAAACTTCACAAACCGGGTAAAGATATTAGGCCCATCATCAATTGCAGGGATTGCCCGTTCTATAAATTATCCAAATGGTTATTGAACAGATTTAAGGCATTGGAAGCATATGAAACAAGGAGTGTGAAAAACTCGATTGAGCTAGCGAAAACCCTGGAGAATGAGGAGGTGCAAGATGATGAGGTGTTGGTGTCGTTTGACGTGAAATCGTTATTTCCCAGTGTGCCAGTGGATAAAGCACTTCAACTGTTGAGCAAGTGGTTAAAAAATAGTGGTTTAATGAAGCAAAAAGTAAAAGAGTTTTTAAGATTGACAGAAATTTGTACCAGTCAAACAGCGTTCAGATTTAACAACAAAATGTACAGACAAGTAAGTGGCCTATTCATGGGGAACCCGATCTCACCATTTTTGTCGGACTTGTTTATGAGTAACTTGGAAATCGAGAGGATAGTTTTTCGGCCAGATATGTTTTTGTTATGGCGTAGGTACGTTGATGATGTACTATCCAAAATAAAGAAAGGGCAGCAAACCTTGGCCTTAGAGTATTTAAACCACCTCGAGGAATCTATTGAATTCACAATAGAAGAAGAAAAAGACCAAAAATTACCGTTTCTTGACCTTTTATTGGATAGATCAAATAATAAGATCGAGTTCGACATTTACAGAAAACCTACTGATACAGGGAATTATATCAAAGGTAATGCACACAACCCTAAAGTTCATAAAACAGCAGCGTTTAGGAGCATGGCATACCGTATGATGAAAATTCCTCTCAGTGATGAGAACAGAAAGAGAGAAGAAAACAACATCATCAGTATTGCCAAGAAAAATCATTTCCAGGAGGAGGAAATCAGGCAAGTCATAAACAAGGTGAAAAGGAAAGTGAGGATGAACAACTTGACGACTTTGAAAGGAGAAACCAAAGATAAAAGGTATAGAAAATTTACTTTCCATCCCAAATGGGGTCCAAAATTCAAAAAAGTTTTTCAAAAATTGGACATTGAGCTAAGCTTCACAAACAATCACAATTTAATGAACAGATTTAGCAAGAAAATAGAAACAACAGAAAAAGATGACTCTGCAAAACCTGGGATATATGAAATCAACTGCAACACTTGCCACAAATGTTACGTGGGCCAAACGAAAAGATCATTGAAAATCAGGGGCCAAGAGCATGTGAGGAATATGAAAAACAGAGAAATCACACGCTCGGCGGTGGCACACCATTTTTGGTCCACAGGACACAATATTAATTTTGAACCCAGGCTCCTCAAGGAAGTAAAGGAGCAAAAACTGTTAGATGTATGGGAGAATATTTTCATTTACAAAAAGCGGAACAACAATTTCAATTTTGACGAGTCGGGCGCCACGAATGTGTTGTTCAAATTTATCGACGACAAACATGACAACCCGGCAAATTGGCGGAATGAGCTGCGAGGTAAACAAACACCTTCAGTCGCGGCTGAGGATGGGAGCTAAGCTCCCGAAACGCGTCCCGGTTATTATTTTATACAATTTTACGCAAGTGAGTGTGTTTTATCTTTGTGTTTTTAAATAATTTTTTGAAGAATTTCAACTTGTGTAGTCCCCTAACGGTATTAAAAGTGAAAATGCCTTACAGTTTGTATGAAAAAAAGATGGATGCAGCAATTTAGAAATGCCATTCCACATGCAATTGGCAAAATCGAGAATTCATTTAAAATATTTGTTCCATCACCAATCTGCGGTAGGTAAATACGATTTTGGCTTCTAGTTGCTTTAAAGTGCTGATAAATTGTAAAACTCAAAAATTTTAGGGCAAATTGTAGCCTTTGCTTGAGGGTCAGAGGATTTGGCAGTTATATTATATCAAAGGAACAATAAAAACTAATCCACGTGAATAGAAAAATGAACCCCAAAAATGTGGCCTGCACTGTAACAGGCGCCAGGAATGCACTGGCAGGATGCTAAGCTGGCCTCACTGACAAAAAAGATCCACATATGAGGTCTAAAAGACCCAAATTGATATACATTCCTAGGCATGACCCCAACTTAGTATTTCAATACATCTACCTAAGCTGAACAATGAACACTTTCCCTCTTAATCTTGCGCTGATATTCATTTGAGTTCAAATTTTTGAACCCAATGAAAACGTTGGAAATTTTTCAGCCTTAATTTCCCGGCAAAATACTGTGATCCATACGTTAACACAAAAACATTAAATGCATACCTAGTTGCCTCAGTGACATTTCTTTTGCTTGCATCTCCCGTAAATGATTACTGAATTCATCATACTTATGCTTGAAGTCAGCAAACATGATATCTAGAATATCAGTGCTTTTGACTGCCGTGAGACCTGCAACAAATTAAGATTTTCCTATAGTTTTTTACGCAGAAAAAGTTAAATAGGCAGAGTAATTAAAATTATTTTGCAGCATTATTAATTCTGAAGCAGCAATTATTACTACTGGTGAATATACCACTAATTTTTTACAATTTTTTGTTCTATTCTATTTCATTTTAGTTCCCAAATATATTTAGTTTCAGTAATACATTATTTCACTCATTTCATTCTTGGTAAATGACTTGTAAAGCATCAAAGCAAATGAATGCATCACGTAAATATCAAAACATTCTTACCTAGATTTGCAATAGTGTTTGAGACAAGCCCGCTATCAAGGAGGAACGTTTTTTCTTCTGCTTGGACAGGTCGACTCTCCAGATTGGGGTATCGCCGTTTAAAAGCGGCTTTAACGCCCAAATATTGGGTTACCTGCTCTTGGATCATGTACCATTCTCCACCTTGCAAAGGCCACTGGTATTCAGCAACTTGTGCTACCGAGAAATCGCGATTGCTGAAAACAAATGACCAAATGGTAAGTAAGGAAGAGAAAAAACACAAAACTGGCAAGAACAAAAAATAATTAAACGGCTGCCAGTTGAATTGATGGAGATAGAATTTTGGAAGCTGACAATGCTTAAGTTTTAGCCTCATCAATGGTAAGAGCAGAGGAAACGACTCGGTAATTATGGAAACATTTTGCCAAATTTATAGACTAGCGTACTGTGCTTATACAAAATAACAGTAATTAATATTATTAAATTTTTGTGTTGTAGACACAATATTATTACAGCCTGTTCTTTATTGAATTGCCTCCACAGAATAATGAAATCCTGGGAGGGAGATGTGTACTGTCTTTCTTGCATTTAACTTTTTTTAGGTCTAGGCCCAAATTTTTGTAGTTGAAACTTTTTTCAGATCATGAACAAATAACCTAGTAATCAGCATATCAATGAGCTTGCGCACTGCTTTACAGACAATTCAAGTCATCTATAAAGCATGCAAGATGCTCAAACAAATTTGGGCACTGAATATTATAAACAAAGGCAAAGAGATAATTGTTCACATACCTTTCAAGGTCAATCACTTCCATGCGACCTTTCTTCAGCAAATCTATAGAAAACAAAAACAACATAAGATTAGTATGATGCATCATAATTAAATAGGTTTAGTATAGTACACGTCTTTAGGTGTCTTCTAGACATTATTAGAGGAATAAAAAAGAGAGCAAGAACGAAAAAAATATAGAGCGTGGAACATTCATTTATCTACAAACTGATGGATTTCTCAGTTTTATCATTTTTGTTTCTAAATAAGTAAAAGTTTTGATTTTTTCTTATTTCCTGTGATAAGACAATTTACAATAATCAAGGAATTACAGTTGGAACAGAAAAAAAAAAAACGTTACATTTTAGGCAGACCTTGCCGAAGGATCCATCTGTTGACTGCATGGTCTCTTACACATCCATTAAGTTTTCAATAAATGAAAATGGTATGCATGAAGAGGGAACTCAGGAAAACTAGACTGCTGAACACATTACACAGCATAAATATACGTTAGATTATAATCTCTCATCAGAACAGCGAAGGGATGCACATGAAGTCTCACTTGATGCTTCCACATACTAGGTGCAAAACGATAAGCCGACAAAATATTGAGTCCATGCGAAATAAGTTTACACACTTCTAGACTGAAGATCGTCCAACGCCACTTTTAGATGTGAAGTAAATGGAAGAATCAAGATGGCAGATCTTCAGTTGCAGTCTAAAAAAGTGTCAACATAATTGGCGTGGACTCTACATACCTTCCATGTCAATGAAGGATTTTGATTTCTAATGCAATTGCTTTTACCTCAGTAAAATGTTGCAAAAGAAAACATTTTCAGGAGAAAATTTTATTTAACTTACTCTGTTCATAAGAGGAAATATGAAAATAATAAAATGATTTACTGCTAAAGAGAATAAAATGTACCTTCATCGCCCATCTGCGTTTCTTCTTCAAACAATTCAGGCGCTTCCGCTCTCCTCCTCTCTCTTTCTTCTTTCTCAGCGAGCTGTCTCTCCCTTGCTTCACGCATTTGTTGTTTCCGGATTTCATTCCGTCGTTTCAATTTTTCCCGTTTCGCCTCTCGTTTTCTCACGAACTCCTTGTACTTTTCAGCATACCTTTAAAAATGAAAAGTACCAATAAAAATATAGAAGTCAGGTAGTGAAAACTAGTTTTAAAACAGAGATAAAAATACTTAGTTTTGCTTTGGCTGGGTTTTTGATAGTAGGAAATAAAGAAATTCATTAGGATTTTTTCAGAGCCACACCTGTTTGGTGTTTCTTCATTTCCCACTTATTCTTTCATTTTAAAAATGACCCACTATTTTTTCAACTCATTTGGCTATGTGCTAACAAAAGGGAACAAATTATTTAAGCTTCTGACATTTGTTAGACTTGGAAGAAGAGACCAAAATTCATTTATTTCTTCCCTCTTAATGGACTCGACACGGCAGTAAGGATACATCCCATCAAAATGACCAATTCCACAAAAAAAATAAGACATTAGGCAGTACAATTGAAGCACTTCCTATTTTTAAAATGAAATTTGACGAAAAGGGGCTGTAATATTTTCCCCAATTTCAAAGATCTTTCTCTATTTTAAGCAGATTTCATACATGCATCTAGCTAATTTGTGTTAGTTCTATATTGAAGTCATTTTTGTCATCTTTCCCTCTGACGAAAATTAATGGGTCAACTTAAAATGCTGAAGACGATAAAAAGAAAAGTTACTTGCAAAGTATGATACCTGAAAGTAATGAAATTCAAGTTATTCGACCTGATATTCAGCCCACCCCAAGTCCCTGACTCAACAAGAAAAACTTGTTCTTCAGGTTCCATCTCTGAGTTTCTTTTTGTACCTCGTTTAGATTTTTTTACATTTATTTCTAAAAAATGAGCTTACCTCTTCTTTTTTTCTTCATACTTCCTGGCCTTCTCTTCTTCTTTCTTTTTCAGGGCCTCTTCTTTGAGTCTTTCCTCCTCTTCAAGCCGTTTCTTTTCTTCTACTTCGCGCCTAATTCGTTCTTCCTCTTCTCGTTGCTTGCGTTCCTCTTCTTCCCTTTGTTTACGCTCTTCTTCCTCTTGCCGTTTCTTTTCAGCAGCTTCTTGACGAAGCCTTGCTTGCTCAGCCAACCGTCCTCTTTCTGCTACTGCCCGGGGGTCATTAGGGTCATCAAGGTTGATCTTCGGTTTTCGTCCTCTTTTTCCTACAGAGAGGAGCGAAATGTAAAGGAAGCAGTTAAATAATATTCTTGGTAAAGATATTAATTGAATAATATGGCCTATCACTGATAAGAACGAGAATCTACGACTTGCTTTTTTTTTCATGTAAAATTACGTGAAAAAGGTCGACCCAACAAAAACATACCACTTCTAGGTTTAGAAATACAATTCATTAAATGTCTTCAGTTTAAATAATTTCCATGAAACGTTTAAAATGTGTGCATCAATCAATCTATATATTGAATTTAAGCTACTTAATTTATAATTAATTTTCTCACTTTTTCTAATTATTATTGTTATTAGTTATTTTATCGTTATAGAGGACAATTGCTTTTTCCAGACTTCATGGTTGTTGAAGATAAACTATACCTCTTAATCAATCTTTTTAATGTATGACATAGCAAACTTCGTGGGCTGCCTACAGCATTACTGTTTTCTGTAGAGATACTAGATTGTGATTTCCTGATATTTCCTCTATTCCTTTAGTGATACTTGCAGTGAGTTTCCCTGTTGCATTGATCACAATGGGAATAAATTACTTTTGTTTTCATACCTCATAATCATTGGGTTCCAATTTAAAAATCTCAATATTTCATGCCTTTTTCTGCTTCTTTCCTTGCTATGGTGCAGTCAGATAGGACTGTGACTTCGATCAAGTAGCAAAACTTTTTGTTTTTTATTGGTACGTTTGCCTTGATGCTTACTTCAGGTTTGATGGATTCTATGGTCCTATGACTCATTTCAATTTTTTCTTTTTGGAATTTTTCAAATTTTTTAACAAAAGTAATACGAATCTGCAAGGACTTTTTGATAGTCTCTCGAATTAAAACACATATAAAATTATTTCTTCTGTGGACAGTCCGAAATTTACACCAAAATAGTCTTGTAGAGGAACTACCTAATTTACTTGTGCGGCTATGATACGTGTTATGGTGTAGAAAGAAATATTGAGGATAGAGTAAATATACTTGATTATTGATAGATGACCTTGTTAATTTGGCAAATTTTATTTTTCAAAGGCAGAGACACAAGACATTATTGAGTGAAAAAAACGAATTTTAAGGGAAAAATTTCGGGGTTACTCATCATTCTACCTTTAGAAGTTTTTCCTAGGTTTTTAGAAATTTTATGAGCTTACTAAAAAAAAATAGAAAAAAAAAAAAATAAAAAAAAAATAATAAAAATAAAAAAATAAAATAAAAATAAAAAAATAAAATAAAAATAAAAAAATAAAATAAAAATAAAAAAATAAAATAAAAATAAAAAAATAAAATAAAAATAAAAAAATAAAATAAAAATAAGAAAAATAAAAATAAAGAAAATAAAAATAAAAAAAAATAAAACAAAAAATAAGAAAAATAAAAGTAAAGAAAATAAAAATAAAAAAATAAAACAAAAAATAAAATGAAATAAAAATAAAAAATAAAAAAATAAAAATAAAGAAAATAAAAATAAAAAAATAAAATAGAAAATAAAATAAAATAAAAATAAAAAAATAAAAAAAATAAAAATAAAGAAAATAAAAATAAAAAAACTAATAAATAAAAATAAAAGATGACATACCTTTAACGGGAGTTCCTTGCAGGGTAGAGAGATTGCCATCCTCCACTTTGATTTTACGCGGACGTCCTCGTTTCCGCTTCATGGGTTCACCAGAACCTGGTGTCGCATCAGAATCTGTAGTCAGCAGTGAAACAAATGGACTCTTCACTGGTGTTTCATCCATGAAGCTGCCATCCATCAATTCGTTGGGTACTTTGTAGTTTGCCTCCATATCTACCACTGCATCAGGCTCCTTGTTTAAAATATCACTATTCTCATTTCCACAGGAGCGTAACGCACTTCCTCCTTCTCCAGCATTAATAATTTCTGTTGTAAGTTTGGATAATTTGACCTGCGGTTCCATCTCTGCTACCTTCTTCGGCCGCCCGCGCTTGGGCACTAATTTATCAGGAAAACTTTGGCCATCGATGCTATCATTACCATCCATGGTTGCTTTTCTTCTGCCACGTTTCGGGGTCATGGATTCTTTACTATCAGTATCAATGGATTTCAGAATTACTTTACAATCTGTAGTTATTGGTTCTATAGCACGCCGTTTTGAAGATCCCGGCTCTGGTTTTGTTGCTGACTTCATAAAGATCTTGGCCGGGCAAGACGCCTCCGTGGTAATTTTCATTGGGAATTTTCCAGCCTCATGGGAAATGATTTGGTTGTTGCGAAGGTCAACCTTGATTTTGTTCTTGTATTCAGGGTGAGGTAAAAGTGAGGCGTCTACACCAGATGATTTCAGGCGGCTCAGCTCGCTGGAGACAGAACTATCACTGCTGGTGGAGTTTGTTCGGCTGATTGAAGCTGGTGTTTTGATACCTTTGTCGCTATAAAGTATGCTTGCTTCACTTTCAATGGAGCTAGATCGACTTACCGCTGCTGATTGAGTTCTATCTGATTCAGAAGTTGCATTATCAATAGATTGAGATGTGCTCTCGCTGTCAATAGAACAGCTGCGCGATACTGTTGCAGAAGTATGACCTTGCAATGCTATACTGCTCTCGACCTTTGGCTTTAGTCCAGTGTTAGTGGTGATCTTGATCTTCAATGAGGATGTGGTGATCTCTTTCACTGATTCGAAATTTCTAACTTCTTCGAATTCTGATGCTAAATTTTTAACTACGTCCTGACTTTCTTCCGACTCCGATCGCACTTCGCTCACATCTCCTCCAATGATTTCTTTGAGCTGCTCTGGTGATAGCTTTTGGATTTCCATTGGTCCTGAATCAGTTTGCGTCAACGTACTCTCAATGGCTCCTGAGTTTGAGTATTCCGAATCGTTTGTGAGTTCGTCTGCCCCAAGGGATTCATCATCAGACTGAGCCATTTCTGATTCTTCATTTTCGCAGTCTTTTTCCATCACTTCACTATCGATGATATTATCTTCTGCATTCTCCTCAGTAATTTCTTCGGTAACTGGTGGGGTTTCCAATTGTTTTTCCTCTTCTGGATTTTTTACCTCAACGATCTCGCAGTCTGTGATGCACAATGCTCCTTCTTTGTCTGTTTTATTATCATCATTGGTTTCGGAATCCTCAGTTTTTTCACAAGGATTATCATCCTCCAATGTATGGACTTTTGCGATGCATTCAGCAACTGAAGGTTCTAAAATTTCAGTGGCTTCTTGGATTTTTTCTTCACTATTTTTGAAATCGAAGCTGTTCATTTTATTGAGGTCATGAATTTTAAATCTAAGCTCAGTATCTTCTGATTTTGAGATATTGGATTCCTTCAAAATGGTCTCAGGATTTTGGCTTTCCATCTTTCTAGAGCTTGTGGCGGTAAATGATTTTTCATACGTTTTATTAAGAATTTCAGATTTTTCAGAACTTGTTGCAGAGTCTGTCGTTTCAGTGAATTCAACATCTGAGAATTCAACCGATTTGTTGGATATCTCAGCACAGTTTTCAGAATCTACCACACCAACAGCTTCAGGAATAGAAATACTGTCAGGTTCTGGAAAATCCTCCGGTGTAGCCACTGAGCTCTGGACTTCAAATACAGGTTTCAAAGGTATTTGTGGCTCAATCAGGTTTTCAGCAATAATGCCTGCATCTTTGCACGCAGATAATTCATTGCAGGATTCACTTTTAGGATCTTGGCTGGTCACGGCTTCAGAAATAGATTTAGAGATGTCGATGGTAAGGTCCTCCTGAGTTGCAGTATCAGATGCTACATTTGGGGGATCAGACTGAGTTGAGAATTTTGGGTAGTTTTCCTCAGACTCTGCCAAATCTTTTGGAGGGTTTGGTTCTATGATCTCGAATTTGTTCGCACTATTTCCTTTTTCCAGCTTTTCTTTAGTTTGGTCAGTAATTATACTTTCGTTGCTGGTAACATCGGGGATTGAGCTAACATCATGGGCACATTCCTCGGAAGTAGAAGGGACCTGGACACTGTCATTTTCAAAAGTTTCTCTCTGTGCCACAGGTAAATCCTGTTGGTCATTTACCGATTTCCCGGGCTTTTCAGTAGAGCCTGGTTTCTTTTCAGCAGTTTTAGGAACTTCACCATCTGTAGATTTTTCTGCTACTAAGCTGAGATTAAGGTTGCCTTTTTCAAGGGGTAACTTTTCAACAATGATAGATGCGGTGTATGGTTGATTATCTAATTTTGAGCCTGACTCTTCTTTCTCTTTAGCACTCAAAGTTGGAGAGTATTTTGCACTTGGACCCTCCTCTGCTGAAGGAATAAGGGGTTCGTCGAGGGGGATTAATTCTGGACTAGAGGTTTTCCTGTGGGGTGTAATGAGATCTTGGACAGCTTTATTACAGTCCATTCCACCAGTCACATCAGTATTATCCGATTTACATTCTACTTTTCTGATAGATTCAAGAGCCGTGGTTGGCTCTGGGTCATTTCTCTCGGCTTGTTCACAGCTTTCGACATTCCCGGTTGATAAGCTTTCACAATGGGGTATTATAGTTTTTTCAACAATATTGGTTTCAGGTACTACATTATTTTGGCCTGGTGTTCTGCTCTTGGGAACAGAAACTGACTCAACAGTATCCGACTCAGAGACTTTAAACTCATCTTCTCCACTGAGGGATTCAGATTTTTGGATGTTGGTGGTTTTTTTTGCAAGCTGCTCTGCTCCCGAAGAGTCATCTTTAACGACAGGCTTTAGACTACTAACTTCATCCACAGTTTCAATTTCGCTTGAATTTTTAATGTCCGGTGATTTTGAGGACAGATTGATTTCGGACTTGCAAAGTACGCTTGCAGATGAATCTGAGGAAATTTTGCAGGATATTTCAGAAGGAGAACATGCGGAGATATTCTCGGCTGCAGACAGAGTTTCTGAATTTATGCTTTCATTTGGTAAGGGCATGTTCTCAGAGCTTTGCAAAGCTTCAGCATTTTTAGGGTTGTCTGGTTTTCTAGACTCGGGACTGACTATTTCAGCTAAAAAAGTGATATTCTTACCAGGGATGGTTTCTACTTCCCCATTAAGTTGAGTGCTTTCTGGCAATTCACTTCTTTCCTTTTCTGAAAGTTCTGCTGATTTGGGTGCATCACTAGCCACTGCTGCCATTTTTTCATCTGAATTCTTTGCTTCAAGCATTGTTGGATTAATTGAGCACGCCAATTCTTCTTGGGGGGAAATTTCTGCCTTCAAAACTACCTGTGAATCATAAAAACCGGCGGATGAGTGAGAGGAAGTTATAACATTCTCAGTTTCGTCATGCGATCTTGCGGTGGCTGCTACACTTGCTGGCTGACAATGTGACGTTTCAGCAGCGAGAGATGGTAACACAGCTTCTTCACGCACGCAAGGGTTGGATGCACACACAACTACGGAGCTACGAGAGACAGAGTTGCCACTCTTGCAGGAGTGGGCTTGAGAGGAGTCAAAAGAGATTGGCAGAGAATCAGAAATGTCATCAGGAACAACTAACATCTCAGGTTTGGAAGTTGAGGCGGGATTGGATGAAGGATCACAGTTGAAAGGCTGTCCTTCCTCAAGAATAGAGGGACTGCCAAAAGATACAGTTCTAGAAGAAACATTACTGTTATTACAACAAGTTACGTACCCTATTTGTTGAGAGATCTTGTTATCTTTTGCATTTTTAGAGGAGAGATCATCACTGGAGGAGTCTTGGTTGATTTTATTAGGATCAATAGGTGGATAGACAATGTCTTGAGAAGTTTCGTCGGAGTCCTTCAAGGACTGAGAGGTTTTGTTATCAGTGGCAGTTTTTTCTTTCTCAGAGGGAACATCAACGTTTAGACTAGTGGAGGAAGTGGTTTTCTTATTCTTGTCAGGGGTAAGTAAATTTTCAGTAACGGACGGAGCGTTTCCAGGTCCAGAACAAGTGCTGGCAAAAGCCGTTTTTTCATTATTTTGAAGCCTGTGAAAATCATCAGATGATAAGTATGTGTTATCATTGGATGGTACAATGACTGATTCTACATTAAAGATGGGCGAATTTTTTTGGACATTACAGGTATATTGAGGTGATATTTTTCCAGAGGTGGTTGCTTCTATGGTACAGGGCAGAACAAGGGTATCGAGAGTTTCGTCTGAAGAGGCTTCTTTAACACTGGTGGGCGTTGTTAATTTATCATTTGAGAAAAGACCGGGGTTCTGTATCAGATCTGGGTCCGGTTCAACATGAGGAAATACAATAGGTTTTGGACTGATCTGAGAGGAAACGTCCGGGACTGAAATTTCGGCTGATGATTTGATTTCGTTCTGTGGTGACGGCGTATCACCTTTGCTTATTGCAGAGCCATGCAACATGAGAGAATGGGAGACAGTTTGGTCTTTTGTTTCACTTTCAACAGTATTAGATATAAAAACGCTTCCTTTGCTAAACACTTCAGTAACAGATATTACAGAGGCAGACTTATCTTCTTTGCATTCAGAGACAGGATCTTTAGCATTAAGGTTGAGTTGTCTTCCAAAATGACCTATTTTTCTGCGTTTGCTTTTTGATTCAACTACCACCGACAGATCTAGAGTTATGGCACATGCAACATCAATTAGCTTTCTCCTTTGATTGAGTATATGAGTTTTAGAGTCCTTACCCTCAGGACTTAGGGTGTATAAAAAAGGGGTTTCTCTCCTTTTTTGAGCACTTTTAACAAGAGAGTCTTCTTTCGGTGGATCTGGATTGGATGGTGGGGACTTGTTTGAACTTTGAGGCTGCTTCGTGAGAGATTCAAGTGTGGAGAGTGCTTTGTCATTAGACGATACTACATTCTGAATATTATCTGGGGAAGTTGAGAGGGTAAGACTGCAAACTTCAACTTTGGCACTTTGAGTATTATCAATGGCAATTACCTCACTTTTAGTTATACTTTCTGAGTTGCTTATTATTGACAAAGGAGGGCTTCCAGCTGTCGCCTGTGAGGCTTCAGTGTTAATGTTTACATCTAATATTCCAGAATACGGAGCAGTTTTTGATTTATTTCGCTCGGCAAATGAAACAACAGATTCAACTTCGTCAGTGCCGAGGCCATCACCTGAGATCGAACCCGATGAAACGATGTTCAAGAATTCAGTCTTCCGCTTTTTGCTTGGAATTTCATCATCGATATCTCCTTTGCAATCGAGCTCATGTTTAGAGGCACTTCTTTGAACTTGGCTTTCAACATTACTAGAGGATACATCTGACGATTGTAGACCCGGGAGAGAATCAGAGGATGAATTTGCAACTACATCAGACTTAAAACGTTTTGTGGGTGTAGCATTTTCTGTATCGAGAGAAAGCGGTGTAGGCTTCTTCCCAACTTTTTCCGATTTTTCTGCAACCAAATTAGACATTACTGTTGAGCAAGAGGTATCTGGACTATTGGTCTCACATGTTTTAATGGGTTGATGCAAGTTCCTTTCATCATTTGTAGGTTGTTTGACTTGACAGCTCTTTTCAATTGACACCATCGTGTCTGAGGCATTGGAAACTTTTAGCGATGTATCTGTTTTTGTATCATCAGTTAGGGGTTGTTCCGCCGATGAGCCTTCCTGTGCAGATGTAGGGGAGATTGAAGAGGAGAGAGTTTCGGTAAGTTGACGAGCTTCGGTGGTATCAGCTGACTGAGATGGGGTCTGAAATATTACGTTTATTTGAGAGTTTTTCTCCTCGGTCACTGAGATTCCTGATGTAGATGAAGTATCAAAAGATTTTTCTGCCATCACATCGCTACTTTCAGCCGATTGATCTGTTTTTAGTTCAGAGATTTCAGCTGGTTTGGGTACCGAGCTTACTTCAACTTCCACCGAAGTGTCGACAGCAGATATTTTGATGCACTCATCTACCTCCACTTCATCAGTAGGTTGTGGTTTCGATGGTGAGCTTCTATTCAAAGATGTCAAAGCAAGTGTAGATGGTGAGATGCTGATGGATACGTCTGCGTCTAAACTGTCAGTTGGCCTTCCTGTGATGAGAGAACCTGTATCTACAAATTCTGGAACAATTTTCATCCCATCAGTAGCCTGTGGTCTGATCAAAGCAATATCCTCCACAGATATTTCATTCTCTGGCATGGTTGAATCATTTACAGGCTGATTTACATCGCCTTCAATTAATTTCTGTAATTTGATTGGACAAGCTATTTCTGATGATATCGAGACATCATGCGCAGAGGAAATTTCAACCGAGGGTTGTGTCTTCAAATCATTAGTTGATAGTGATTCAATTTCGCTGTTTTCTTCCGATGATGTTTTATCATCCGGCATGGAGGAGAAATTTGCCGGTTGTGTAGAATTTATAAGATCTTCTGAGGCTGATATTATCTCAGCGCTTTCTTCTGAGGATTTTTTAGCGCTAGACATACCCGATGGTTGGTCTGGTTCTTTCGACTCTTCTTTGTTAATTGTCGATAGGTCGGCATGACTGCTTTCTGCGAGAAGTGCTGCGGGGTCTAAAATTAATGGAAGTTCTACGGGTTGTTTCGTCTCGACACCATCCGCTGGGAGTGTTTTTGACGGCTCACCGACATCTACAGGAGCTGAAGTGTCTGATGCGGTTTCCGCTGGTTTACTGTAGTTGAAAGAATCCGAAGGGCAGGAGACTTTGACTGCTTGCTCTGCTTTTTCTTCATCAACTACCGGTGTTTCAGTCGGGATATGATCCTCAGAAAGCACGGACGCGGCTCCATCAGAATTATGCATGGACCATTTTTCTGTTAAAACATCTGGTGGCATACGGTTGACTTGAGAATTTTCCTCCTCGGCCTTTGAGATAACCGATACGAATGAAGTTTCAACAGATTTTTCTGCCACCACATCACTACTTTCGGCCGATAAATCTCTTTTTAATTCGCTGGTTTCAGCTAGTTTGGATACAGAGCTTACTTCGACCTCTGCTAAAGTATTTGGGGAAGGAATTTTGGTCGACTCCTCCGGCTCCACTTCATCAAAGATTTGTCGTTTTGTAGGAGAGCTCCCATCCAAAGAGGCTGAAGCAAGTGGAGCGGATAAGATGCTGATTGGTTCCTCTGCCTTTGGACTATCTGTCGACTGCAATATGATCTGAGAACCCGATTCCACAACTTCTGAATTACATGGTGCAGGAATACCTTCAACTGGCTGATCAACCTTCATTCCATCAGTTGCTTGTGGTCTAATCAGAGAAAATCTCTCCTCAGATAATTCATCCTCTGGTATGATTGAATTCGTCACTACCTGATCCTTCTCGCTTTCAATTAGTGTCGGTAATTTGAGTGAACATGATTTTTCTGAAGATAGCAGAGCATCTTCGGCAGAAGAAACTTCAACTGATGGTTGTGTCTTCAAATTGTCAGTTGGAAGTGAATTAATTGGAATTTCGGTGTTTTCTCCTGCTGACATTACATCATCCGACATCGAGGATACATTCGCTGGTTGTGTCGAATCTAGGAGATCTTCTGGGGCTAATATTATCTGAGAGCTTTCTTCCACGGCTTCTTTAGCGTCAGGCACACTCGATGGTTTGACTGGTTCTTTCGACTCTTCTTGGTCAATTGTGAATGAGTCGGCATGACAGCTTTCAGCGACAAATACTGTAGAGTCCAACGTCAGAGAAATTTCCGTTTGGACATCATCGGTTGTGAGTGATTTTGACTGATCACTGATACCAGCGGATGCTGTAAAGTCTAATGCGGTGTCCGATAGTGTGTCTGTTGTATCATAATTCAGAACCAGTGAGTCGATCTTAGACCTTTCCTTTTTTGATGCAGAATTTTCTGTTGTTGGGGAGATTTCAACTTGTTCTTCTGTCTTCATATTATTGGTTGGGGCTGATTCAAAGGATCCTAGTGGTTTAGTAGGAGGTATACCTATTTCTCCACCCGAGTCTTCACTTCCTGCTGACTCCACTGTGTCTGCCAGGATGTCTAACACTGGTTCGTCAATGATTTTACAAGATGGGATTTCCTCTTGTTTCACAATTGGACTCTGACTCTCGACTGACGATACATCTAATTCACCGTCTGATTCCCCTTGAGTTTCAACAAGACAGGTTTGCTCGATACTTTCAGGCTGAATGGGAGCAGAAATCATGGAGGCGCATAATTCTGATTCCGTTTCATTTGGAACCTCAACAAGAGAACATTTTGATGAACATTCAGCTACAATGTTGCTAGAAATAATTGTATCTTTAGACTCAGTCTTATTAAAACTTTCAAAGCTGTCCGTCTCATTATTTTTCCTTTCTGCAACTATCACAGTGGTGTTAAGTGTTTCCTTGCTTTGTCGAGAGTCGCCTTTGATGACACCAGTATATGATATCTCTGATTCGCATCGTAATTCAACTCGAGCGTCATTGGAAGACTTCTCAGTCTGTTCTTCTGATGGGACATTAATGGAAAGCTGAGTTAAGTTTGGTGAGGTCTCTATTTGGACCAGAACTTCGGTGGAGGTAGTTCGTGATGAATTTTTCCTTGGAGGATCACTTGCAATGAGATTGATTGTCACTTCACTTTCTAGTTTTACGTCAGTTTCAGAAAGAGGACTTTGTGGTCTTGATTGCGGCTCTTTTTCGAAAAGGGTTTGAACATTTCCTATGGTTGACTCTGAGTTCCTCGTCAACTGATGGTCATCTGATATGAATGTAGAAGCTGATTCAGATCTGGTTTCCATTTGAGATGTTAAAGGCAAAACTTCTGTTTCATTTTCCGACTGAATGTTAGCAGGGACTTCTGAGATGTTCGGTTGACGGTCAACATTCAATGAACATTCGATGGGAGATGATGTAGTTTGACCTCCTAGTTGAGAGTCTTCCGCTAATACTGCAATGTCCATTTCAGTTCTTGATGACACCGAAATTTCAACGAAAGGGCTTTTTCCTTGATTCTCAAAAGATGAAATATTGCTTGAATTCTCAGAAACGTCTGATTCATTTTTACGTTCGATCAGAGCTTCAGAGAGAATGGTACTTGCTTCTGATGAAAATTGATATGCATCATCAGGTATCATCGATGCAGAATTGGGAGTATTGCGATCATTGCTAGTTGAGACAGTCTTCTCAGTTTCTCGTCGATCTTCATTCAGAACGATTGATGTTTCTGATTCATCATTTGACTTCATTGATGTTTCTAACACAGATATTTCTAAATCAGTCTCTGTTTTGACTTGACTGGGAACTGCATGGATATTCAGCTCAGATTTTGATTCAATTTGGATATCGATTGGGCTAGAAGTCAGATTTTTGGATTGCTCTCCGTGATTAAGTGATGTACATGGCTCAATTTTAGAATCACTCGATGGTCTGGTTATCGACATATCTTCATCAGGTATTGTAACCGAGTCTGCAGTAAAGTCTGTCATCATTTCGCCTGATTTGACAGCCTTAGGAAGAGTCTCATTTTCCAAAACTGCTTCATTAAGTAAACTTTCCGAGACTAGCTGCTTAGAGGCGGTAAGAGGCTCTTGCGACGAGACTTCAGAGGAATCGAATGTGATATTGAAGGGAGGGCGATCTTCAACATTTGAACAACGTTGCTCGGTAGAAATATTTGAAGAGATAGTGTCAATTTCAGGATCATAGAGAGGAGTGCTAGAGCTGGTCTTTGCATTTAATTCTGATTTTTCGACAGTCTGTGAAAGGATACTTGGGCATTCTTCACTCGGATATATTTGACTGTCAGAACTGATAAAAGAATTTTCACGCGGTGACTTAGATGGAGATCTCAAAGAAGAGTAGAGTTCGCTAGTTTGATCATCGGGAATTTCTTTTAATGATTCTGGACATGTAGTAGGGACAGAACTTTCATTATCTGATTTCTGGAAAGCATCTTGTTCGTGCTGCACAACGATCGGAGACTGAAGATCCACTTCTCGATGAGCCGAATCTGAAACTGAAAATGCAAGTTCAGCATCGTCATGTACAGAAGGAGGGGATCCTTCGACATTCATCTCAATGCTTGGAGCAAGGAGTTCCTTCACGAAAGTATTTTCAGAAACATCCACATTATGTGCTGTAATCTCGTCTGGCGAATTGGCTGGAGAGTTGATCTGGGATGTGTTGGTTTCTGCAATCGTCTTGGTTCCCTTCAGTGACTCCTGTGTTTCTTCGGGTGAAGAACATGGATTTTCAACAAAATTTGATACCGTGGGAGAACCCGTGTCCGATTTGGTTTCTGGCTTTGGAAAATCAGTTTCTCCGTGAATATCAGCATCTAGAGCACTCCCGCATTTCTCATCAGTTTTTGTTGTGGATAGACAAACAGGATTTTCAAACATATTTGTGGATTCAGGCTCGACAAATTTGGAATGGATTGTAGTGAGGAGTTCCGGATTTTCAGAGGCTTTTGTGTTACTGTTACACGTAATCTCTGCTTCAATGTTGACAAATAATTCTTCTGTATCAGTGCTAGCTTCAAAGTTGGGAGTTTCCATCGATAAGTTCTTAGTCTTCGCACTCTCTGAATCTGAATTAACCGATGGCAGCTTATTTTCTGAGATGTTTGCAGTGCTTTCACTCGAGGATTCTTTAATAACTGCGGTGGAGCGTTCTGAATGATTAACATTCGCATCGCAACAGGAAGTTTCTACTGAGGCCTGATTTAAATTGATGTTAGCGGAATGCAGAGGGTTTTCAGGCTCAGTAACACTTGACTGAAATGGTTCAAATTCAACATTGGCATCATTTTCCATCGTCTCAAGATGCCCAGTAACTTCTGTGGATGACTGCTCATTTATGGCTGTTTCTAGCTCCATAGTGGTTGGGTTTTCTGGGTCTAGGTTCTTGTTCTCATTCTTGGAAAATTGATCCATTTCTATACTTCCAACTTGCAATTCAGTTGCATTTAAAAGTTGTTGCAAAGTTTCTGCAGTTTCTAGCTCAGCACTTGATGCAAAATAAGCCGATGTTGTTGATGGTCCTGCAACAGGAGGTTCCATTAATTCTTCTTTGGCCACTGAATTTGGACCCAGTTTTGGCTCGAAACGCGCAGTATGGCAATCTTGGGTGATAGACGACTGTTTAGCGATAGTATTTTCTTGGAGGACTGAAGGAAGAACGACAGTTTTCTCTGACGAAGTCCTATTCACCTTATGGGCAGGTTGGGCCGGTGGAGTGTCTGAAATTTCTTCAAGTGATGATTCTCTCGATTGGGATTGAACGGCTGACGTCTCATTTGTTTCAGTACTAATTAATGGTACGGACTCAAGCTGGGATTTGATGAGGTTTTCTGATGTAGGTGGCTGTAAATCACTTGAGGACTCTTCTGCTGCAGTTGTAACCGCAGTCGATTTTCGTGGGGCATCCTCGGTCAGACTTTCGACTAAAACTTTGGGTTCTGATGAAGCGATCAATTTGGTCTCACTCACTTTGCTGAGAGTTGCTGAGTAATCTGGCTGAGTTTCAGCAAGTGCGTTTGCTTCTAGGCAAGAATTTTCTATTTGCTCAGCCTTATTCGTTGTAATGGGTAAAATCGTTTGCAATGCTTCACTTTCGACGGGCATGTCACTTCGTGACAGAAAGTCTGACGGAGGGTTCTTTGGTGATGCAACACAAGGGGAATCAGTATTTGAGTTAGGCAAGTCAGGTCTTAACCTACTAGTAATATCAGTTTTGGTTGCAGATAGCAGCTCTGTTTGAGACCTGGAGGTTGTTGGTTCACTAACACTTTCCCTGGTGACTTTATTCTGAATTTCAACAGAGCAGTTTTCATGATTTTGCTGCGCAAGGTGGTCAACAAAGGAAACGGAAATTGGCTCAGGGTTCGCGTTGAGTATGATTTCTGATTGAAGTTGAGATGATGCAGGCGTTTCTGTCTGAATTTCATCAGGTGCGTTGCTCTTTGACTGAGTTTCGGACAGTGGCTCTGTATCTCTTTCTGGAATATCTGATAAGAAAATTTCACTCTGCTTTGTCTTTGAGGATGATTCTAAGACTGAGACGGGTTCACAAATTGGCTGCTCTGCAACTTTAGCGATGCTTCCCTGCTGCGAGATAGATATGCCGACTGATGGTTCTCCGATTTCAAGTTCCATTGCTCGTTGAGAGGGACATGCGCAAACAGATATATTTTTCGAAACTGAAGATGGAGTGCTTGTTTTTAGGGATTTGATAATGTCTAATGAGCCTACGTCATTCGCATTTTCCGCAATATTTTCGGAGGGTGTTAGGTGTAAATCATTGGGATTTGTCGCACATTTTTCCGACACATCTTCATTTAACAGCAGACATTCTCTAAATTGAGATTCAGGTGACTTCGTTCTTAGATGAGAAGTTTCTACAGAGGGGATTGTAATTTCAGGTTCGGTTTCAAGGACCACATGAGATACAGCTGCGGTGGCAGCAACAGCTTGTTCTAAGGAAATTTTCGATAAAAACTTATTTGGAGACTCAGCTGAGCTGATGCCGGCTTCTACAGGTTTGGTTGTTTCTGCTTCCAATTTCGATTGAATTCGAGACACGGTCGAAGTTGCAGCCACAGCCTGTTCTAGAGAAATTTTGGGTAGAAATTTCTCAGGGGATTCAATGACATGAGTCAAAGCTGTGTCAGTTTTAGGTGAATGGATAACTGCTGAAGTTTCTGCAATAATTACAGGAGTGTTCGGTGATTTTGGCTGGAGAATTTCGCTTCCCGAGGAGGCAATGGAAGGGACAGCTAAAGCTCCTTTGTCTTCTGGTGTGAATTCTTGTGAACGTGAATCTTTGCAAGGGAGTTTTGAGCAATTTGTGGGATTCTTCATGAGCACTTCACAAGTTGATTTTTCAGCTGAAGATTCTTTTAAAAGGTCAAATTTGGCAAGATCTTCTGTTTCAGGAATCCCCATTTTTGAATCATACTGTTGCTGAAATTGTGTGTCTGTTTCAGTGACCGACTTTTGATTTTCTGTAAGTTCTGTTAAAGTTGCTGAGTCAGTCAAAGGCACAATGGATGTTGAAATCATGCCAGGTAGCGTTTCAGTGTTAACGGCTCCGTCATGAGTCTGCTGATTAATTTCATCGTTTTCGGGGCTTGTTGAGCCCATAACTACCTGACCGTCATCTGCAACTCTTTCAGTTCCAGTCAAAGTTTTAGCCACTAAAATTTCAGTTGCACCAGTCAACAGGTTTGTTGAAGGTTCAGAGGATAATTTTGAATGATCAGTTTTTGCTTCAATTTCAATAGCTTTGGAAGCCAAAGTTTCTGCGACCACTGTTTTTGAGCATATGGTTGGTTCAGCAGACTGTTTGGCAGTATCTCCTGAGGACTTAAACACGGGACTATCTGTATACGAAGATTTGTCAATACTTGAAACCACTGGAATCTCAAATACAGGTTCTTCAATACTAAATACTTCCGACTCTAGAGCTGACACTGCAGCGGATGTTTCGTTGATTAATTGCTTGTCAAGCTCAAACGGAGCGCTCAGCGGTGGAACTTTGGAGCTATTTGTGGAATTTCCAAATTCTGGAGCAGTTTGGTACTCAGAAGCGGAGTAATACTCCATGCTGTAGCTTTCATGCAACATTGAAACGGCGAAATCTGTTTCGTTGTATGTATTGTCAAACGTTATGGATCTTACTGCGTTGTCCAGCTCATAGTCTCCTGTGGGAACGATAGGATGTGTAACGGGTGTGGATGTGGCATTCCCTGGGACCATTTCCTTCTGCCTCCCAAAATAAACAGCGTCAACAAATGGGGATGATGTCTGACTTGCAATTAATTCACTGGCCTCTGCAAGCTTTCTTTCAACTTCACTCAGCTCAACGATAGGGTGAGACAATTCCGGGGCTGGCTGACATGGAGTGATGAGCCCTGTGGGCGTTTCTTCAGGGCAATACGTTTCTTCGCTATTACCGGCAAACTGTAAAATGCTTTGAACTGCTGCTTGGTTTGGGTCAACTACTTGGGTTTGTACTTCATTAGAAGATGGCATTGATGAGCTCTCAGCGACGGCGTAGGGTTCAACAGCATTCGTTTGAATACTGAGAGGTGAATCGCTGTCCTTAGCTTGATCAGAGCTTGAAGTCTTGATTTCCTGAAGAACATCTTCTGTTGGTTTTTCGTCAACGATATCTTCTGACTGAGCAGAAAGAACCATTTCAGAAACATTTTCTGCGGTCAGGTTCACCGAGCTGTCATCAGCAGTTGTGTTAGGGGTGCTCAATTTTCCCTCGGACGCTGCGGATGTACTGGGCTCTCCCTCACTCTCTGATGAGGAGTCTTCGCTTTCTGATGATAGATTCAACCCTACATTTTGACTCTTGCCAGCTTTAATTGGGGTTTGTGAAGGCTTGTTGTCCTCTTCATCACTCTCTGAAGAGAGATTCAAATCAGAGCTGACGCTGTAAAAGCGAAAAGACTTGGAGCTATCATCTTCAGGTGGTTTGGCAGGTGACTCTACTGAAAGTTTGATTTGAGCCAGTTTCTCTGGAGTTTCGACTTTCGTGCTGAGGATGTTTTTGGCTGGGGATGTTATTCTGGTATTAATGACAGACTTGGACGGAGATGCTGTTTTGATGTTAGTGGTGGACTTGGCTGAGGACACCAGTTTAGTGTTACTGGCTGGTTTTTCCTCTGATTCGTCTTTTTTTGTTACAATATCTTTGATTGGAGTTGTCCTTTTGGGAGAGGCAGGACTTGACACCAGGCTTTCATCGTCACTGTCTGAAGATGATTCAGAGGTGGAATCGGAGTCACTTGCACTTTCAGGTGACATAGAACCTTCTCGTTTTTTGGGAAGGACTTTATCTCGACCACCTTCTTCATCGTCCGAGTCTGATGAGATATCTAGGTCTGAGTTACCACTCCCATTGGTTGAGGCAGACAACGTTTCTTCCGAGTCTTCATCGTCATCGCTGTCTGATGACACATCAAAATCTGAGCTTGATTCTTCAGAATCAACTTTTGGTTTGGATTTATCTGTGGAATTTTCAATGTCACTTGTTTTTGAAGCTGAGTCGAAAGGTACTTCTGATTTCCTCTCTTCAAATTCAGAACTAGTTTTTGATTTTCTTCTATCAAACGACCAGGGTTTTGCCACAACAGAAGCAGTGACACCAGCTGGTTCCTCATCACTGTGATTTTTCAGTTCCATATCTTTTATTGTTGATTTTAAAGGAGTTTCCAATGAAGTAGCGGCTTGTTGGGACAATTTTCCTCGCAGCTTCGTGGTTGGCTGATCCTTCTTTGATTCTGCCTTTCCTGGTGAAATGACAGTTTCCATTGCCTGACATTCTGTTTTGTCTTTGACAGACATTTTCCTTCTCCTGTTGACGAGGGGTTTAAAATTTTCGGATTGCATTCCTGAAGATTGACGACGAGTTCTTGGTCCTTCTGAGATTAGATTGTCTTCAGAAATATTAACATCTATTTTGTCTACCGTATGATTAGATTCTAATTTGTTTCGCTTACCTTTTTTAGGCCTCTCCTCGGCAGTTGCAGCAGATTTTACTGGTTTTTTACTTTTTGAGTTTTGGAGTTCAGCTACTAAGGGAACATTTTTTCCGTCGGTGGAACTTCCACTAGATGTTCGTTTTCCTCTTAATGACATTCTTCCGGATACTTGAGCGGTTGAATTATCAGAAAAAGTACGTGGAGAGTCCATTTTTTCTGAAGAAAGGCTATCAGAACGACTATTTTTTCTTTTTCCGCTGCGTAATTTGCAATCAGAATCTCCTGACAAAGAAGTTTCCAATTCACTAGGAATACTTTGCTGAACATCTGAAAGTTCAGGTACATTTTCAGTGAAACTAATTTTTCTGTTGGTTCGCCTAAGCTTAGTCTCTGCAATTTGAGCTTTCAAATCTGGCTGGTCATTTGTTTCAGATTTTGTGGCACTTTTTGACAGAGTTGTGTCGATTTTTTCAGGGGTATTATCAGAGAGACTGGCACTTGACCGTGTTCTTCCACTGCGGAGTTTTATCCCTGAAGTTTCAACATCGGATCCCTGTGGTACTTTTGAGTCGCTTATCTCTTGTGATTCAGGTACGCTATTTTCCATCAAAGAAACGCTTGTTTTACGTCTATTATTTTTGGAGGTAGTGTCTGTAGGACTAGTCTTTTTGGAATTGACAATGCTAGTATCACTCTCCTCTGGACTTGGAGTTACAGGTCCACTTAAACTGTCTATAGGATGGTCGCTTAGTTTCCGCCTTCCTCTCCTGGGTGTGCATTCTAAGGCTGGCTGAATTCTCGGTTGATCTTTAGGACTTGTCAATACAGAGTCTACTTTTTGAGTTACGGAAGACTGAGCAACTGAGCTAACACTTATTTTACGTCTACCACTCCTGAGTTTACTGTCTGAGATTAGTGTGTTACGTGACCCTTCAATATCTTCATTTGCATTGGTACTAGGAAGCTCAAGTTCAACCAAGTTTTCATTCTCCATTGCATCATTTTTAGGTGCCTCAGTGTCTGTAGAGCTAGCACTTGTTTTGCGCCTTCCTCTCCTGGGTTTGTCTTCAGGGACATCGATAACTTCCGTTAAACTCTCATTTTTGGAGGCGCTGTCTTCTTTCTTGGAGTTTTTAGAAGATTGTGGCGATGCAATTTTAAGTTCACATGCTGCTGGATTTTCATTAAAACTTATTTTACGCCGGCCTCTTCTAGATTTAATATCAGAGAAAGCTTCACCTAACTGCTCTCTGTTTTCTTCGAGGTTTTCCTTCCATTCCCTACCGATTACATCTGCCTCCAACTCAGGACTAGAGACAATCCTTTCGTCAGGCTTACCACATTCTTGAGGATCAGATGCTCCCGTTTTTTTACTTTTGCCCGGCTCTTCGGCTCTGCTTTCTGCGGTTTCTGAAGGAAGGGTATTTTTCTTTTTCCACTCTTCCTTAGGTTGAGCATAATCTTTAGAACTTTCATCAAAATTTTCAGCTTTTTCAAGGAATACTACGGACTCTTTAGACTGATAACTCTCTAAAGAACTTTTAGGCGCCAAAACAATAGGTTCTGTTTGTTTTAGATTTATTTGAAGCTCTTTACATGTTTCCGTAGTAACACTTCCTTTCTTTTTTCTTCCTCTCCTTGGTTTAGCATCCTCGGCTAACACATCGGAGTCCATCACTTCAGGATTTTCAGGCTGAGAGCAAGCTGAGGTGTCAAGAGACCCATCACTGACATTGTCAGATTCACTTTGCGATTTAGAGGAGGGTCTTGTCTTCTTGGGCCTTCCACGTTTAGGCTTTGATTCCAATGTTTGAGGTTCATGAGCGGGCAAATTTCTTGCAGGGCTTGAGTCATTTAATCCTTCCTTTTCTAACTTATCAGATGTCACTTCGGACTCAATTGCGCATTCTGATGTGCGTCTACGGGTATGTGGCCTTTCAGTAGGAGATACAGAGGTACCAGTATTGAGTTTTGATGAGGATTGTATTTTCTCAGCAAATTTTGTTTCTTTTGCACTGTTCTGATTTTGTATGCCGTCTGATTTAATTGGCTCTGCTTTCGCAAAACGGCGAGTTTTGGGTCTTTCAAACAAGAATCTTTTAGCTGGCGGCGGGGAGCTACATGTTTCAACTGACACTTCACTGGGCTTCACGTTCGCTGCTTCGATAGATACTGCTTTCTCACCTAAACATGCAATATTTGGGGCTTCTGCTTGGCTTATCTTGATGGGACGTTTCCGTTTCGGTGGTCTTCCTCTCCTCTTCGATACTTGCGCTGTTACCTCCGATTTCAACGGGGCTGAAATTTCAACAGATTCTCCAACTGAATCTGCTTCTAGACAATCATTTCCAGGGTGACTCTCTACAGGAGATTCAATACTTTGATGCTGCTCGATGGTCAATTTGGATTCAATGGATGGAGTAGGGAAGTTATCAGTCTCATTTTCGCTGGTGCTGATTGATTTATCAATTTTTTCCTCAGTATGTACACTGGCTTGTGTGTCAACTAACTCCAACAATTCTTTTGATGAAGCACTTTCTCTTCCTTCATCTACTTTGCTTTCAATATCATCAGCGGCATATGTAACATTACTTATTGTGACTGGTAGGGATTCTTTTGGTTCTAAGAGATCAACAGGAACAGTTCCAAGTGAAGATTGAGATACTGAAGTTGCACTATTATCTTGACTACCAGAACTAACAATACTGTTTCCAGCTTCTACTTCTGGAGGCTTAATGACGGAACAGACTTGTCTCGTGGAATCATTTGCTGTTTCTGGTAAAATAGGCACATCAATTCCTACAGAGTCAGTTTCCAAAAACTGCTCGGTTTCACAAATTCTTGATGCAGAGTTACACTGTACTTCTGAGGGTCTAAAATCAGTACCTTCTGACACAATATTGCACTCTTCAGATTCAGCGCTCGGAAAGCTTGGCATTAGATTTAGATTACCGGCTGCATTACCAACGTTAACATGTTCCATGCTAGCGATCATTAGAGCTGGGTTGGCTTCATTGGATTTGGCGGCCTCACTTGCTGAGGTTTCGTTGAACTTAGAACTAGCTGGTTCTGTTGTGATAGGACTAGAATCTTTGCTAGGAGTCTCAATACAGGTCGAGGATGTAAGAGTAGTTGCAGGCTCTATGACCTCTAAACTTACTTGCGGCGTTGAAGAGATTTCAGTATGAATTTTATCTTCGCTAGTTTCATTCAAACAGTTCGTTGTAACTTCTTTATCTTCAATAATGGCCTGTTCGGATTCTATCGCCTTTCCTGTTTCAACAATTTGATCAAGAACTTCCGCACTTCCTAATACGCTCTTTTCATGTTCTGGCAAGACCTTAGTTTTATCAGAGCATGAACTTGCAGTTCTTAATATGCGACTTTCGGTTTCTACACTTACAGATGCATTATCTGAATTTTCATTGATAACTGCCTCTGAAGAAGAGAGAGCTGAAAGAGTTGAAATTTGAATTTCTTCCGTGCCTTGAGGCATGAGCTCTACATCAGCTATGCATTCTTTATTATCATTCTCAGCCACTGGAGGTATGTTCGAACTAATGGTTATTTTTTCAGCCTGAGGAGCCACTGACCTGAAGGTTGATTGATCGTCAGTCACTTCACCAATTTCACGTTCTTCGCAGGCTCCAGAATTTTTAGCATCAATTTTCATCTCTTCGACGACTTTAAATAATAACTCAGTAACAGCTGTTTCAACTATTTCCAGAATAGCGCCAGTCTCAATTTCTTCTACTTTTTGACGCTCTCGAAGGAGAGCGCATGCTTCATCTTCGGAGTCGGAGACCTCAAAACCTGGGGTCTCTTCATCTAATGAATCCAGACTGGATGGGCTATCTAGATCAAAGACAGAGGGTTCTGAGATAAGATCGGTGACCTGACTTCCTGCTTCAACAAGTATGCTTGATGTCTCCTCTAGAGCATCTTCTGACATAGAGCATTCAAGTTCAAGTGATTCAGAAGCTTCGCCTGGAACTTCAAATGTGCTTAATGGATTGGCGCAGACTTGAGTCTCCAGCTCCGAGACTTCTGGGATATCTTCGATTTGGCTTCCTGTTTCAACAATTAAGCTTGAAACTTCGTCTTTTAATTCTTCTCTTGCTATGTCTTCGGGAACAAGCTCACAGCCTTCTTCAACTATTTCAACATAGGAGGATTCATCTTTTACGTCTGTGAGTACAACTTCATGACTCCTTTCCTGCTCTAGATTTTCAATGGTCTCCAATTCCACGATCATTTCTGAGACAACATCAGTGATCGGACTGCCTACCTCTGCCTTTAGACTAGACACTTCATCTTTGGTTTCTTGAGCACTTTCCTCACTACAATCGGCGACTGGAGGCTGTCGAAGGGCTACTATCTCTTCACCTACGGATGCTTCAATGCCGATACTTTCAATTTTTTGGAATGCTTCAGCATCAGAAATTTCTTCTGAATCTATTGCCAAGATATCGGATACATCAGTTATCAAACTTCCAGTTTCAACCGCAAGACTTGACGCTTCCTCTTTGTCTCCGAGGAGATGTTCCACCACAATTTTGTCGTTTTCTTCAGCAAGGGCTAGGTCACTTCCTGGAGATTCTGTTTTTTCATCTTTTTTGGCAATGTCACACTCAGGAGTTTCCTCAGTCATAACTTCAGAGACTGTTTCTTCCATGTCAGTGATTAAGGATCCATTTTCAGCTACTATGCTCGAAACCTCTTCTTTGCTCCTGAAACTTTCTTCTACAGCAGCTTCAGTAATTCTTTCCGTTGCTTCATTTTCCTTGTTTACGGTGGGTGCAACTGGTAGAGTTTCAGTTTTTTTCAACTCTGCGGTTGTGATGTCTCCTGATGCCGAATATTGTTGTTCTTCTAGGAGGGTACTTGATCTTTCAGGGACAGATTCAGCGATGAGTTCACTGGCCTGCATTGGCAAACCATCTTCTGTACTTTGAATAATCCCCTCTGTTACACCTGCGGAAGTTAAAGACTCAGTATCTGCTTCATTCAATTCAAAAGTTTCTCCGCCAATACTCACTGTCTCTTTGGATATCTCCTGAGTGTTATTTGATCCACTTTCATAGGACGGCTCTGGCTGAGAAAGCGGGAGCTCAGAGTAACAAACTTCAGGAGATGCTTTATTTCCTTCGTTCAAACTAATATCTGAGTCAAGAACATTCTCTTTCAACGTATAATCTTTTTCGCCAGCCACATTTTGGGACTGCTGTTCTATTTCTTTAAACTGCTGTTCGTTCTTCAAAACTTTTTCTACTTCCTCCTCTTTACAATTTTTTACGACCGCTACTACATTAGATTGAGGCATTGTTTCTGCAAAGTTTAGGCATTCTTTATTGGTTGTCGCTGGTGGTTGAGATCCTGCTTCTTCTACTTTTTTATTAATTTCACCTAATACTGAAGACTGAGCGTCACACTCCGTATCTTTTGGTCTTTTTCCAATAACTGAGGGTGTCAACGGGTCATCATTTTTCTGATCATGTTCCCCAAAAATCGCTGCTTCTCCTTCAGATTCTATCTTATCCCTGCTCTGTAATTCTAAAGTAACCACTGTTTTCAATTGCTGCTCACTTTCCTCTATGTCATGGCTCTTCCCGACAGCCGATTCTTCTAAATGGGATGTTCTTTCCTCTACTCCGATGCTTTCATTCATCGTAGCTCCTTCTGACTGAAATTTCAATTGGCTGTCCATTAAGTTTTCCTCAACTTGCATTTCTGGTTGATCTTTTACTTTCTCCATGATTAGACGATCTTCAAAATATGACTCTTCTGACTGATCTTGTACAAGTTTTTCTTCTTGACTTTTCTGCACGACTGAAATTTCTGGAAGTATTCTAATTATAGCTGTGCTTTCTTCAGTGACAGCTGCTTCTAATCGAGGCACAACTCCTTTCACTTTTCCAGGCTCCTCGAAAACTTTGCACTTTTTACTGATCTTCTTTTTTCCCTTCTTCTTTCGACTTTTCTGTTTCTGATTTTGTATCGTTTCGCAGGGGTACAGTTCCTCACTTGGCACTTCAGTACTTTCTGACTTGTTGAGAGGCACCTCCGAATTTTCTGAGTTCGAGATTATACCGATTGCTGCAACATCCGACAGTTTTTCTTCTTTATTTTCAGTGACAGAAAGCGCTTTGAACTCGCTCACCTGCTCAGCTGCATCAATAGGTACCTGAGGTGATTCCTTAGAAGTACCATGAATTTCAGTTTTAGTCAATATCTCTATATCTTCACAAATATTTTCATTCCGGTCAAGGCTTATAGAGACATCTTGGGAGATGTTGGATGGACTATCATCGATTGATGATTGATTTATGAGATCAAAAGATTTTTCATCTCCGAGTTCACCTTCAAACTTTCTGCATGCTATTTCTGCAGGGGTCTTTGAATCGTCTGCGGACATTTGTGTGACAGGGTCAACATTAGGCATATCAAGTATGTCTGATACTGGTTTGATGACCGGATTTTGCACGGATTGATTTTCGTTTATAAGTAGAGCTGGTTCCGAAGTTTCGTCATGCTCCGAAACTTCCGTGGGTTTCAACTTTGACAGTTCTTCGCCAGTGATTGGAGTTACGTGCACAGCACATTCAGGAGTTGTATGATCAAATGTGCTGGATAGGTTTTGACCTCTGTCCAAATTAAATTCCAAAATTTCTTTGTTATCAGAAAGCGCTGCTGGTATTGGTTGTTGACTGCTGGTAAAAGCTTCAGTCTTGTTAGAGAGCGAGATGGAGACATCAGAAGAGGTTTCTTCCTCCGAGAGAATTTCGTTCTTTTTAGAGTGCTGAGATTCGATGGATTCACTTCTTGGAACTTCAGCTTCTAATTTTTCAGAGGCAAACTTTGTGACATTTGTGATTAGATTTTCAGAAAGGTGAGCGTCCAATTGAGTGTCTAAGATGAGCGTCGTAGTTCCAGGGGCGACTTTGTCTACTTTCTTCGTAGGTTTTTTACGTCTACCTGGTGTCCATTTGGGGCTCTTCTTCCGCCGCTTTCGTTTTTTCTTTTCTTGAGGAGTTTCCTTCAAGTTCACATTAGGATCATTACTGGTCGTAATGAGGGCACTTGTTTTGTTTTCAACTTGAGTATTTTCTGTCGAAGTAAGGTCGCGCTCAGCATCAGGATTAACAGATTTTTTAATCTTTGGCCTCCCTCTTCTTGGAGATTCTTTATTTCCTGACATTGGGCCTTTGATACTGTTATCCACTTTTGGGTCACTTGATTTATTCATAGACGGACTGATGTCATCTGTATTGATTTTTCCTTTTTTACGAGTTGTGTACCTTTTTAACGACGTGTCATCAGAATCTTTCTCAATTTTTGAATTGGACGACTTCAACGGTAAGTCACAGCTACTTTGAGCTTCATGAGGCACTTTCTTACCTGTTGGCATAGTTATTTCTTGGGTGTCTGCACTTAGTTCTGCATCTGAGTTTAGACTTTCAACTGACAAGGTTTCACCTTTTAGGTTGCTCGAGTTTTTATCACTCTTTTTAGACTTAGATTTCTTGTCTGTCAGATGCTCTGTTCCGGAATCAAAAGCTATATGGGAGGTGAGATTTTCCGATTCAAGATTTAGTTTGACGTCATGTTTTGAACAATTATCTTCAGATGAAGATTTCGGTGGCATACTAGTTATTGTCTTACAAGAATCCTTTGAAATTGGTGATATGTTAGGTTCTTCGTCTATGGATTGGCTATTTGAATCAATTTTGATGTTGAATGGTTCTTTTGAAGTTACAATTTCACATCCTTCTTTTTTGGCGTTATTAATTTCCTTGACAGGATTTTTGTAGGCAAGATTCTGCATCTGTTGTGAATGGTCTCCAAGATTCTGTTCTGTATCAGATGGAGGTGCTGCAAGAGCTCTCAGTTTAATTTTGATTCTTTTGGACCCACTAGCAGTTACTAAAGAGGGTTGGACTTCAATTATACCCTTACTAGCAGCAGATTCTGTCTCATTCTCTTTACCTAGGTCTGAAATTTTATTAAGATCCACGGAAGTTAGGGTGCTGTCCTCCATTACCCGAGGAGCATTTTCATCCAGGAGCGGCAAAGCTTGAGATTTCTTCTTTTTTGAAGGCCTCCCAACTTTCTTTTTAGGTACTTCCGCGTTGGGGTTACTTCCTTGATGACTGCTGACATTAGGTATAAGAGGTGGTACATTCTCTAGATGAGAAATAGTGTTCACTGTAAGATGGGGGTTACTTTCAGTGTGATCACCCTCAGTTCCACTTTTGCAGGAAATCTTCGATGATCGACTGGTCTTCCGAAGGTCTTCTTGTCTTATTTTCGGAGATGAGGTTTTTGAGTCTTCAACTGATTCAATTCCTTTTGCGGATTTTAACTGAGAACGCGTGAGACGAGTTGTTTCATCTACCTCAGCTGTCGACTCAAGTGTTGTTGCATCATCTAACACAGGGGAGCTAATTTTACATGCCGCTGGATCACCAGATGAGGTTTCAGAGGATGTAAAAGCTGATTCAAAGGTACTATCTTCAACTATGTGCTTTTTGCTCTTGGAAGACTTGCTATGACGTTTCAAATCTTTTCCTTTGGGTGCATCTTCATCGGAGGGATCACACTTTTCATCAAGAGGTAACAGAGGTTTGATTTTTATCCTTTTGGGCACTCCAGCGTCTGTGATGATTACCAGTGAGTCTGAAGAAGACATTCCATCTTGATCACGGCTGGAAGAGCTGGGTACCACTTCCGCTTTACAAATAACTTCTTCTCTACTTTCGGAGTTCTTTGCTGATAGTTTTGGAGACTTATCTCGTGTAACAAAGACGTTCCTTTTCACAAAGCCTCCTCTGTCTAATCTGCTCGAAGAGTTCCCATCAGGGTCAAAATTAGTTTGGTCGGAAACATGCTCTGATGGAGAGGCTACTTTTGCTGAGCGATTTATACGTAATCTGCTTGGACTGTCGCTCAAATTTATGTGGGTGCTTCCCTCTCCAGGCGATTGAGAAACGTTAATTTCTTGTGTTGACAAGCTACAATCAGGTTTTTTGGAACGACTCTTACGATGAGAGTGCACCTCATTCGTCATAACGGTTGATAACGGTGTATTTACGTCACTTTGAGTTTCTCCTGAATCACTCTCTGTTTCTAGATTTTGGAGAGAGCGCATTTTCCGGGTCAATCTACTACCACTGATGGATTCAACTTCAGTGTCTTTTTCTGCAGCATTGCTAATTTTTGGAGAGCTACTTTGTGAATTGCACAGTTCAAACTCTGGCCCTTTTTCCACGATAAATGATTCGGAATTCTTGTCTTTGGTCAATTTGATAGGTTTAATGATGAGTTTGATTGGTGAGTTTTGGTCGGCGACCTTCAGGTCAGTATTTGTGACTGAGCTTCCACGATCTTTAGCTACAGGTAAAGGTTGCACAGAGTCAACATCTTGATCCGCCAGGACCTCTTCATCTTTGGAACATGCAAGATCATCCTGAGAATTGGGGGAGTCACTTACAATTTGTACTCCTCCACAAGTGAGGGGAGATTCTGCATGGCGAGACCTGCGATTAGGCTTCCTAGGAAGAGTCTCTGCATGAGTCTCTACTACTGAATGAGTGAGAGAGGGGCTTTCTGCAGATCTGGAAGACCGAGTCATTCTCGCTTCTATTTTTTGACTAGATGTAGAATCTGCAGAGCTACTTCCCACAGGGACATTTTGTTCAGGGGTCTTTTCCACCAGGGGCTTAAAAAGTATTTTCTTGGTAAGCCCAGTGTCTGTGGTAACTATCCGCACATTAGAATTTTCTGGGCTATCAATAATTAAATCTTTGGTGCTACTTTTGTTCAAAGAACTATGGACGGAAATAGACTCATGATTAGAATCAGACTCAAGCTCGGAATCAGAAAATTCCGAATTTGTGCAAGATGGAAACTTGGGTGGAGGCTCAATACGTTTTTTTCTATCTTGGAGCGCGCGAGCATTATGAAGAGGAAAGTGTTTTTTGAATTTCCTAGGTGGATGGCCAAGAAACGTCAAGCGATTCCTTGATGAACGACTTTCATCCTCACTTTCAGTCTCGGTTTCACACTCACTCAAAGTTGCAACTTTCCAAGATGTATCTTTATTCTTTAGATGTTTCTGCCTCTTGAGAATTCGTCTCGTTATCTTAAATGGTTTAATGAACTCCCGTTGCTCTGGATCCGCTTGGGTTTTGGAATCTTTCGTGTGTTTTGCTGTGATATTCTCTTTACTGTCAATTACTTTCCATGAATTGGATTCATTTTGCTCTGACTTCAGAGAAATTGTTATTTTGACATGTTTAGAGTCTGGTTCTACTGACTGCACATCATCGGAACAGCCAGGCTGATCGTTTGGGCATTCAACAACTTTCCACGAGCTGCTATCTCTTTTCAAATTGCTTAAAGCCCGAGTGATTTTCATTGGCTGAACTATACGCTTTGAGTCAGCATTCTCCTCTTCTGCCGCCGGTTGTTCAGTACCATGCGTCAGTGCAGAGTGACTTTCAGAAGACTGATCACTTAAATTAAGACTATTTTTTGGAATGGTAAGCTTAATCTTGACAGGTTTAACTTCACCGCTTTGATGGCTAATATCTGTTTCCTTCGATTTTTTGTCTCTAGAATGTGATTTTTTCTTCTTCGAATTTTTTTTCTCACTTGAATGGCCTTGTTCAACTATTTCTGCAATAACAGGGGGATTATCAACAGGCTGAGAGTCCGTTTCATTGGCTGTAGGTGAGGGTGTAGCAGGTTCCGTCAAGTGGGAGGATACTTCGTTATCAATGGGACTGATGGGATTTAAACCAGCTTCTAATTGACTTCTAAAAACAGTGGCGATTCCAATTTTCGATTTAGCTGTTTCGATTTTGGGCTCTTGATTACTTAGTGCAATATCTTTTGAAGTTTCACGAATTTCTTGAGCTTCTGGGTTAAGTTTAAGCTCCATTTTCGGTGATATTATTGTATTATTTTTAGACTCTACCCTGGGTATTAATTTTCTGCTCTCTTTGGGCTCTGGTTTAGCAGCAGGAATTACAGTTATTTTAGAGTCAAGTATTGTTTCAGGCCTGAAGGCCGGCATTGGGTTTGTTTTGGATTCGAAGTTTGCAGGTGGATGCATACTAACTTTGGGCTCATGCCTCGAGGCTGGAGCTTTTCTTATTTCAGGATGATGTTTCACAACTGAGATCGTGCTTTCTTTTGGCTCACACTTTGGAACGGTGCTTGGACTCACAATTGGTTTGAGTTTTGGAACTGGAGCTGTTTTGGGATTTCTAGATCTGACTGCGGGACTAGCTTTGAAAGCAGGAGGTTGAGCAGCTCTTGTACCTTTTAATGGGGCTTTGGGTTTGCGCACGGGCTGTTTTGAATTGTCTTGAAAAAAGGCAAACGGCGTACTTTTGATTAGGGGTGCAACATTCAAAGCAGATTTGGTTTTTTGAGGAGGCGTTGCTGCTTTCGAGCCGCAATGAAGCTGCGACTTTGAGGTTAGCGAGGACCCAGAAAAATTAGCTCTGTACGGCAACTGAGTCTCTGCTCCAAAAGGCACTTTCGTTTCAAAAACTGGATATTCTACTGGTTCCTCCAAGAAATCCGAGTCCAGCACTGAGTCAGCCGAATCTTCCTTATCTCGAAAACTGAACTGAGCCTCAATATTTCTGGCCGTTGCAAAAAGCTCGCTGTCTATGGAGGAATCCTCATTTGACCGACATGTAGCTGATGAAATTGCAGAGTCAAACACACTCATAGCTGACCGAACATCTGCAGACTTGTTGAAGTCCATGAAGTAAGGCTCTTTGGGATCAGCCACAGTCTTATCCAAAGGGGACTGGAATGTCTCAACGTTTATCCCCAAGGATTTGCTCAGGTCTGAGTTCAGCAAAGAGTTCAGATCTAAAAATGAAACCGACTCTTCGGATTTATCATTTTTTGTTGGATTAGGCACTGAGCAAGACTTAAGGTTAGTATTAAATGACTTTGAAGTTTCACCGTGAAAGTTTGATCCACTTTTGGGACTTCTAGTCAGGCAAGGATCTAAAGTACCTATTGACATAGAGGGCGAGCTTACCTGCACATTAACCTTAGGAGGACAAATACCTAAAGACAGATCAGGAGTGGAAACTTCTGGCGATGAGAACATTTGAGCACTGTTTGAAAATGGACCTGAGTTGCATATATTTTGAATTATTTCGACTGCTTCGGAGGCTGATGAAATTGGGATTTCCTCCCTGACCGGCGATTCTAGCACTGATGAAGGACTGACTGCATCGGATACAAAGCGTCCTATAGATGTTTTCAGAGAACCAATTCCTGGCAAGCGCGGAGAGGAATTTGGAGGTATCTTCAGCATTGACGATAAAATGGAATCGTCTGGTATTGGGCTGTTCTTGTCTAGTTTTGATGAGGATTCAAATTCTAAACCCTGTGGATTTGATACAAAGTCAAATTGATCGCATGAATATTTCGGAGACTGTCTTCTGAGAGTTTTACTGTTGATTTTTAATGATTTTGAGTCATCAATTGTTTCACTATTTTCAAATGACGATATGGCTGACTTGAGAGTTGATACAATAGTTTTATCGGAAGAATTTAACTGCTCTTCCTTCCTTGTAGGATCACACGTTCCTTTCAATTCTGGATCTTTTTGTGCTATTCGTTCTGAGACTGTTTGATCTTCGAGGATTTTTAAGGAACTCGAAGTTGACATAAGGCTACTGTCTTCCTTGTTCTTTAAATGCAGAGAAGAGACTTCAGGACATTTAGATTCTGGTGCGATGTCACATGTCACTTGATTCTTTGGAATGTCAGCTGAATTCGTAGGAATCAAATCTGAGGACAGCCTGTTTAAGACGCTTTCAGGCAAATTTAACTGCTCCGTAACGTCTCCACTTGACACTGAGATATGGGTGGGATGTACTGATTTCTCAGCTCTGCTTACTTTTTCTGCGGCAGCAGAGGATTCAGCAGCTTCGGATTCTACGGGGTTAACATTAACAGCACCATCTTTTCTTGTAATCGCACCCTCCACAGAAGTTAAATCTTTGGAGTGGGACTCGACTAATTCATCTCTTAATTTTGATTGTATCAGATCACAAGAGTTGAGAGTCTCCATAACTGGGCTACTCTGCCTCTCAAAGTAATCAACTGTGGATCGGGTGATTTCTGTTTCATTTATTTCCTGGGACTTTCGATCTGTTTTTTCGATGTTTTCTAATGAGGAGTAACCGCTCTCAACGTTTATTATTTCAGATGATTTTGCACGAATCTCTTCAGCATCTTCTGGTCGATTATCACGTTCAAAAACTAAAGCTTCGTCTGCGTTTCTCTCATCAGTTAAGACTGCAACCGACTCTGTTGGAATAATCTTCTCGGAATCAAAGGTTGTTTCGTTAGAGTTACCAATACTTGACTTTAGGTTGTCACTCATCACTATGCCTGGAGAGTCAGACATCTCAGTATCCCTAAGATTTTCGTTTCTAGTAAGACCCAGATTATCATAACACGTTGTTGACGAACTCTTTCCAACTGAAACTCGCTGCATTTCTGGGACAGGGGCATCTTGGGAGAAATTTTCCTCCTGCCTAGATGGAAAAAGAAATCCTTCACTGCTGACGCCTTCACCTGTTCGGCAAGGTGTAGTCTTCTCCTTGACGTAAGTAAAAGTGTCATCATTTTTTGCTGCAATGGTGACAGAGTTTCTGTCCTCACTGGCAATGAGATCCAAACTTGGGGTGATGGATTCCTTACTGGGGGCCTCAGAAATGCGAGATGTACTCTCTGAGGAGCTACTTCCAATTGCACTACAACTTATCAGACTATCTTTGGACGCAGCATCATATGTAGACTCTTCTACGAGCGCAATCTTACAGCTATCATTGGTACCTTCTAGATTAATGGAACCCTTATTTTCACTAAGCGTCTTACTTACTGTAAAAATTTCAGGGATCGATTCCCCCGATTCACCGCTGAAATTCTTGCTGGAATCGAAATTTTTGTTTTTCAGAGCACAAATGTTTTTGTCGATAGATTTTGTACAATTATCTATATTTTCTGAGCTGGTTGACTCTTCAGCGGAACTCAAAAGCTCGGAAGCTTCAGTACTAGGCACTAAATTGGTATCATAATTTATACATGATTCAGCAGGCTTCGAACCGTGGCTGGATTTAACGATCTCTTCAGAGGTTCGTAAATCTTCTTTATCACTTTCCGAACCATCAGAATCGGATGAAGAGTACATACAAATTGAAGCTAGGGATGAATTGAGGGCAGACACTTTGTTTTTTAAGGCTCCTTCATTCGTTTCGCTGATTGGTGCGGCGATACATGGATTCTGAAGAATCAGATCGATCGGGTCTTGGATTTCCCGCTTTTCGGGGGAGGTTTTGATCAGAGAACTTAAACTATTATCACAGATAGGTTGGGGCTTTAGGGAGGGTGCAGTAGAGTATGATTTGGAGGTTTCAGTCTCAGCCACTCGGACCAACTTGCTGGGCGGACGTGGTATGCTGACATCTTCCACTTCCGGCTGAGGCGTTGATTTCAAAGGACTAATTACTGCTCTTTCAGCATTATTCGCGATGTTCGGTTGAATGGGCTTTGGGGTGGGAGTGCTTATAGAAGCAAATTGAGATAAAGGAGTTCGTTTTAGTTTTACCGCTTTCGGTGATGAAGACGGGGCCTTCTCTGTGCTGTGCCTCGCATCGTCCGATGACATGTCGGCAGCTAACCACGCACATCACCAGCGAAAAAACTAGGAAAGAGGATCATCTGGAAAGGAAAATAAAACTCCATTAAATGGTTGCTGGAGTAGAACATAAGCTCCTATGAGGGCACCCGATTTATTGACGAAACTGAGTTAGTTTAATAGTTAGTGCTTAATAGTTAATTGTTCAACACAGAGAATCCGTGGCGCTCCTTAGAAATTAATTTTATCAATTAGCAGAATCATTTTTCGACTTGACTCTCAACTGACAAAATAACCCAAACCCAAAACTCACAGGAAAAAGCAACATACAAGAATTCTTTGGTTGAAACTACACCCATCACAGGTTCCAAAACCCCCTAACACAGCGGTCCACATTCTTAGATCTGCGTTCACAACATTAGAAAGATTATTAGAAATTCAGGTAAGTGATAATCATTTAATAGAACTCGGACGAAACTTGATGTACCTCAGCTTCGAAGAAGCATTTAAAAAAATTTTCTTGATACCTTTTTTTTCACACATAAGTACTTCATTTTAAACGATTTCACATTCAAACTGTGTTTAAACGGTGCATCCTTAATTTTGTAATTATTGGCAAAGAATTCTCCAAAAATTACCCACACATAAAATTTAACTAAATCACCGCTTAGGCTAGCTGAAGCACTCTTTGATTGAACTTATTGTTAGACAGATCAAGGAACGTGCACCCCTGTTAGCAGCTACAAGGAATTTTCAATCATGCATAAAAGATGCAAATTTTACAATTGATGAAGGATAACTATTCGACGATGAAACTAGAGGACCATATCTCGGTTTGCGAAGTTGCAGACTTCCTGTCAGACTTTAATTTTAAATGGAAAACCACTCAACATCGATTCTTGATATCTTCCGTGAATTTTCTGCTCTGTGTAAAGAAAACTCTCAGGGTTATAAGTTCAATTGGACAGAGTTCATCAGAAAGGAACCAACCCACATTATGTTGAAACTGAGAAAAAGAGGTTTGAAGTAGAATTCCTGCATAAGGCTCAATGTAGAAAAAGAACTTCAACCTGTCTTTTCACAAACTAATTTCTGTTTTTCAACTTTCAATTTTTGACGGGAGAAAATATACGGCTAGTGGAACTCGAAAACATTCTGAACTCAATTTTTTACAAAATGTGGGTTGGTTCCTTTCTGATAAACTCAGTCCAATTCGACTTCAAAATTCCCCAGCCACTGGCGCTGAAATTCCCTGACTTCTCCCGGACCTCTTACAAAGAGAGATGAAAATTATATATTAACTTATATCGTTGCCATATTTGCAGCTCCAGAATATTATAAATGAAGTTGAAACTTGCAGTGACCCGAATACACACACGAATACAGGAGCGGTGCTAAATTCTAGATGTAGCAACTTATATAATTAATTGTCAATATTAAAATATTTCTCTGCGGGGAGGAGTCCAATGAAAGTGACTGAGTGTTTCACTGCGATGGTCATTAAAAACGTATGGATCACAATAATTGATGTCACTCGCCTTTTGATGGAAATATCGCGCTAGAACAAAATCTGCGATACAACTATTTCAACTCCAGAGCCGCTCAAATTGTATCCATCAAGTTGAAGGCTAACTTGATTTCTCGTTCCCTTTTTCGATAATTCAAGGGCGCGGCTATATTCTAACTTGTGCAGCTCATCTCAAAGTCAAATCAAAATATTTATCTGAGGGGACAACCGGATAAAATTTACTGGACGTTCCGCTAAGAGAGTTGTTAAAAACATGCAGATAACAACGAAAGTCACTCGTTCCCAGGCATCATTGAAAACTAAAATGCTTGGTAAACTATTTTAACTCCTGGGCTGCTCACATTACATTCACAGGGTTGCGAGTTTAATCAAATTTGAAAATTCACCGACTTTTTGGGAAAATCTGCAGCTGAAATTCCTTGGCCTTTCCTCGATAGCTTATAAAGAAAAAAGAGAGAACTCGATTTAAAAACAGCGTTGCAAACTTTGAAGCACCGCCTTATTGTACGTTGGAAGTTGAAACTTGCAAATAAGTCGAATATGACGGTTTGCATGCTGCGTGGAAATATTGTTCTGCGAAATATTTTCCTGCGGTAAGAATCGAGTAAAAGAAACTGGACGTTCCACTGAGAAGGTCGGTAAACACACCAAGATTACAATTGCAGTCACTTGCCTTTTGGACACCGCGCTGGACCAAAATGCGTGATAAAACTATTTCAACTTCTGAACCGCTTAAATTGCATCCATCGAGTTGAAGCAGAACATAGTTTCTCACTTCCACTTTCAATTATTCACACATAAGGGCCCATCCGAAAAAATGACACAAGTCAAAAACTGCTATTTTGATGTGAAATAATTAATCTAGATGCTCAATACAATCAGTAAGAAGGCCCAAATTTTTTTTCGAGATATCTCAATTTGGACGCCTAGGAAAAATGACGAAAAAAGTGGAGATATGCCTTTTTCAAATTGATACCTGACCAATTTTGCAGCTTTTGCTGGTATGGTGAAGATATGCCTTTTTCAAATTGATACCTGACCTATTTTGCAGCTTTTGCTGGTATTACTGTACCACTGTGCAAAACAAACTTAAGTGCATAATTTTTCGATGTTTTACACTAAAAGAGATGGACGATTCCAATTTGAATCATAATAGAATGTATTTTGCCAGCGGTAGCTAGCCACCCTGAATTTTAAAATCCCCTTGATATCTTAGTAAGAAAAGAGAAAAAGTTCAATTTCAAAACACCGATGCAAACTTTGTAGAGGCGTCTTAATTACTTGTTGTATGTGAGAAGTTGAAATTTGCAAATAAGACGAATACGACAATTTACATGCTGCCTGGAAATATTGTGAATTATTCCATGTGTAAATAAGAAAAATTAGAGGAGAAGGCAGGAAAAACTAGGCATGAGCGTATGGGTGTTAATATTTAAATCCCTTCACGTTGAACTAGCGCACAAATCTCGCGTATTCAGTACTCGAGGCTCTCCCTTTATGGCCAAAAATTCCCGAAAACTTGGAAACGCTAACGCGCGGTGCCGGCGCACAGTAGATCGAGTCAATAGGAGAGGTCGGACATGATTGAAAAACTTTAAAAGCATATATCTTCAGTGACATGAAATTTTGATACTTTGAAAGTAGTATCATTGGTTTTCTCGTAGAATTTTCTGCAAAAAGCACCCCTTAAAATTAAAATTGTGATGAGATAAGCGTAAAATTTTACAATTCTTGTCGAGAATTTCATGCCCGACTTCTACCATTGACTCGATCCACTGTCCGGTGCATAATGGATGTTTGAGTGTTTGACCTGACGAGCAGCAGCCCTGAAAATTTCCGTTACTTGGAGCAGATTTCCCTGAATTTCTGGGTTGTTTTAAACACCGCAAACGTGATACATGGTCTGGTAGTTTGGTCACCATCGAATTGTAATTTAAAAGAAACCCACACAAGTGACGGCAAAAATGTTCATTCAATCTGAATACATTTTTTTCGAGAAGAGTAAAAAAAGAATAGGTTATTCATTATTTCAAAAAATGTATTACAAACTCAAGTTCACTATTCAAATGACTGCATTCAAATTCTGCTCAGTTGATAGAAAATAGAAGGGGGGGGGGGTGAGAATGAGTTCCTTATACGGATAGAATAACTCTCAAATTTCTGAGAGTGTGGGAAATAATAGAAATTATTATGAGAACAGAAATGAAATGATTATAGTTACTTGGGTACCTACTACGAAAAAAAGGAAAACATTGATTTCATCTGCACTTAATTCCTTGAGTCAGATAAAAAATTGATTGGATCCACCCTAATTTTGAGATTCGGCTTTTCACAAAATTTGGATGAATACGTTAATTAATTTTCTTGGATTCTTGGAGAAACTATCTTCATGTTAAAAGAGGAAGATTGATTTTCCAAATTAACTGGGTGGGTAAATTCAGTTATTTCAGCTCTGAAGTAAATACATCAATGGCTTAAATGCAACACCACGTATCTACATTGCAGTGTTTCAAAATCATCACTCCTAGTTTATTTTTACAAAGAGGAGCAAGTCAGTTTTATAGCTTGAAATTTATAGGTACAGAATAGTCTACCTAACAGAAGAAAAATCGAGGAAATTTTCAACAAATTATGTTGACTAATAGTTTTCCAAGGAAAAAATGAAGTATTACTGGAAGTCTACAACGTCAAAAATGGAGATATCGACGGTGTAAGTCGGCAATCATATAATTCAGTTTGGGACGTCGTAGACTTCCTGTCAGGCTTAATTTTTTAAATGGAAAATTACTGAACGGCAATTCTTTAAAACTGCAGTGATCTTTCTTCTCTGTGCACAGAAAATTTTGCAAAAATTTCAAGGAATGATATCAATTTGTTCTCATTTAAAAAAAAAAAAAAACATAGAGGCAAAGATTTTCAGGCACTGCAAACGAGATATGTGATTGCGGAGTTACCCTGTCCGTATGTGGTCTTGCACTACGGCCATTGATATGGTCATATAATGATAGATGCTTTACCACTGTTGCTTCTGGGAATCGTTTTGAGATCACTCTAAAGGTACTTTGTCTCGGTAAACTATTTGGGACCAATGGGAAATGAAGTTACCTGATGCCGAGTGGTTGACGTTGTTTAATTCCTTTTGAATTATCTGATGACTTGCATGTTTACATAGAAATGCCCAGAATTTTCACCCACTGATCAATGACCTTCAGAGGTTTTTGGAACCATTCAGTTAAGTGGGAGAAATAAACAATATCAGGTACTTAAGTTTACTTCAACAACGCACCACAATCCTGCACGACTGTTGAGGAATGCCAAATGACTCTGACCAAGAAAACAGCCTTACTTTTAAAATAGACCTTTGAAATCACTAATATCTTGCATAAGCGTAAAGTCAATTCAGTTCTTTTCAAGTTTCATTATATGTAAATTTGAAGAAGAAAATAGGAACCAATTAGCTTGTTCATAACAAACTGCCATCCCTATTCCTCATATTACCTACATCAACTATATGAGCACTTTAGAACACTGTGAGAGGATATGCTAGTTCCAAACATCAATGGAAGCCGTTTCCTGAGATAGGGACCTATAATATATACTTTAGATTTATGTGATGATTGGACTTTACATGAGAACTTGAGTTTCAATTAGGTAAGGTTTGCTTGAAATATGACGCCAAATGTCAAACAACACAAGGCTCAAAGGCAAATTTAAAGAGGCAAAACCAATTATTTAATTTAAGTTTAAAAACATTTCAAACAGCAATGGTTACTGTAAAGAACTAGTCGAAGAGATTGGTAATATATTATAGACACGGCTAGTCTACCGATGTTCCTACAGCATTAAAAGTGAGGTTAGATTTTCTGGGCTCACTAAAAGAATGATAGAACTCTCCAAGAAATCATTCAAAGGCTAGTCACAAGACATTCGTCAATATTTGCAGATTTAGAGAATGTCCTTGTTGCCTTGCAGGTAGAAATAACCATGTGGGTAACTATTTTGTTGTTACTCCTTCCTGTAATTTGCGCCTAATAGGCTGAGTGATTTATTTCCAGGTTTTGCTACTAATGAAATATTAAAAAGTCCATTACTCATAATGAGTTGGTTTAAAGTAGATTGAAGCTCATCCAAAGTTTCAGTTTGACAGTACTGCTACCACAGCAATAGAAAAAAGGAATGATGGTGTTTAGGTAACCGTCAGTGACTCCTGGCTCGAAGAAGCGTAAGCTTCTTCGAGTTTACAGTCTCTTCCGAAGAGAAAACTAAGAAAGAGTTTCAACTAGTCAAATGGTTTAAACAGTCTCAGAAACTACAAAGCAATCATGACCCAAGGAAACTAAAGGTTTGCAACTAATTTTAGAAAAGAAGATCTAACCAAATACTAACCTTTGATTATCCATAGCCATTTGCAAAAACTGAAAACATTGTGAAACTTCCACTGCAGTAAATAGAAGAGGATCGTGAATTTGTCACGAAAATTGTCTCATATTATCGGGGAACCACTCACGAACTATAAAAAGGACAGTTATGTAGTCTGGCTAATGAAGTGTACTGTATAAGATTATGATGCTCCGTTTGGCCTGAGAATTGGAAGCTATCGCTGCACGACCGATGTTGATTATAACGCATGAAATCACACGAATTATTCGGAAATAAAACGCAAAGATGCACCACAACTACACGAATTCTCCTGTGCTTTTCCGAGAAAAATTCACGACTCCACTAAACTGCGCCAAACGTCATTTCGAAAACACTCAGGACTCAGGTTATGTTGTGTTTTGCACAGATTTCGAAAATAGGTCACCGACCGAAGCGTCCAACGGAACATTAGACATTGGATTTCTTTCACTCTTTCTTGGAGTTTTAGAGGTTTTCACACAGCTTTCTTCCCTTTTGCCAAAAAAATAGGCAAGAGCTTCACTAAATGCGACGCGATATCGTTTACGTTCACGAAAAGTTGAACTGATTTAGGATTTACACAGCCTCAACTTTCCCTCCATTATTCTACTTTCTGGGTAAATGGCCTTCAGTGCGGACAAATACGACCGTTTGTGTGTACTCAAGGTTGCATTGTGTACCAGAACCTATGTTAAATTACTAATGAAATCCGTGGTGAATAACGTAATTTCCTGAGAACTAAAATTAAGTCATAAGTTTGAGATTCAAAAATTATTATGTGGTATCGGATCTACGGCTTTGTTGAAGAAGCTAAGAGGAAGTAGAGTGGAGGGGGAGGGGGTACTCATAAGTGTATGACTGAAACCAACATTTCTTACACTTCAGAGCTTTCAAAGTTTTTCGAAATGATACTCAGTTGCAACACTACTTCTCATTTTGGATTGAGTAAGTTTTAAGAGATATAAAAATAAAAAAATACTAAAAAAAAAAGTTTCTTTTTTGTAACTGAACACGGTTTTTTTTTAAGTTTCTTAGAAGCGCTTTTGAGGTCAGTGCCACTGAGGGTGGGAGCAACGTTTTCAAAGATTAACGTTTTTAACTTTTACCTTCTCTGGGCGAACATGACGCTGAAAATATTCAGCCATTATGCTATGGGTTTCAATGCAGTGAGTAAGAAGAAGTAAATATTTTCAGCGTTTTCTTGGATTATGCTTTTAACAGTCTAGGACTTTAATATTCCACACACAAAATCTATTTAAAATTCTTCTCAAATGATTCTCTCTCTCGAAAAAATACGCTAAGAACCTTTAGAAAATTTCCTTTGAGAAATGAAACACCCACAAGAGAATATTCTCAGGATATTCCGCCAATCTTCTAAATCTTTCTTGGAGGAGGCCTACCATATGTTCAGCATATTTTTGCTTGCGTCAATGGTACTTTGAAAGTAACAACATGAAATGAAAAAAAAAATAACTGTATACAAAACTAAAAAATTAATTTCAATTTATTTGATAGAGGAACAAATCTTTGTATATTAAAGAATATGTTTACTTTTATTTTTTTCCAACATCAAGAACATTATGTAAAAATACCTGGGTCTTAAACCTTAAAACGTTTAACAATTAAAGCAAAAAAAAATATATTTGTATTACTTCATGGATTAAAAAGAAAGAGGTGAAAATAAAATCTGTGATTTTTAATTGCTTCTATTTCCAACATTTCTGTGTTTTTCGTTAATTTTCCTTGAATAAGTCAACTCACAAACAAAAACACAGCTTAGAGCGATGCTAATGACTGGAAATTGTAAAAACAAACAAAAAAATTCTCATGATGCATTGCCCAGTTACCATCATGCTCTTTAATTCGGTTTGACAAAGAAGAACCAGCTTCTGCGGAAATTCAGAACACACGCATCTCAGCGATTTTTATTAAGGGTGCGCAGAGAAATAATTTATTACTATCTGATGACTCAATCCCCTAAGTCTCACTTGAATTTTAACTTATAAAAATGACTTAATTTCTATTATTTGCGCTGGTTCTTCCCGGAAATAGAAGTCATACTAAAATAAAGAAAAAAGTACAGACACTTGTTACATGGTTGCATACTGATGACAAATTTCAGATATAAAGATATGTATTGGAATGATCAGAAGAAGAATAGGCTTTTCAATTGCAAGCAAAGTGAAGCAATGACTTGGACGCTTTTTCTGTATGAACGTGTTCGTCATTAGACATTATTGCTAAGTCACATACGAAAAAGTAAAAAAAGCATTACTGGAATTGATTAGAATACCGCGGGGATTTTGTTTTAAGTGTGATGGTGAGGCATTCAATGTGGAGGAGCATTTACTTTTACTCATAAGTTAAGAAAGAATGGTGGCTTAAAGTCTGTACATAAGACTACAAAAGTCCATTTTATACAAGAAATAGGTAAGAGAAGAAAAATAGTTTACTTGCTAAGAAATCACAATATTACTAGCTCTGCTCTCTCCTTGTTCTTATATGGCAACTTGGCTGGCAGGCAGTGGCTGAGTTGGTAGACTTCCTGAGTAGAATTTAGGATTAATAGCAACAGATTTGGTACAGTTATAAGTCTTGTAGATTCCAACTAGCGTATCAGCTAGTTCAAACATGTTAGAACGAAGCGAGATTATAATAAATTGGGCATTTTTTGTCCGTTCCTTGATGTAGTGTCCAACAATAGAAACATTCTTAAAGTCAAGTGCGGCGTCAATCTCATCCATGACGTATAGAGGCGTGGGTTTGTAGTAGTGCAATGCGAAGACTAGAGCAAGAGAAGAGAGGGTTTTTTCACCACCAGAAAGATTTGAAATATTCTTCCAAGATTTTTTTGGAGGTCGAACACTGAAACAGAAGAACAATTCCAATGGAACATTTTAGGAGGTTGATCAATGGATACTTATTTGTTTGACTCTGATGGGACTGTTTCAAGAATTATTCTTCTTTATTTATTCATTTTCAGAAAGTACTTAGAAGAGAAGGAGGTGCATGTTATACCGTTTTTATTTCATTAAAATTGCTTTATCTATGAAAAATGATTGTTTGGTTTCACTCAGACTGAATTAAACTTTCAATAATTCTCATTAAAAACGTTTAGCAGTGCTGATTAGCTGAGTAATAAAGCACTAGAGTCATTAATTTTAAAGAAAAATGAAAGGATGAAAACACACAATTTTTCTCCTCTGTCTTCATGAAAATTTGTATGCTTTAATAGGTGATTTTGTAGCTTAAGTACAGTCATTCCTGCAAGTTTTGATCCCTAATAATACTTGAATATGTATTAGACAGAATCGAGGTTACCGATTCAAATATTGGTACCTTTCATACTAGCATACCTAAAAACAGTTACGAAAATAAAAAGCTTTCTTGAATTTTATTCATTTTCCACAGACAAAATTACCAGGATTATAATTACAATTTAATCTTTTTGTCAAGCACCTTATTTATTCAAATAATAAACTAATAAATTCCAAAATTGCATTTTGGTGTTATTATTTTACTTTTAATAATGAATGAAAGTTCGAGCTTTTTCAACTAATTTTGTCGTTGTCTGACGATGAAAGTTCTACTGTTGTAGAGAGAAGTTGCCAGACATTTGGTGTAAAACTATTTGACAGTTTAACTCCTTGTCTTTGCAAGTCCAGTTTTAGATATGTACTCGATATCATCATGTAAAAAAATTGAAAGAGTGCACATTTGTTACCTAAAAGATATTCCCTCTGAGAATGGGTCAAGCGAGTCGCAAAGCTCCAACTCAGCGTCACCACCTAGAGTAATCATTTGATACATTTCCTTCAGTTTCTCTGTGATAATACTGTAACCAGCCATAAATTCTGTTAGCCGACGTTTCCGGACATCCTCATGCCATTTACGGATTTCTGCGCAACGGGCATTAATTTCATCCAATTCACCTGCTCTCTTCAGATACAGCTCCGTCTGAAATAAATGAGAAAATGTAAAAAGAGTACTATTAAAAGTAAAACTGGCAGAAAATTTTAACAGAAGAATGATGGCAAAACTATCCACTATCCACCTGTTTCTTCCAGATTAAGTTAACAATTATTTATAGCAGAAATCAGAATGGAAATATGGACACCGATTCAATTGGTACAAATGAAAAAAACACCAAGAAGTGGCCCGAACTGTATGTAACAAGGTGGAGAAATGGTGCTGGGTCCACACCATTTCGCGGGGAAAACATTTATTCTCCTCTATGGTGCAGTGGCTGTTTGTTTAACAACTAAAGCAAAAATACTTCCCAAGAAAACTGTCTTTAAATTTAAAAAAATAAAAGAAAAAACATGCGCAACGTTATTAGAGCAAAAAACTTTATGAAAGCAAGCTAGAACAATAAAATAATACACACCTTCTTTTTGTAATCATCGATGACAGTTAAGTTTGGTTTCATCTTCTCTAACTCTGAGTCCAAGTGCGTTAACCGATATTGGATATCATCGACACTGAAAGCCTCCAGTTCCTCTTCCGTGTAAGTGCGCAGTTCATTTTCCTTCTCTGGTTCTTTTTCTTCATTCTCTTCTTCATCTTTTTCTTTCTCTTCTTTCTCGGCGTTCTCTTCTTCAGTCTCTTTGTCCTTTTCCTCATTATTGCTTTGAGGGCTCGTTGGTTTGGCCTGTTTCTTAATGCTTACATCCGGAATTTCGTGTAGTGACAATTTTTTCAACTAGAATTAAAGATGAGAACAAAACTTTGCATGAACACAATTACACATTGACCATTTTATTATGGAACACCGCAATGCTACCACAACGTTTCGTAGAGAGGATAATGCAAGCTATGGATTTAAAGTATATCAATGAGGAGAAAATAAGAAAATATTTCTACTTCATTAAGTGATTGAATATTGATTAATTTTCTATTCGAAGAGCATAGTGAGTGAGCAAATTACGTATGGCTAACAGAAAATCAAATTATGAAGGTAAAACGAATAAACCTCAATTATTACAACAAAACAAAAATTAGGTTAGCTTGAAAAGCGCACCACAAGTCAATAGGTATTGTGTTAAGTCTTTACAAAAGTTTCTTGAGGTTTCTGCCTTATTTTTGACTTGCAAGAGTGGTTTTAATTGCAATGTCAATTTTTGAGTTGCCAAATCCTATGGTTGGTTCGTATCCTATCGTTGTCGGCCTCCTATGGTGTAGTGGTGGTAGCGCTTGCTCTATAATCGGGAGGTCCCGGGTTCGATTCCCGGCCAGGCGACCCGAGTTTGATGGTCTCAAACAATGGTTGCCTGGGACTGGTTCAGTAGGGACTGAGGGGGGATGGGACTTAAAGCGTGGGATTAGCCCTCGAGGGCTATTTGAAGTAGTAAAAAAAAAAAAAAAAAAAAAAAAAAAATACTCTGCTGCTTTACCACAAAGAAAGGTGTCTCTTATTCTTGAATATTACTGAACAAATCTGAAAAATTACGAAAACTTTTGAGCTGCCTACTAGAGTTCTTGTTATCTTCTTGCGGCCCAAAATGGCTGAGTTAGGCAACAGCTGTTAAGTTACGGTGTAATTATAAGTGTGGCTGACTTAAATTTTGTTCAATACACCATCGCAAACCCTACTTGATCTCACAGCAACTGTTGCGACAAGTGTTGGAAATGAACTCGGTTTAATGCCACACGATGGGTCTTTTGCCATGCAGGAGAGACCGCAAAATGAATAGAATTTCAACAGGTAAGTAGCAAGAAAACCACTTTGGGCACATCAAAAAGTCTGAAATTCTCTCCTTAGCCCGCAATTTGCATAGTTTGAGGACACGCTTTTTCACATTCACTGTGTCTACGGGCTCTTCCTCTTGGTGGCCAACGGTCAGGTTTACCTATAGAAAAACTTGAAAGTTTGCAAAATTGTAAGTTCATCTATCCAGGTTAGGTTATCTTACCTTTGTCTGGCAAACCTGGTAAACGGCGACTAAGAAAAACTGCCTGCAGATAAGGTCAATTTGAAAATTGTGTTAAAAACAACGGAAATTGAATGCAAAGAAGTGGATTTCAAACTATTTCGAAGTGCCCATCATGATTTCTGTGCGACTTCACGCACAGAATGTCTATTCACTTGCCTACATATCTTGCCTCCGACAGATGCATTGTCAAATAAAAAGACACTTATAGATAGAACAATTTGGGCTTACATTGTTTTGCAAGTGAGGAATCTTGTCTCTGACAGCTTTGATTTTGGCATTGACAGTTTCAACCTTCTGATCTTCTTTGAGTTTGGCTGCTTTGAGCTCATTCGAATTTTTGGATACACTAGCAAGGCCTTTCTGTGCCTCTTTGACTTCGTCTTCCTTCTCCACAATATTCCTCTGAAAATAAATCACAATGTCAATAATCGGTTACCAAAGATGCAGTACATTGCACATTCACATAACAATATAATTGTAAAAAGTAAATTTTACAATTGTGAAATGTAGAATTGTAAATGTAAACTGGGGAGTTCAGTGAAAAGCAAGTTGAGCCAAAACATGTGGCATTTGCATACACTAATGTAAGTAAAAAATAAAATAAAAATACATTATTCTACAATATTTAAAAGAAAGTTAATTTATAGCTCTTAACCCTCTATGGCATGGTGTTTCTTATTCATAACATCAAATTTCTCTGTGTCTTAAAAATTGAGTTAGTCCTCCCTGGCATCATGTTGTAAATTTTCACCACTGCTTTATTTAAAAACAAATTTGAAAAAGTATGACAGGTATGGGTCTTAACCAATTTCAATAATACTATTCCTATACTGAGCCCATTCTTGAAGTATGCCCAGCTATATACGCTGATTACAAGTAAATACTCTCTGGAAAAAATTTCAATGCACATTTAGCGCTGTTGCTGTGAAAAGGCTGTCTTATTTCGAGAGCTAACTTACCGATATGGCTTCAGTTTCTTCTAATAGTTGTGTTACTTCTGCTTCCATTTTCTTTTTCTCTTCACTCATTTTCAACATGGCATTTTGCGCTTCTTCGATCTCATGAGTTAAATTGTCAATACGGTCTTCAGCTTTCTTTGCATTCCTGGGAAATATCACAGTAGTTAAGTAGATGGTGGAAAAAATGAATATAAAAAAACTTAATTTTATATTACAAAAACTGAACATCCAAACTGCCTCAGAAATGAATCAATAATTCAATATGAATGGAAGTTACAAGTGCTATTGTTTATGCTATCTCATTAAAAACATTTAGATATCAAATTATGGAGCCGCTGAGATAGAGGCTTAGGGTGGCCTCATGCCATGGAGAGGAGGATGTAAAAATATCTGTTAGTTCAGCTTCAATAAAGCCACAGGAGTAAGCGTAGAAGTGGCAGAGTGTGAGGTAACCTACAGCACAGTTACTTCTTTCTCGCTTGAGGGCGGCAAAATAACTTTACGAAGAGGGGCAGGGAGAATGAGGATAAGAGACGGATGTGTAAATTTACATACTACAGGTACTCATAAAGGGATCTTTTCATGTTTCCGACAGAAAATGATACAACTCTGGGGGTTTTCTGAGATAAGCAGAGGACTTCCTTAGCGCGGCTTAAATGGGTAAAAAAACGGGATTGGACCATTTTTAAGAGGAAGCAGGGTTTCTGACTTAGTACAGTTAGACCTTAAATAAGATTAAGAATTAAACTGAAAAAATAATGGGTAACCCTTCATTTTATTTCATTCTTTCCTTTCTTTTTGTACACAAATCCCCTTTGCAGAAAAAAGGTGTCTCAAAATCTTACGAAAGTCTGTTTTGACGCACACAAAAAAAAAAAAAATTAAAAAAAGGAGGAGTAGGTTCATTAAGAAAATAGAAACTTTAATTAATGTTGAAACCCACCTTTCAGCAGTTTTGATTCCAACACTTAGCTGGTTGACATGTGAATTCGTTTTGTCTAATTTCTTCACTACTTCATCTAGTTTTTTGTTTGCAGTTTTCATCTTGCCTTCTGTTAGCTCCATGATTTTTGAGTGTACTTCTTTCACCTCGTTTTCAATTTCTTTGGCAGCTTCATTCGCTTTTTCAAATTCTTTTTTTGCTTTCTGATCCGAAGAGAAACCAAAATTAATAAAGCTACATATATCAAATTCAAAAAAATTCTTAAAAGTATTGTTATATCATCATGTAGCCCATCCACTAAACAAAATTGCGGGGAAAAGAAAATGGTGACTGTAAGGTTAAATAATAATAATAAAAAAAGAAGAAAAAAAAAGGGAAAAAAAGATAGCTAGGAAAAAATGCTCACAGATACAGGATATTTGAAAACACATAGGAAGAACTATGCAAATTGTGTATGAGGAAGTGGGTTTTAGATTTTTTTAAAGTATTCTATGAGGTTTTCATTCTATTTTTCTACTATCAAGTGGTATTTCTTGCACATGTTTTTTTATCTGTAACTCTTCTTATGCAAGAAACCCATTAGATTGTTACTTGTCACCTAATGACATAAGATTCAACTGATCAGATCACATGATATCGGCACTAATTGGTTCGAGGTTAGTTTACAAGAATTTGTGGTTGTTTTTTCTGACATATTCAAAGCTCCGACATTGAAAATAAAATTAGTATCAGTCACACACATGCAAAACAGACGCACCTTGTTCCTCCTTCATTCTTACAAAAGAGAAAATTACCTGAACGACAGACTCCAACTGCTTCACTTGTTTTGGATCTGCTTTTACTTCTTCTATAACATCTTTCTGTTTGCTGATTTGTTCTTTAAGCAGGGGAATTTGTTTGGACAGCATCTGGAAAAAGCACATGAATATTATTAAGGACCTATAAACGTATACTTTGCAATTTGCTCTTCTTTGCAACTGTCATTACATAGAATTTGGCAGCTTATCACTCACAAACATGCAGTCAACAACTTCATTTTCAGTAGTCCTTCCTGTTTTTTAAAGGGCTACATCTTCATTAATATTGGACATTAAACCTGGCGTTTGGACAGATTTTTTTCTTTTTTGCTACTCCATAGGCTTGAACCATCAAAACACGATTCTATGACAAGCGATACTGATGATCCACCTTCACAATATAAGTTCTTACCTCGTACTCCATATTGTATTTGTTGAGATTTGTTTTATTGGCTTTGATTCTTGGGGACAAGTATGACTGCGTTTCCTCCAAGGCATGCAATTGCTGTCGTATGGTCTGGAACTTTTGTTCCAGTTTCTCAACAACTGACTCCAGTTTCTTCATTTCTCCGGGTGAACTTACTTCCAGGTCTTTAACTGAACTTCCCATACGACCTTTCATCACATAGTTGCCTCCTCCAGACATGGTACCTGAGAAAAGAATGTGTAAAAGCTTTAGGATTAAAAGTTTGGTTATTGCATTTATGTACTACAATGTAAATTCTAAACTTTATAGAATCACGATCAGTGTTGGGACATGCTTGTAATAATTTTTTTCTTTAAGGGTTGTTGCTTTCAATTACTTTAACTTTGAGTTTTTGGAAGGGATTATACTTCAAAAATTTTCACAGTAATTACCGTCATGTGCCGTTTTGAAGACAATTATCACATAATCGTATAAAAAAAATGTCAGATGCCAACATTTACTCCTCTCATTTTTTTGGAGGAATTAGTGATTTCGGCTAGTGAAAGAAATAGACAGGAAACCTTTTTTGAAGCAAGTACTTTCCCGACCTAATAAATTACATAAAAACACTACATTACCTGTAGGTTCAATAATTTCTCCTTTGAGTGTGACAACTCGGTGCCTTACACCACTTTCGTATGCAATCCTTGAAGCTTGATCTAGATTATTTGCGACCAGTGTTTCTCCAACTCCAAAGTAAAAAGCAGTTTTCATTCGTTCATCAGGAATTTTCATGAGATCAAAGAGTCTTGGCACATTTTCAGGACTGAAAAATGTTGAGGTGATAAAAATGAGTCTGATACGTAAAGGAAGGTTCAAAGAACTCAATTAATTCTGTCAAAATGCTTGAAGAGAGGAATGGGTCAGTTGAGTCATTTTTTTTACTGATTAATTTGACTAAGTACTGAGTGCGAAAAGCTTGCTGTTTTTTCTTGGCTTTTTTTGACAACAGCAACTGGGCAAAAAGATCAATCAAAAAAGAAAGAAAAAACTGGGTGGCAGAAAACAAGGTTTGAACTGCGCAACCATTGCTTTTGAGATTTATGCAACACAATAATATGGCGGGCGAATCCAAGAGAAAAAGCGTTGCCACCACCATTGTTGCATTTAATACATGCTATATTGAATTTAGATGGTGGTACCAAACAGAATAGCTCAAACAAGTTGTGGGGTACCTCTACAAAGGAGGCATTATTTCTGTACAGAAACGATTTTCCAAGTTTTCTGTATGCATTGTTTCTCTTTCACCAAAAAACTGTAGAATTTAATGCTCCCACGGTAAACTAACCTACTGGTAACTATTAGGGAAACAAATTTTATTTTCCTATCCTTGCTCTTACAAAAAAACGTTGATGCTGGTTCTGAAAGTTTAGACCTTGAATGTTGCAAATGCTGAATAATGTCTAGCAATAAAAAATCAACTCATGTTAAGAGATTGCACACTTACATTTTTGCACAGATGCTTGTTGTGACAACTGTTAAATTACTGCATGGGCTTATAGACCACACTGATTTACGTTTTACTTTGCTGAAAATCTTGGCGCAGAATACTAATGAGGATAAGTGCAAGTTTCTTCTACAACCGACGAAAATCAGGATGGAGGCTGTGTACCAGACACCCACAATATGTGAATACCAAATGAAAAACAGGGAAATCCAACTCACGTGTTGACTTTTTGTTTGGTTTTTGGACGAAGATGTTCCATTTTTTCCAAGGCAATGAAAGTAGCTCGCCCTACATTTTGCTGCTTCAGTGCTTGGATACAATGATTGACATTTTCGATTGTATCAACAATAATATTGTCCAGAGCTCCACAGGCTGTCGAAACCGCAACATCATATTTTTCATCAATCGCACCTAGATCACCCTGAAAAAATTTAAAAAATTAAGACACTTTAAAGCTCTGTGACAGCTCTCTTGAATTCAAGCAGCAGTGATCAACTAATTTCTATTCAGTGATTGAATATTTAGTGTTCGTGGATCCCTTAAAATAATGGTTTTTGGAGAACTAAGGTCCAGCTAAATAGATAGAAAAACATTCTAATACAGTTATTCCTTCTTTAGTCTGATAGTATAGGTCCCATTCAAAATCCAAGATAGTTCTTGTGTGCTACACTTATCAAAATTTTTGATTCATCATCTGGACCAAAAATTGCTATTCTTCTTTCTTCAAGAAAGGCTGTTTCCTTTGATAAGTTTCCTACAGATATACGATAACATGAAACAAGTACATACCAATCGGCCGAAAATTCCTGAGACACGACCTTCTGCTTTCAACTGGAGAATAAAATCAAGGACTCGGTTGCGAGATCTGTTTGCTTGCATCGTTGAACGTTTTTCATCAACTTCATTCCTTTTGGTTCTCAACTCTGCTTGGACACTTGTTTCTTGTGGCCGTAACTCTGAAAGCTGAGACTCAGCTGTTTTCAGAGTCTCCTCGTCTTTGGGCAAAGTTCCTTTAATCTCATTGATTTGCCTGCAACCAGCACACAACATTTTGATGAAAATAAAGTAAAATTATTTGACACGGAGCAAAGGAATACGAGGAAAGCATATCCCCCCTTATTTTATAGTCAAACAGCGATTTGGCAATGGGTCAGTTGCGCTGGTCACAGAATCGTGTTTTGATGCTTGATTCTTGTAGATTAGCTGAAAATATTAAGATCTGCCCAAACCGTAACTTTCTACGTTCAACATGAACCGAGATATCTCCCTTTGAAAAGTTGGGTTTTTAACGTCATCTACCGTGGCAGTGACACCTTTGGTTTCTTCCACCTTGCTTTCATCCGCATTTCACATAGGGTAATGGTGCCACTACCGCGGTCGATGACATCAAAAACCCGACTTTTCAAAGGGCGATACCTGGGTTAATATTGAATGTAGAAAGTTGCAGTTTGGACAGATCTTAATTTATTTTAGCTAATTTACTAAAATCAAGCATCAAAACACAATTCTGTTGCAACCGGAAAAAGGTCAAGGCTTTACTGCACAGCAGCTTAAAAACAATGGCCAGAGGACGGGCCAATAAACTAGAAACTAGTAGTTATCTGGTGCTCTTTCCTAATCAGAAAATGATGCTTCTCTAGTTTCATTTTTGAAAGTTACAGCCATGATTTAGGCTTGATATTTATGGGCTGTATGGTTTGCACTCATCTAAGATTAGGAATGGAATTTTGTCCTGACGAATTTATTAATTGTTGTGTGGTAAATCTGTGATTTTCTCATGTTACAGCAACTAGTTTTTGAGTACACTACGTAAAACAGCACTAAGTTAATAATTTCTTTTTAAGTTAGTAATAGTTCCCCATATTGGTTCTGCAGGCAGTTTCCACTTATTTATTACTAACCTCTTCCCTTTTTGTTATGGATGAAGGATTTAAGGACAAGAGAAGAAAAGGATAGGAGGAAGAAACAACAATTCTAACACAAAGAATCCACTACTTGACAGGGTAAGAATTCCATTTTACAGAACATGCTTTTATGTTTAAATTTCATGCAAAACCCATTTGACAAACCAAAAGCTTCAAAAATACTTATGTCCATAAAAGTAAAATTAGTATCTGCAGTTTAGATTGGTACATCATTTGATGCAGATATCCTGCTTTAGTTTGAGATGCAAGATAAGAGAATGAAGGGATCATTTTAACAAGCTTGTGATAAAAAACAATGAAAAGTTCTGTTCATTCATAATGGAAATTGCGCAAACAATTGAATGTAAAAAGAGAACACGAAATACCTTTGTTTTTCTTTCAAAGATGCCTCTGTTGTCTCCAAACTGGCAGTCAACTGCTCCATCTTAGCTTTTTCCTTCCTTTCTGTACTTAAATAAATGTCATACTCTGACTGTGCTAAATCACACTGCAAATAAAGACAAATAAGGTACGGTGAGAGAATGATAATACATTTGTTGAAACGCAGAACAAAAGTATGCACCTTCAATAATGTCAGATAATTGTAAAGTAACACATGTGAAAATAAAGAATTGGCGAACACATGAGAAAAGTTCTAGTCTCTGTAAAAGACACAATAATAACCTAGTTCTGTGACAAAAGGGCCCACTTGCCTTGAATTTTGAAACTTGGTTTATGCTTGGGAAAATATAACCTAAGATACTACTAAAAGATGTGCTGCTGATATCAGAGGGGGAATAACATCTTTTGATATTACTTATGTAAATTGATTTAACTGGAATCAGCCTGTATTTCACTTTGTCTCATTTTCATTAATACATAGTTTACTTTTTTATTTATTTATTTTTTGTACTGAAAACAGAGCAATACAATGTCTCAAAAGTATCTATAAATTTAACTTAGATTGAAAGGATAAACTCATGAAATTTGAAAGCAAGATATTGCTTAGTTTTTTTTTTAAAGGGAGGAGGGAAAAAAACACAAGATGAAAACTAAGTGATGTGTCAAGTGCTAAGGTTTTCTTGGTAAATGGCATCCAAATATTATGTAAAAAAATCGTATTTAAAAATAGGGATACCTTCATAGAATACTGAAGTTTATGTATTCAGGGAAAAACAAAAAGAAATTTAAACAGAAAAAAAAATGGGAAAAAAACCCATTCATGACCCTTTAAAAAAACCTTGTGAAAATACTTTCTTGGCAACATTCTTCACAAGATCATACATACTGTTTGTTAAGAAGGGAATTCTACCAACAAAGTCACACTGACCTTTGCTTTGGCATCATCAGCCGTCTTCTTCAAATCAATTTGCTTGGCTTGGAGCTTATCTTTATCATCCTGAAGGCTCTTTGTGTCAGTTCGTAAAGAGGCCAAGATTTTGTCCCTCTGTGCCTCTTCTTTCACTCGGTCAGCTTCCAAGCGTGTTGCTAGAGCTTGCAATTCTGCAATTTCTTTTGCATTTTTTTCTGGCAACGCCTTTAACTCAGCCAGTTTATTCTCTTCCTTCTTTTTGTCTTCCATCAGCTTTTTCCGCTTTTTGTTGGTCTCTTTTAGGTCGGCAGCAATTGTGGTGTCCTGAAACATAGTTGTTAGAATTCAAATAGGTAAACGCAGTAAAAAATAACACCCACATTGTAGAACAAGCAAAGATGCTGTCTGAAAATACCCCCCTCATCGCAGCCTGCATTCTGACTGAAAGTTGCCTCTGCTGTGATTCATGGTCAGCGCAGCTGTTATCAATGCTTGACTGTATAGACTATGAATTACAGCAGAGACAACACTCGATTAGACCATGGCTGCAGCAGCAAGAGGGATATTTTCAGACACCATCTTGGCATTTTCAGTGATGCACAGTGGAATGGGAGCTCAAAATATTCAACCCTATAAAACCCCAGGGAAATTTTTGGGAGTCTACTTTCTAAAAATCATCAAATAAGCCATTTTTTGGACTACACTCTGCCACAAGGAAGTACTGTTCCTCTTTGTAAAAGCACCATATGCATCGGGAAAATAATGCCACACAGGTTGTTTCTAAATGAGCTAGAAATAGTAGTTCCTCGTTGGAAAATCAAGTTAATTTGGAGATATTTTAAGTCTGGAAAAACTATATTATTTTTCTAGTAAGAGCCATTATGAAGAAAACTTGACTTCTTTCTTTTTTATTAGTGGGATTTCTAAAGAAAACAAAGGAGGCTAAAATATTGCCATCTAGGTAGTTTTCAAAGGTCTCTCAATAATTTAACGGAACACCTCATGCAGTTAATCTGGTCAAACATTTAGCAAGCAATACGATTTTATAGATTTGTCAGATGGTTTGAGCAGAGATACCAACAACAATTTTTGAGACATTTCATTCTATTTTTCAGAGGAAAATCTATCAGATGCAGTGTTGATGAGTCTGTTGGTTGTAAAAAAAAGTCTAAATTATTCTGCTAAAATTAAATTCACCAATTGAATCGATGTATGCGAAAACGTTCGTTTTCCAAGACCTTGTTTCAGAATTTGAGTGGACAATGTCGTTGTAACTTAAGAACACAAGATGGTTTAAGACGTTAGGAATGTAGATCAATTTTATAAATAATCCTCTGAGTGTAATTGAACGTTTGCAAAAGAGATCAATCCTATTCATCAGTGTCGTGGGACAAAAGAAACCCACCGCAATTATGAAACCCTGTATTAGACAACGGACGTTTTCGCATATGTCGATTCAATTACAAAGTAGGCTGATATCAATTTATTTTTCAAATTTTCACAAAGGACTCATCATCGAAACTTGTTTCAAAATTTTTCTGAATGAACTCCATATAAACTGTTATTTTAGATTTTCACTGACAGCCCTCAACAAGACTACTTTTTACTGGAATTTTGCATTTTACAGCTTTTTCATTTTAAACTCTCACACATACAACATACCTGTAGTGAGTATTGCTTGAATTTTTGGTCTTTAGCCTCGAATTGCTCCCTCATTGCCGCTAGTTCCTTTTCTTTGGCCTTGATTGAATCTGTAGTTTCCTTCGTGCTGTCTTCTAGTTCTTTCAACTTCTTTTTCAATTCAGACATGCCTTCCTCTATTTCTGCTTTTTCTGCCTCCAGCTTCTCAATATCTTTCTTGTGTAGGTAAATGTATTTTTGCCAATGCTTGTTACGAAGAAGGTTAACTTCATTCTCTGTCTCAAGGAACTTGATGGCCTCTCTCATAGGCTCTTCTAAAGCATCACGTTCTTTCTCAACAAGTTGGAGGCGATTTTGTTTCTCTGTTTTTTCTGTATTGAGAATTTCTGCTTGTTCCTCAAGTTTTTGGATTGGAGTTTTGTAGCGGGTGGTTCCAATAATGTCTTCCAAGTACTCCAGCATGCCTATAACAATAAGTATGGTGTGAGGTAATGTGAAGATTTTGCAAAAAGTTGAAGAAAGTATCATTAAAATAAGTTGAATAACTATGGCTAATGGCGTTTAGACTATCAGCAACAATGTACTAATGCTGCAAATTTTTTCGCACAGCGGGATGACTTTCAATAAAAGTTAAAACGTCAATTTACACACAACTGTTTTGGCGCAAAGTAAGGAATCATCAATACCCTTAGATTAGACTGCAAAGCAAGGAATCCATGACATTCTTTAATAATCAATAGATGCATACCTGTTTCATGTGGTGTTAGGCCTTTTGGTTTCATCATGGCTATTTGCTCGACTTCACCCTGTAGAATCAAGAATCTGTTGTGAATCAGATCAATACCATGACGAGCCAACACTTTAGCTACCTCTTTGAATTGCACTCTCTTATCGTTGAGTGTATAAAAAGAAGAGTTGTCAGCAAATGCTGTCCTCCCAATAACAACTTTTGAGTTTGGCACAACCTCATACTCCTCACCATCCTTGTCAATGATCAACTGAAAGTGAACTTGCACTGTGCAGCTTTTAATGTCGCGATGTTTTTCAGACTTGTGAAGTAAGACGGAGATTTTTTTCGAGCGAATCTTGCTGGCACGATAGCCAAACACAAACAGCATTGAATCAATGACATTTGATTTGCCAGAGCCATTTGGGCCAATTATGCATGTAAAACTCTGAAAAAGGAAAGAAATAAAATTAAAAGGGGATAGAGAATGTGTCCAATCTTGCAACACTGGGTTTTTTTGGGTACACTGTGGGAAATTCATGAGTTATAAACCATGAAAATTGGGGATTTTTTCTCTTTAGCATATGGCTTTGGCAGTCACAAAATATTTAAAAATTAAAAAATTGATAGGAAAAATCGGAGATGAACTTAAAAGTTCTTGCTGCGAAGTGATATTGCTACCATTCTTAACCTGATTTTGTGATTATTAATTTTCTAGCTGATCCACTTTAAAAGGAAGTATAACTTGCAGGTTAGTAGGACTTTACAAACCTTTAAAAGGTTTGAATTACACCACTGGTTTGGGTTCACTTCAATTGCAAATTTCAGTGTGAATTTTCTACACTGTTTGGAAAGTTTGTCTTAAATAGGTGGGAACTAGCGACTTTCAGTGGGTGCTTGTGACTCTTTGCTTTGTTCAGCAGAATTTTGTGGTTACAGGATAGGGACGCTCAACTGAACTCTCCTTTACAGGCTCGCACAGTCTTAAATAATGGGGTACTAAATTAAAAAGAAGTTTTGAAGGGAAATCTAACTTACTTTGTGGAATGGTCCAAGAACTTCCTTTCCGGCATAACTTTTGAAATTCTCATTGACAATATGAGTGATAATTAGTCTGGCTTCACCGGTATTCTCGGAGGTACACGCAGGCTTGATAGGAGGTGGGATATAGATACCAGCCACACGAATTCCTCCTGAATAATAGAAAAACAGAAAATTCATGAAGTACTGCCCAAATCAAACTCAGCTATAGTTACTGTAAATCTGCTTAAATAAGATAACGGGAAGAATCAAGCATATAATGCCATGCAGCCTCCTGCTATAATAGTTGCTAAATTGTATAGGTGCGGGTAACAAATTTGGTAAATGATCATCAAGTAAACGGGCTGAAGACATGATCATAAAAATGAAATCCAAATTTATAAGGTTGAATAATGATTTTGGTGGCTTCTATTTTCATCTCTCTTTCTCACACGTATTCCTTATAGGGATAAAACCTAAGCGCGTGCGTAACCTCTACTTTACATGGGAATATGCTGAAATTTTGTCGTACAGAACACATTTTCAGCATTTGAAAGCGATGTGTAATCAAGCATATGTGATTGTTGGTTTTTTGGAATCATCCTGTTGCCTGGGCCCAGATTATCAGTTTTTTAAGTTTTTTTTTCATAAGTTCTAGCAAACTTCCACTTTTAATCGATACATAACTTAACACTTTAAGTCTATACTATTTTTAACAATGTGTACAAAAATAATGTCTTTGTCTAATGTCTATGATAATACGAACATATTTATGTTCATGGTTATCAACAATGAGAAAAATAGAATGTTGTAGGGGACGGGCAAGCCTCAAAAGCTTAATCTTTCTTACCATCTTCGTCATCCTGCCAGTCTTCATTTTCTGAGCCACTCTCCGATTCAGGATCAGGTTCCGGCAATTTTGGCTTCTTGGCTTTGCTGGAGGATGATTCGCCAGGTAATTTTTCAGAGTTTTCTTTCCGCTTCGACATGATAATTCTTGACTTTCAGAGTCTTCCTCTAGAAAAAAAAGAGGTGTTGATATTTAGAATGAAGGTCGCAAAACATACTTCATATGAAGTTGAGTTGTTGCATTGCGGCCACTTCTGAGCTATTCAGTTCCAGTTGCAATCTTAAGCCATCATTTGGACGTATTTCTACCAAAGAGACCTATGTGGAGGTGAGAAATTTGGGGTATGCTCGTTAGTTCTCTGGCCGTAAGAGTGAATGAGAATAATAAAGCGCCAGTGACGTCAGCGGCAATGATCAACGAGGAGCGCAACGGGGAGATCGTCGTCGGGGCGCTTTAACTCATGAGCCCTGTCCACAACGCTCTCTTGCCATGCCCGCGGCTCATGAGTTCCACATTCAGTTGTCACATAGGTCTGTTTGATAGAATGCAATATCCCGCTTTTTCAATTCTTCAAAAGGAATCACGCCCACTTTTACATTGCTTCTTATGCAGCTTCCACGAGCACACCCCATATTTCTCACCTGCACGTAGGTCTGTTTGGTAGAAATACGTCCATTTGATGACCTAATCGTCACACTTGCAAAATCCCAGATAATGGTCAAGAAGAACAATCATCTACAGGAAGAAACTGTCTTTATCTACTGATTGGCAGCTCGCTAATAACCGTTATGGTTAATAGCGGTACTTCAAAAAATTAGTAGGGGACCTCTGCTGAATATGAGCACTGCCTTTCCCTACAAAATAAAAAAAATTCTGTCCACAGATGGGTGGTCATCACTCGAGAGGAAAATCCTTTGGTAAGGGGGACTGCAACAATAATTTTGAGGTAGTGCAGCTACCAGGAATCATGGAATTCACAAGATAATTGTGACTATGGGTAAAATCTTGACAATAATAGACACTGTGGGCGATGCAAAAATGGGATTATCAATAAGGGGCTTGGAGGACGAAGCGCATAAGTGCAATTTTTGCTGTTTCGAGAGATACATGTTTGAAGTTTCAAAATTGGACGTATTTCTACCAAACAGACCTATGTGGAGGTGGGGAATATGGGGTGTGCTCGTTAGTTCTTTTCGCGTAAGAGTGAATGAGAATAATAAAGCGCCAGTGACGTCAGCGGCAATGATCAACGAGGAGCGTGACGGGGAGATCGTCGTCGGGGCGCTTTAACTCATGAGCCCTGTCCACAAGGCTCTCTTGCCATGCCCGCGGCTCATGAGTTCCGCATTCAGTTGCACATAGGTCTGTTTGATAGAATGCAATATCCCGCTTTTCCAATTCTTCAAAAGGAATCACGCCCACTTTTACATTGCTTCTTATGCAGCTTCCACGAGCACACCCCATATTTCTCACCTGCACGTAGGTCTGTTTGGTAGAAATACGTCCAATTATGCGGATCCTTATGGCCGAAAGAAAGTTCAAACCTACTTTTTGATGCTTAAGATTGGAATTGGAGCTAATTCCTCATAGACTACACATCAGGACTAGTTTTACATGAAATCATTTATATGTCAATTTTATCAAAAACTGCACTAGGGCGCCTTGTCCTCCAAGCCCTCAAATATGCCTTGAAGGTTGCAAGAGTGATGTGCAAACTTGCAGCCTGCATAGTTGAACTTCCATAACTTCATCAGAACTTGATCTAGTAGCTACTAATGGACTAAATCTGGGAAAACAAGATTGTGATTTTACCTGTGATGTGAGCTTGACAATGAGACACTTCGACTCCTTGACGGTTCACTTGCAAATGATATGCTGCGCTATGGATGATTCATACTGAGATAGTAATTTTTTTAAACATTGGTAACACAATTAAAAATATAAATATTTAAATATGTGTATTACTTACATATTCTCAAATTACTGAAACCTTACTAAACTGACATGCTTATCAGCAAAGTCAGCACTTGCAAAGCTGCAATGTTTACGATTTTAGGCGCCAAACGGTCAAACAAAAACTCGCGGCACCCACAAACTCATCAAAAATCTGATGAACCGAAGTTCGAATTTCAACCGCGAAATTTAAAAGAGCACAAAGGAGAGAAAAGAGCGCAAGGCAGTTGATTCCAGTTCCAGTTTAACTGCAATTCTGCGTTTTCTTTTGTCGCATGAAAAATTTGTTGTGCTTCAGTCGAAGGGGTACTTGTCAACATTTAAACAAAAGCATCTTCGGCATGTTAGCTTGATGAGTTTTTCCAGCAGATATGGTAGATGAGAGAACAAGCTGAGGAGTTCATCTACAGGTTCTCTTGCCTACGCAACATTTTAAGGTGATTCATACTGGCTGTTTTCTTTCTTTTGATGAAGTTTGTAAATTTTCAAATGGACTTCAGGAAAAATAAGTTTACGCACTTTTAAAGTAAAACTAAAGCTTCAATCTTGATTCAATTGTATGTAGGGGCATTAGGTACTTACATTACATTCAATGCTAAAGTAAGGACAGCTACGATCTTCTGCGCATTCTGAATTTGAAAAAGTTCACCTCCGAAACTCATACGCCTATGGAATGACCAAGTATATGCTGCCGTGCTAAAGAAAATCGCCGATGAACATTCGAATGGTGCCAAGTTTTCCTTGAGAAAAAACTTATTTATGAGGAAAGTTATGAATATTTTTCATTGAAATTCTAAAATACTCTAGATTAAATTAAGAACAAAATTCTTTGAAAAATTGGATGGAAAGAAATTCGATGCAATTCCTCAAATACGCAACGAATCTACGATGAAGATTTTTAATGGAGCGTGATTTTCCCGAAAGTTCGTGATTTGGCAAGGGAAATTTTGTAATCTTTGAATGCTCATACAGCATTTTTCCTTAGCACAGCAGTATGGGTATAATTATGTGGTTTAATTTTTTAGAGAACGCTTAAGATATGTAAACTGAGCGGTTTAAGAACACTGTACTGAACGAGGTAAGTTTTGGGGGAGAGGGCGCGCAGGCGCGCTTTTCCCTTTAACCGGGAAAATCAGTTTTATGCGCACATCGATTTCAAGTGTAAAGATGGCAAAAAAAAAAAAAACTCAACTTGCAGCTTTCTGTACTGTAAGTGCCAAAAAGCTTTAAAATGTTTTTCTTTAAGCCAATTGATCAAGGAGAGTATGCTCTTTGATATGCTCTAGTGCTGTTTTTTTAGTTTTGAGAATTCATCACTTTTTGTCAAAACTGCACGCGCTTGAATAGTTCATTTACACTCTTCTCCCCGATCATTTTCACTATATGTAGTTATTCAAAAGAACTCCTCCATCATGACTCAGCATATTGTAATCCATTACATTCTTTCATCCTACAATAGAGAGGCATGAATATTGTATTATCGTATGTATGAATATTGCATGTTGACGGCGTAAGTCCGCAATCACATATCTTATTTGCGGTGTCCGAAAATCTCTGCCTCTTTGTTATTTTTTTACAGGAGAAAAAATTAACATCATTCCTTGCAGTTTTGCAGAATTATCTTCGCACAGCAAAGGAAAATCATGGCAGTTTTAGAGAATTGCCGTTGAGTAGTTTTCCGTTTAAAAAATTAAGTATGACAGGAAGTCTGCGACGTCACAACCCAAGTTATGTAATTGCTGACTTACACCATCGTAGTCTTCTTAACAGGAAATACTTGGAACATGGAACATGCTGATTTAATTTTTAATGGGTTGGGAGAAGTAACATTGACACAAACTTTTAAGGTGCTTTTCTTTAATAAGTGTAAGAATGCAAAATGTTCAGAAAATGTTACAGAAAATCATCCAGGATGACAAAATTTAAAAAAAGAAAGACAGAAAATATCTGTACAACATTTCAAATTTTTTTTTTTTTTTTTAACAGAGTTTTTATAATACTAGGTCTTTGAACTCAGAATGACATTTTTCTCTTGAAGTTCATATTCTCTTGCAACTTCTGGAAATTGTGAATATATTTGAGAACTTTTAATACAGCCTATTCATGGTTACCAAAAAAAGGAAATAAGACGGTAGATTAGGGTCCGTTTAGCAAAAATTTAGGGTTTACTGTACACTCAGGGTTAATTGAAATAAAAGAAAAAACAGGAATCATAATGCCCTTGAAGCTGTGCTTACGCGCTTATCACCATTTTATCGAAATAAGATAGAACTAAACATCAAGCATGCAAGGTTGACTTTTTTGGCAAGATATTAAATGATATCAGGCCCACATTTTAAAACCCACAGCTAGAAGATAAATTCAGGAAACTTCATTACATAGAGTGCACAGGAACAATATAGGAACTAGGGGGAAAATCTGCAATCACAAACTGAATGTTTTTCAAAGAGAGCTTGAAAAAACTTCCAACTTCGATGAGAAAAAATAAAAAATAAAATAAAATAAGTGGCCTACAGATAACTAAAAAAATAAATACTTAAAAAAATAATAAGATTTCTAAGAAAATAAAGAAAGTAAAATCGAAATTGTATACTTGAAAAACAAATCAATTACAGCAGACTCGGTGTAATTCATAGAGATAGCTCATGATGCAGAAATGAAACAAGAGGTTACATTCCTAAAATTTATCTACACTCATTTAATTTAACTAATTTTGGTAACAATATTTGGTCAATTTTAAAGGAGAAAAGTTTGATACTCAAAAATCTGAACATTAAGAAAACATAAAAGGATTAACTTTGTTTAACTCATTTAATAAGATTAGTAAAAGTTCAAAAGCTTCATCATTACATTTTTTTCATTTAAATGCAATTTTCATCACTGAAAATAAATTAATCAAACCCTAAGAAAACTGATCTGCTTGGATTTTACTATATATAAACTCAAAAATAAAGGATTTGGAGCTTCGCACTTGGATTGCCTTCCTATCTTTATGAAAACTTTAAAGAGGAACAATTTGTATGGAATCAACTTAATTCTATACTTAGCAACTTCTTAGAGAAGTAAATGATGCTTTACATTTTGAAACGCATCAGTGTGTAACTTTTGATATTTGGTGACCCTTTTTAAATGTATTTTTTTGCACTTCTACAATCAGGTGGACTTATTATCTTAGTGCTTTCACTATATAAATATGCCATCAAATTCTGTTATTACATAATAGTGAATCCTTAAATATCACAAGTCTTTCACAGTTTAGTAGTTTGAATGAGCACTTCTCTGAGAGGCTTTTCTGAGTCTCTCGGCAAAATATTAGCTAAATGAAATGGAAAGCAGGCGGTATATTTGTGTTTTGTTTTCTTATTTGGGATTTTACTAGGCTATTAAAAGAGAAGCTGTTGATTAAAAAGCTTAAATCATGAGGAGAGAAGCGTTATATGAAATGATTTTTAAAAATCAGTAAAATAATTAATTAAAAGGAAGATACTATAAATCAAGTTTTGAAAGTACAATTTTAGTCTCTATTGATGCATGAGAAAAAAATTACATCAGTTTCGATCAATTCAAAATCAGCAATTTTAAAAAATCGAACATTCTAATGACTGAGTCGATCAAAGTAAGTTGATGAATAGTGTAAGTAAATAAGGCCAGAGAGAGAGCTGGAAATTCTTTTTCTTGAAAGGAGACTTTCAGATCAGAAAAAAATTACGCACTGACTGATGTGAGTGGTCAAATACTCGACATTTAGAGCTCATCATTGTCTCAGTTCTGGCATTCTATATTAATCTTATTCAAAATAGTAACTGTATGAAACATTTGGGTTAATTTTAAGAAGAATACAGGAGAAAAAATATGATGATTTCAACTATATTCCTAGCTGATCTTGGCACTAACCTGAGATTCAGCTGTAACAGCTACAGGTATGATTGAGTCTGCCAGAAATTTGGTCGAATCAACCATACCTCTGACTGATCACAATTCTGGCTGGTGCCAAATTCAGCCAAGAATATAGTTAAAATAATCAACATTTTTTTCTGCAAAGAAATAATTCTTCTATCGGAGAGCATCAATATTAAAATCAATGGTGGATGTTTTAACAAGACAAATTGACTGAAAATAACTGAAAAAGACAGACGTATATGATATAGCCAGTCTGCTCATGAAAATCAAGTCTTAGCTCTAAGATAAATTTTCTGAAACAATCTGAAAATTTATGATGTCTAGTTGACAGATCGGACATTTGCTTTGAATTAAAAAATCTGGATAATACAAGGCATCCGCGTGACAAGGGAAGATTTTTTTTTAAAAAAAAACTTGTACAAATAATCTGAAAGACATCCCTTGAAAACAGTAATCTTCGGGGAAAAAAAAAAAAAAAATTATCCAGGCTATCTCAGATTAAATCACAGTTGTTCGAAAAATCCTTCCATAACACAGCACAAACACTCATTACAATGATTAAATTTCTCAAAATCCCTTGAATCACCCTGAGACAGGTATTGAACCTCAATGGTTTCATACGAGAATGGTTCAGGCTCTTAGATAAAATTACATTAATTTAATTTGGAGACTGAACTGTTTAAAATCCATTTTTTGTGAGCACTGAAACCTTAAAAGCTGCAAAATCCAAGTGCAGTGGGACTCTGGTCCCTAATAAGGTTTCAGAGGTCATATAAATTTGAAAATGAACAGTTTATTAAAATAAACCAAGATTTCATTCAGAGGGTTCTCATTTGAAAATAAATGAGTAGCTAGGAAATGAGATTTTACATCGAGAAAAAAAATTAATAAATACAGAAATATTCAACTTAAAGCATAAATAACAATTTTTTTTAAAGAAGAAGCACGAGAAAATTATAAAATCTCTGCCAAATATGTTTCCACTGAAACAGTTCTCAAAATACTTGGAGTGCGTGGACTGAATCTCTAGCCGAGAGCTGAATTATTATATTCGATCCTACAGCTTACTTGTACTCAGCAAGGAATTTCATGTGGAATTCTTTGAACTGGTTCAACATATTCTTCAGTTTTTCTGTTTGCGGAAGGATGGTGGTCCTGGGAAAAAAAAAATTAAAATGAATTAACCAGTTAAAACATCATTGAATAAAGCCATAACAGATAGAAAGAATCTACACAGGCCCTTCATTGGGGCTCCTTTTCATCCAAAGTGTTACAAATAATTCAATCATATAGTTTGCTAACATGTAATCTCCTCGCTTTTTTAAAGTAAATGCCTTTCCTTAACAGAAGAGTGTGATTTTACGCTCTGATAGCATGTTTTTTGTTGAAAATAGGAGCTAGAAATGATAGATGCTAACAGACTGCAGTTAAAAAAGCAGTTTTTACTTAAAATGAGTTGGCATTTCATGGAACTGTATTATTCAATTTTCGGTCAACTTTACTCATTGAATCGAGTTAGTGACTTCAGCGACTTGTAGATTTAAAAAAAGCAAGTTGCCTCCACCCCCCCTTCTTTTTTTTGGTGGGCTTTTGTGGATTGGCCCTTATGGCATGAAAGGCTTAAAGAAGGCCTTTCTATCTCCTACCACATTCATTGCTGTTCCTCACATCACTTTATTGTAGACCCTTTGCTCGTTATACAACCTCAGTTTTATCATACGTTATTAGTATAGATTATTTATCTTCATCTTAATCTCATTATTTTGAGCCACAATAACCTGAGAAATAATCCTTGACATGAGGTGCAATATCCCTGTGAGAGCTCAGAAGAAGACTAAAAGATTTTACTACTTGGTAACATCAGCCTATTTACATAAATGTTTATTTTACCAATCAGATGGTAGTTGTGGAAAGTATTTAAACAGAATCGAATTGAACTGTTAAATTCTGTACCTTCACTTCTCAAACTTTAAATTAGAATATGAAGATTTATTTCCTTGGAGATTGGGCTTGGATCAGGACCGTAAAACTCAATGTTAAAAATAAAATGATAATCGCATCAGAGTCATTAGAGACTCTTTGTGTTAGCAAACTTGAGTGTTGAAATTGTTCTCAAGTTACAATATATCATGGTAAATTTACTGATGACCGTATTGCAAGGCTATAAAAAACCTTACGATAAGCCTATGGCCCTTAAATTCCTAAATATTTAATTAAAAAGTAATGACAATATTCATAATCTTGAGAAAGGAGCCAATCTATATTGGACTTGCATGAATTTCGCGTCATTCTTGTGCAATTTTTGAGGTAGGAAAAGCTTACCTAAAATGATAGGTTCCAGGTTTTTGGCCGAATCCGGCACCAGGTACGATACAAATGCCTGTATTTTCTAACAGTTGAAAAGCATAAAAGACAGATGGGCACTGGCCAAGAGAGGCAGCCTTTGCTATTGCTTTAGGGGGCAGCTCCATCTAGTGGTTGGAACCAAAACATACATTTTGATTAGGAGAAAAAATAAGCAACATCATGGTTTAAATGTTTGTTAACACTCATACTCATCAACTGTATAAAGGGCCCTAAAAGTGTTGAAACCAGACCTTGTAGGAACAAACAATAAAGCTACAGAAATGCAGGCTGTGTAAGCTTCAAGATCACTTCTTCTTTCGGCTAAAAAATCGGCAAAGAAACTTTAAAATTCTAGGACTACACTCAAGTCTCAAGTGACTGCAATAATCTGGAGGATACAAGAAAGCCATCTGAATACCGTGATCACTTGCGAGTTTTTTTAAAATTGGCAATATTAAGCAAGACTTGACGACACTGGCAGGATTCTACAAAAGACTGTAAGAGCTCTGAAAAAACCATGATTACCCAAAAAAGCACCTCGAGCACCCAAAAAAATGTAAAAGTTCCCTGAAAGTCACAAGCACCTACTAGAAACCATCAAATTAGGTACCCGCCAAATTATGAAAACCCACCAAAATAAATTCAGAAATTCTGAATCAAAATTTTAAAATCAAACTGAAGTTGAATCGGCTGTACAGTTCGAACTTTTGGAAGGCTCACACAGCCCTGGCTACCGTTAAATTAATTCACACTGCTTGAATTAAATTCCTATAGATGTTGGTTTTAAACTGATCAGTCAGTGAAATTAGAAAAGTTGAGGAAGTTTGCCACTCGACAGTTTGCATGTGATAGGTGTGATTGATAATTAGTCAGATAAATCAATGGACATTGTAAAGGAGCTAATGACACCAAGACCTTGAAGAATTTATAATGTAAAAATCTGTTAGCAACTTGTTTTATCTCACATTACAAATGAGAGAGAAAAATAAACCCAAGGACTGCAAGCTTAATATGTCGCTGGTGTTAAACTGTAATTCAAGCAAAAAAAGGTCATGAAGAAGGTAAAGAGCATACCTTTGGAAAAGCATACATAGCACCTTGGACTGGCTGACATGACATGCCTTCAATACTGTTGAAAGTGTCTGCTACTAATTTTGCTCTTTCCTTCAGAGAATTCAGGATCTGATCTTTTTCTTGCTTGTACTGTTGGTAGGATGGTTCACCTTCCCTTGGTGGGTTCACAACGCAATCCATTGTTGTCTGAAAAAGAAGCGGAGGAAAAAGGTAAAGACGCTATTAGTGGCAACATCATCATAGAGATTCTCCATTATATCGAATGGGATCCAAACAATAACATTGACGTAACCTCTTTCAATGCTACCAATGCGAATAAATCGATAAATATTGCTTTCCTGTGACGTGACACTAATAGCGTCTGTAACTAGATTTTTAAATTGGGCTGAGTTGAATCATTTTTAAAGAGCAAAGTATTTTGATTGAGCAAACATGATCAAGGGCTGCTCGTAACTGTTGCTACTTTTCTCTCTCTTTCCCATTCTCATAGCCTTACATTACAAAGCACTTTATATATCTAATTAGGTAAGAGAGTTAGGCATTCTAGGTATAAATGAAATAAGAGTCCAACAGCTTTAGCTTAGCTTACATATCTTTGAACAAACGAAATTTATCCTTGACAAGTCTACAAAAATGTGCCCTATCAAAACTTGGTGAATGTGATGAATGATGTTGCAAAAATTTACTTTTCAAGTGAGCTAATAGGTTTCAGGTGTATTTTGAAGATGATGCGACTTCCGATGATTTTCTTACTCAATTTGAGTTCACAATAATCACATAAATATCTCTCCTTTACGATGATATTAAGATAAAAATTATGTATCGGAGTAAATGCAATGTAGATGTAGATGGTACCTTCAGATATACAGGAGTTATCTTTGGCAAGTACAAGTATTATAGGAAGCAAATTTAGAATCCGGACTTTTATTCAAGAAAATTTTCCACTACCGGGCATAAAAAATCAAAGCTATTGGTTACATTTTCCACGCCATTTTACAAGAATCTTCAAAAATTAAATTCGCACCGTGACTCAGTCTTCAGAAAGTCCTGCATTTTGACAGATTTCGCTGGTAACTTACTTGGCCAAGAGTCGTTGGACATAGCATAGCGGAGATTGACTTCAGAAGCATAGCTTTGACATCAGGATCAAGATTGATAACTTCTGTGTATCCACCTCGTATACCACACTCACCCATGTAACCTGAAGAACATATTCAAAAGATAATTAGTATTTGCATTTCATGGAAATTGATTACGAAGAAAAAGTAAAAATCTGATGCACTTGGGATTTTATTGACAGAAGAGAGCATTTCCTGGATTTATTCTTTTTCAAAACATCAATATGTACCACCCACAGTGGTCTGTTTCACTTGCATCTTCAAGTGGCGTCTGATAGGTATGCAATTTCCGTGAGTTTCACAGATAACTCGCACCCTGATTTTTGAGCGCAGAAATGGGGGAAAATGTGTGGGTTATCTGCGGGCGTATACGGTACATTGATTGTTTTTTTTTTAGCAGACATTATGAAATTTTGGCTCTCTAAGGTTGTCATGATTTGCAGAAAAATCAGGCCGTTCGAGAAAAAGGAAAAAAAGAAGAGATAAGAGAAAAAAGAAGAAAAAAACATGTACCTTTAGACACGGACAAAAAGGAAGCTAACTCCATTTTGCTGTAAGGCTCACCCATTTCAGTTAGCACCTTCTTGAATGAGAAGAATTTGCTTCCATCTGCATAGACATTGTCTTGATAAACCTGCAAGCAAGACGTACATATGTAACTAGGTAGTAAGAAAGAAACAAAATACCATGAAAGAGGAAAAATCAGGATGATGATTTAACTCTCTTATCCTTCCTTTGGAATCATTAAATATATATAACTAAAAAAGTCCTTGTACCCGGGCAAGTTTAGTAGGATTGATTGGTTCATTTTTCAGACAGCTTAGAGACCTTGTGCTAAGCAAAAAGTTCACTCATGAGCACTAGAAGCTTTTGTAGCAAAAATTAATTGAAGTTCAAGTTTTTAATGCGTCAGCTCTTTTGAAACATACGGTTTAATAGGAAAAATTAAGTGAATAAAATTTTTAGAAGATGAAAAATAAAGTATTAAAATTAAAAAGGAACCTACGAAAGTCTGAGCATTATGGGATCATGTATGACGCAAATTCAAAGCAAAATGAGAGGAATGAAGTCAATTCTATGAGTAAATTGAATCAAATTTTCCATTTCCGAGCAGATAATTAATCTGTGACTTATTAAAGCTCAAAAACATTTAGAATTAAGTGAGTAAATTAGTCTAAATTTAATAATGTATTGACTTACTTCATCAGCAAAGATAAACAATTTTTCTTTGTGGGCAAACTTGATGATTGCTTCTATGTTTTCTCGCTTTAATACTTGCCCTGAAACAAATGAACATAAATCGAGTGATAAAAGGTAATATCATGGAAGGTCATGTAAAGGTAAGCTATCACGAATTAAAACAAATAAATAATGGGGAGGAATAGGAGATCTAAAGAGTAAGAAGCAGGAAAAACCTCCCCCATACGGAGAGTGTGATAAAATTAAAGAGGGATCGTGAGACTTCATTTAGTGGATGTCCCAGCTTACAGGACGTAAACTTAAACTCATTATCTAGTACTGACAGTAGTAACACTAAGCAATTAGAAATGGTGCTAGCTCAGTTACTACTGGGGCATTAATGTGGAGAGAGAGAGCTGGATGCAAACAACTTGAAGCAAAATCGACGTTAAATTTTAAAAATAACACAAATCAATATAGGGACTAAGGACTGACCTGTAGGGTTTCCAGGGTTGATGATCACAATAGCTCTTGGGAAGCAGTATTTCCTTGCTTCTGAAATTGATCTCTCTAGCTCAGGAATATCCAAGCCCCAGTTTTTCTCCTCATTCAAAAAGTAACCAATTGGAGTCATACTGAATTCAGCCAATGAGGCTGTGTAGAGAGGGTACTGCGGAATGGGAATCAAAACTCCAGGAGGTTTGTTGTTGATGCTAGCGATGAGGAGTTTAAGCACAGCCTAAAATTAATAAGATCCATTTTCAATTAATTAACATTTGAGCTTTCTAACTACAACATAAATTTTTGCCTTAAATACATAATGGTATCATAAGAATAAAACATCTCACATTTAAGTTGATTTTTTCTCTAGTCTTCTGACTCACAACAGGTTCACTTGAAGCAAAGTGGTGCCACTTTGGAAAACTGACCCCTCCCAAATCTGACATCCATTGCCAAGTCAAAATTCAAAATTTAATATTTTTTTGACCTCCTTACTCGTGCTTTTCTTTTGGCATTTGAAAAAGATTCAGTTGTCATTTTTCAAAACTGAAATTTTTTAAATAAATAAATATTTATCTACCAATCCATTAGCGCTTTGTACTGTGATCCAGTGACTGATACATTTGTATTTTAGCTTTTGTTTTGATTGAAAATGCCAACGATTTTTGGCGAAACATCTTGTCTTTGTTGTGTTGTGTTTTTCAGCCTTGCTTCCCCAGATTTTTGAAAATTCATTATCATAGCAATTTATTTATTTATCTATCTATCTATCTTATATTAAAACAAACAGCATTTACCCATAATTTTGTGATTACTTAACATTTGTAGATAGCAGAAAAAAATATAAATCTAACCTTAATGCCATCAGAGGCACCAGCACAAAGAATGACATTTTGCCAATCAGCAGGTACACCATCTCGTCTTTCAATGTATTCTGCAACATGTCTACGAATAACTTCAATCCCAGGGGAATCTGTATAAGAACCTGTGAAAAAAAATTACTTCAGAATCACAAACTTTTCCATAAGTTTTATAAAAACTAATGACCATAAAAATAAATTTATTTCAATTTTACCAGAAAAAACATTCCCGAACGTGCCGTTGAGAAATTCATAGTGTTCATACAGACAGTCTGAACACTTTCTTTCTGCAAGTTTTGCTTGCAATCTGTAATTTCTATACACAAAACATACAAATTTACTATTTAGTACTCTGCAGGAATAAATTATTGCATTACATAGAGCTCTCAGTCAAGCAGATGGTGGTAAAATTGGATCGCACTTTGCAAAAAGGAACCAAGAGCATTCCAATGTCGCTAAAAGTGTACACATTTTTTTATCTTGCAAACATGAACAGATCATCCAGCCAAGTTTTACCTTTACTGCCAACAAAGTGTAAATTCAAGATGAAAAGTATCTTCGCAAATTTAATTTTATGCATGATTTCAGTAATTTTTTAAAAAGAATGTACCTAAGTTGCACAATCCTAGTAACATTGGAATACTCTTGGTTCCTTTTTGCAAAATGCAATCCAATTATCATTCTGATGGAGTAGAATGAATTTAATTGATGCAAGCTGCCACTTTAAATGCTCAGGTGGGAAATACAAAACATTTCCCCAGAATCCCAACTTATAAACTTGACGTGGAAGATTCGTAATGTTTTGCCACCTTAACTCTCAGTATTTAAATAATGTAATGAGGCTCTTACGGTCTCAGAATTAATATTTTGGTACTGAGTCTTCAGTAAACTTAATAGAACAAAAACAACAAAGCTCCCTTACAAAGAAAATTGTAAACTAAAAGATTAAAATTTTAAAAACATTAGTTGACAAGGAAATTCATGACTAACTTACCGACACTTCCACCTCGACAGCCGGCCAAGATAGCTCGAGCTCTAGATTTTACATCCTCAGGGTATTTAGGATCATCCAATAACTCTGGGAGAGTTACCAATGCTAGGACCTTAAAAAGATGACATACCATTGTCATTTCACACTTAAACTTTAAAAAAATGTGTTTTTTGCGGTGGTTTTGTAGATACCATTTATTCTTAATAAATTGAAAATTCACAACTTTTATACTGCCATGCTAAGAAAAACAACAGGAGGGCATTTGAATATTGCCAAATTTCCTCTCAGGATACTTATTTTTGAAGTAAATTATGAATTTTTAAAATCGATTGACCAAGGCTTGATTAGGAAATATACCTAATATTTAATTAAAATATTAAGAATGATACCCGATAAGGCCCATTTCAATCGATTTTAAACTTTAAACGATGCCCTTGTCAAACCATCTCCAATTCCACAAAGTTAGAATAGGTATATTAATCCCTTAAAAATATCAAATACTTCGTATCACATTACTAGAAAATTTTCAGACTGTATATTTGTTGTTCCTTGCTTCTAAGCTTTTAATTCTGATTGTAGTCATTTAGAGATAATTTACTAAATGCCGGTGATCAATGGAGCATTTTGAGGTGATCATCATTTTTGTTTCATTGAGAGGAACTTAATTGGTGATAATTTCCCACTTGCCAGGACTTCCAATTCAAGCATTCTCTGGATGGACATTAATGAGGCATTATTATGTCCTAAAAACATTCTACAACCTAAATTTTAGAAGAGAGATGGTGCCTGCCCTGGTTTTCTTTTTACTACTGTTCAAAATTAGTTATCCCCTGGGAATCCTCGACTCATGATTTAATCATATACACTCAGATCAGTAATTTTTTTCTGAGAAATAAGACCATTCTTATTTCTTTTAAAATTAATTATCCAAAGTTCAACCGTCTTGATTATTGCTGTGCTTTGCACAGAAATTAATCGGCAGACGCCTACTCAATTGCTTGTACTTTACTTATGTGCTATTCAGAGGAGGAGAGATAAGATAATGAAAAGGCACTCACTTGTCTAATAAATGTGATAGGAACTTGACCCATTGCATGGCAATCACCAATATTTGCTTTTAATACTTCTTTGAATGGTTTTTTGACACCCTGCAACAAAGATAAGAATGAATGTTAATGATAAGATAAATCATGGAAAAAACAGTTGAAAATTCTTGAATTGTAAAAAAAGTTCCTGTCGATCTTCAATATTTAAGTACCAAGATGCTACTTTGTAATTAGTAGAAAAATTATACAGGCTGACAAACAAGCTGGAGAAGAATTTGAGTGTTTCAAGCATCTGATCCACAATAATGTCTGTCATAGTTCCCGAAAAATTATCTAGATGGAGATATACATCCGCTTTTTTCTGGGAGAGGAATAAGATATTAATTTCGAAGGGAGTAAAATGTGAAAGTCCCTGTTCATTCAGCATGTAAAAAATTAAAGTGCTCACTACTAAAAATGCAATGGCAAGGGCTCAAAACACCCATCCCAAAATTTCAAAGGTGCTCTTAGCTGATGAAGGATTTCAGGGGTGCGCAGCCCCCCCCCCTCTCTCCGCCATTACCTAAAAAACGCTACTTACCTAAAAGAGGCCATTTCTGTTGTTTTTTGACATACCTGCCCACTGCTCCATTTACTTCCCCCTTTGAGAAATTTTTGACTGCTCCTTTAAAAATTTACTTGACTAACTGCAAATATTCAGTGAACTTTATGACCTGTCAAATGGTGCAGACAAAGATCTCCCGAATACTCAGTTAGAGAATAATAATCTACGGAGGATTTATACAAGTGTCTTTATTCTTGGTATCAGGGATAGGTATTTCATTGAAAACAGAGCTTCTTTTCAAATCCTAAAAATTGAATGAGAGCAAAGTATGGGAAAGCTCAGCAATGATTTCATTTGCATCAATACTTAAGTAAAATGGTAAATTGCGTGCAATTTTTGTTAGAGATTTTCCTCATGTTTCCGCTTTTGTGCGGATAGAATTGAGAACCCATAAATTTTATCTCCTGCTTGTCATACAAAGTTTACGATGCCATCTCCAAAGAATTGGTCAATTGGGTTTAAACGAGTAATGGTCTAAGAATCTTGCTTGCTTGAATCTTGACGATTCTTACGCATAGTAGACAGACTAGGTTTGTAGAAATTCAATTTTATGTTACATCAATTCGTTATGTATTCATATATTCATTATATTACATCAAGAAGAATGAATGCTCTCTTGACTCGCACAGCCATTTCATTTACTCATTCAGGTCATGATTGACAAATATGACCAAAATATCATTGAACGGAAAGCCTCCCAGGTGATTCCTAACCTTAAAATAATTGTCAAAGCATTGAAAGATGCAAACTTAAGTAGTTATGAAGTAAATCACTCAAAAAGGATTATTAGAGGAAGAAAAGTTGGAAACACGTCAACAGGGCATCTATTTAAACCTTGTTACTCTCGGCACTAAGAGTATAGCGTCTCCTTGGTTCTCAGTCTATTTGATATCTTATTGGATAAATCATAAAATTCGTAGCGCCTTCAACAATTTATGTATCAGCTTTTTGCTGTTTGAAATTGGTTCCTTGACTATTGATTGTCCAGTCCCACCGTGCCGGGATGGCTCTCAAACTAGATAAATTAATACAGTGTCTTGAATTGTATCAAAACAAATTCACTCATAGTTGATGAAGTCCTTTACAATTTGTTTACCATTCATGAAACTTTCGATGAATAATATAGGCAATAGGTGCATAAAAGAGAAGAAATCGTCAACATTTTCAGCTGGTCATGATGGCTTTTTAGAGAGAATCAATAACCAAGGCATCTCTGTCATGAGCTTACTCGATCTCTATTCTAGGGCACCGAGTACTTCAAAACCATTAAATAGCAGAAACAGAGTTCTAAAGTTTAAAAATAATAGAATAGGGGGAGCCATGACCTACAAACAGAGATCTGTCAGATTAGGGAAAGTGAGAGTATAAAGTGTGATAAAAATGACAGTTCCTATTTGAATGGACGGGGTTATGACCTTTTATCTATAAATTACCGCTGTAAACAAAAAGAGCGAGTGATAAGGCTGGAAACCCTCAAAATTGACGAAAATTTCGACCAGCGCAAGATGACGAAACCGCTACTTGAGCGTGTTTCCGGCGATGTGAAAGAAAGCATTTTCGAACCTGTTCCAATTCCTTTTCGATTTCCGAGGCTCTGATGACGAGAGGACCTCGGACAGCGTATTCCATCACTTTGACAGCAGGATTCATCGTATCCAGAGTCACACATTTTGGACAAGTGGAATAACTTTTCCCGTTCACTTCACTTTTCACCGACATTTTCGGCGATGTCACGCTCACGTCAACAACTCCACAGAAATGCGGGGCGCTCCCACATCGTTTGAGGAGCTGGCGCGTATCCTTGAGAGATCCTCGTATTAGCTGGACGGTCGTCATTTTGCCTATGTGCGCTATCACTCAACTATCAAAATTTACACTTGACAACGCGCCCTTATCACACAGAAAGTAAACAAACACTCGCTTGAAGTGGTACCCGCGATTTGCAGCTTCGGGAAGGAGATTTTCGGAGAGGATTCGAAGGGACGAGTACCGAGATGATGTTCCGAGCGCGAACTGCGGTGGCTCGACGCGAAATGACCACACAATGCCACCCGAGAAAGATGAATCCGTGCCAAATCGCAAAGGTCGTAGCAAGCAGGCTATTTGCACTTTATAACGACGATTAAAAAATCAGTTTGATAACAGCGAATTGCATAGGCGAGACCGTTGTGAGCACTCAAATTTCGAAACACCCACGGTTTAGCCTCACTGACAGAGGGAGCCTTATCAGCACGGGGAAAAAAGCTGAAAGAAGTTAACTGATAAGAGATCTTGAAATCAGCTGATAAGGAGGTCGTGAGTTTAGTCTAGGAGGTCACATCGAGTGGACACTGGCTCGGCTAGAAAACGAGACGGAACAGGTTTACGTGACGACTGCAGTTCAAAAAACTCAATGGAATCCTCGCTAAAGTGTACAAAATCGCGTTTATTAGCGCTGTTTAAAAGAATAAACACCCTCGGACTTGAACGAGGTAACGGTAAATAAACAAACGCGAATCAACCCAAACAACCGAAGAAAACGTCAAACATGAGGGTAAATGAATCATACTTCGGAAACATTTCGAACACGCAAAGCTTAGAATGAAGTCCACTCAAATCTCTCGTGTAACCCAGAAATCCAATTCGTTTACTGATAAGCGAGTGACAGAATAAAGGTGATCAGAGATGGGTGGCTGTTATCAATAAAATCTATGTTGATAGTAATAGGAAGGAGAATGTAGTTCAAGGTCACTGACAATTTTGCAGCGAATTGTTGAATTTGTAATGTTATGTTGGTGGCACTGCACTTCCCGTTTGACCCAATTCACCTATGCAATGATGCCAGGCTGTAGAATAAACCATTAAAAACAAATGATGTTACGCATAGCAGACAGTACAAACTTACAACTTACATACAAGGCAATAGCAAAGCTCGTAATGTTTACGAATGCGCTGGGCTGTAGTCGCTTGATTTTGTGCAATCGTTTTTTTTTCAGCGTGAATCAAATATAAATCACTAACGTGAGTCTTGGCTCTCATTTTAAGCGAACACTGGCATCTGCCGATGAACCATGCCCCTCCCAGATTAGCTGTTTTCCTGGTCAACAAAGCAGACAAGACTTTTAAAACTAAATTCGGATATTTCAAGAGTTCATCAATTTCTCGGGTCAAAATTGAACTTTTTTCTTTTTGTAACAATAAATTTCCCTATCCTCATACTCATTTCCCCTGAAACAGACCAATAGTTTCAGAGAAAAAAATTTTTCTCCAAGTATATGCATTTTTTCTTCTGACTTTTGCGTTTTCCCTATTTATTCTCTCCCCCCCCCCATTTTTGTAGCAACATGTATGAATCAAATCTTACTTATTGGTGCGATAAAATCACGAGGAGGCTGCTCCGCCCCTGACCGCTTTGCAACCCAACCCCTTAAAGCGCTTCGCGTCCTTAGGCGTTGTATACGTTACCTGTCACTCATAGGAGTCTCTCATCTCTCAATCTCTCTATATAATAGAGTATGATGTGATAAGAGTATGCACAGCGCATGTCACCCGAGACACGAAGTGCTTTGGGGGGTTGGACCGCGATGCGGTCAGGGGACGTAGCCCGTGTGGCCCCCTGGTTAGAGAAAAATTGGTACTTGACGGCACTTTGAAACGCTCTAGGTACTTACTTCCCCTTCCATTTAAAGTTTGAATCACCCTGTATTTTTCAGTTACCGATGAGCGAGAGCGTAGTTTTCCCGAGGTCGCCAAATGCCTATTCATCGACACATCGATCTTGTTTAAGAGGTCAATCAGCAGAAAAGTATTTCGATGGCTCAATCTCTTATCAATGAGCGTTACAGTGAAGTAATCTTCTCCGAAAATGCACACAATACATGGCTCATCTTTTACAATCGCACAAAATTTCGACGAACATGTCGTCGCCGCGTTCCGTATTTTAGCAAGGACGCTGAAGGGTCGCCATACGAAATGTTTTTAAAAAATCATCTCTTATTTATCTAACATTGAGTTATACGTATGTTTTCTCCTATTACCATATTCCTCTCTCCCAAAACAACCCAATAAAGTTTCAGAAAAAAGACTATTAAATTTGTTTCCAAGTATTTTGTATTTTTTCCTCTAACCTCTGCGTTTTTCCTCTTTTCTACCCTCCCCCCCCCTTTTCCTAGATTTCTCCCGCCCAAACTCCCCATTGAATTTTACTTTTCGACGTGGTATTTGGCGATATATGCTCATTAATATAATTTTTTGGGTAGCGCGACATCAGTTACTTCCGCGCGAAATCGTCAGGTAACAGAAAACAGGGCCGTAGTTAGGGGGTGGCCACATGGGCCGCGGCCCATGGCGGCAAATTTTGCAATTTTTTTAAATGTAGCTATAAAGAAAAATCGGATTTAGGAAAAAAATACAAACGAGAAAAGATGACAAAATCCCTCATTTCCTGAGAGTATATCTCTAATTTTGTCATCTCTCTATGATACAATATACAGCACCTTTAATTAGTCGAATTAAGACTTAGAGAGAAACCGAACACGGAATTTGGCCTGGAACGGCGCGGCGCAGAGAGCAATGATGACGAGAACTTGAGATGAAAAGGAGAAACCCTCGGCGCGGCGCGGCGGTCGGCATGTAACAAATATTAGCGCCTTCAAGTCTGCATGAATATATCACGCATTGCGTCAAAGACAGTGCGGTCGCTGCGGTCAGCAGCGGGCGGCGTGAAACGAATAGCGCCTACAAGACTGCATGAATACTTCACGCATTGCGTCAAACATAGTCGGTGCAGTAGCGGTCGGCGTGAAACGCGTACCACACACAAGAACAAGACTGCGTAGGAATACTTCACGCATTGTGCCAAACACAGTGAGGTCAGTGCGGCGCGGCGTCGGAATTTAAACTTATTAAACCACATTTATGTTTGTTCTTTCATAATTTTTTCGCTCATTTCATATAAATGGAAGGCCTTGTCCACACAGAGATAGGTTTACGGAACTTAGCTTTCGCGCCGAGTTCCGTAAACTTTTGCTAGTAATGTTGACAGGGCTTTCGCAAAAAAAAGTGTCCAACACTGAGTAAACGCGTCTTATGCAACCCTCCCCCTCCGGCTCGTTCACTTGATGGTTTTTATTGATGTTTCAAAACAAATGAGAAGGGGGCGGCAAGTAGGCAAATCCGGCCCTGACAGAGAACGCACGTCAATTTTTGCAACGGTAAAAAGAAGGAAAATACCTACACTGCCGTAAATTTCGCGATGATGATAGGTCGCTCTCAAAAGAAATAAATCATGACAAAAAGTCTGCAACGTCGCAAACCTAGATGCGTGATTTCTAAACATCCACATTTTTGGTACCTATTATTATGAAGCAGGTATCCTAGAGGTGAGCACAATAAGTGTTATATTAGTCTTTCTTTTTATCAAGACGTTATTTTAAGTAACACGATTTTCAGTTCAATACTCATTTCGTCATTTTTCTTGCATCACCCCCTTCGGAATTATAATCATCCGAATATAACCAACCAGTATAAATTCCTGCAGGCCACTCAGTTAACAAAGAAAACACATTACAAACAAAATAACGCGATGTAAACCAACTGAGGTGCCTTTCCGAAAGATAAACCCGGTATTTGAATAATGCGCATTGCGCGGAGCGTAAAACAATGGTTAATGAATATGCGAAGAGTTAGGTTCGGACCTAGGATGCGACTATTTTAACTCCGCGGTGGACCGGGTGGCCTACGCTCAATTTAGCGGGCGAAATCTGAAATCTGCTCACGGCTCTCGCGATAGGGTACGGGTGCAACTACTGTTTTCCTTGAGCGTGACGTCTGTTGCGGTCAACTTTTTGGACGCTATATTGTCACACAGGTTTGCAACACGAATTGACAAACTGAGATTTTTTCTGAAAGACGAACTCGGCATTTGAATAATGCACTAAACATAAATCGATTGAGGAATACACCTCACCTACGAAGTGGAGTTCGGACACAACATGAAGCTATTTTAACTCCGCGGTTGGTCGTGGTGCGTATGCTCGAGGAAAATACTGATCCCATACCTGAACCCTATCGCGAGAGCCGTACATCGCGAGCGCGCGTAGTCCGTTGGCAGATCTCAGATTTCGCCCGCAAAATCCAGAGTATGCAACCCAGCCCACCGCAGAGTTAAAATAGTTGCATGTTGGGTCCGAACCTAACTTCGTCAATTCTTCCTTTGTTCTCAGCGTTGTTTTGAGTTGAAAGAGCGTTACGCGGTTTCCTACGATGTTAAGAAAAAAGGCTCAGATTTTACGGAAATACTACCTATGAACACGAGTACTATATACTACGAGTGTAGGATTTAAATGAAACATATGAACTAGGCGGTAGTTTCAGATTCACTACCGTACTCTATACGTTTCATACTTTAAATGAAGCACATTCTATACGTTAAGGGCACTGAATGGGGAGAGTTTGAGAGGCAAAACAGGAAAACATATGTGAAGTAAAATTTAACAATCTAGCGATAGTGATTTCAATTCTTTCCAACTCTTTTTAAGAAAAATGAAATGTAATGGATTTTACCCTTGAAAATTTTGTTTGTAGTTCAGCTTCTTGCTGTCAATTTTCCTTTATTTTAGAGGGTAGGCAATATGCGCTCTTTAGAGATTGACTTGGTTGTTGGTCTTCTTTAAACGTAAACGTGTTACCGGTGCTTTTACACCTATTACTACAATAAGTGAACAGAAAAAAAGTAAAAATGTACTTCAGAAATTTTACATGCATTTTTCACCCTTCTCCCACCGATTCTTTCTCCTCCTCCTCCTCCTCCTCCTCCTCCTCCTCCTCCTCTTCTTCTATTTATTCACTTCATTTTTCCTTTATTCACTCTCTTCTTCCGTTCATTTTTTTTCTTTCCCTTCTCCTATCTGCTCCTCCTCTACTGCCACTTCCTCTTCTGTTCCCTCTTCTCCTTGTTTCTTCTCACCCAGTTTGATTTCCACTATGCAGATAGGTGATTTCATGATTGAGTCAGAAAAATTGGTTCCTTACTGTGGTCCAATTGGACGTATTTATGCTAAAAGGAACTATGTCTCACGCAAATCCTATGCACATAGTTCCTTTTAGCATAAATTAGCATAAATACGTTCAATTAAAAGTAAACACCAATCAATGATCGCATCTTTATGTTACCCTTTGTGCCTAATTTAGAACTTCCTGGAAAACTGATCCAAGTATTGATTTGTTCTTTCGTGTCTTTGGCTCCAAAAATGTGAATATTGAGACTATTCATGGAGCGGCAATGACAATGGTATACATACAGTTACCCATGATGGTTTTGCTCAGTGACGACGCGTGTATGGTAGGAGAGGGGCGGCACCCTCCGAAGTTGTGGGGAGGGGACTGGGGTGTAATGAAGA